AAGACAATAAAAAATTTAACATCTAAAACATCAAGCACCCCCCTTTTTTTCTTTTTAAAGAACAAGAACCTTCAAAGATTAAACCCCTAGCAAATACACACACTATTTTAGCAATCACATGCCCTCTAAAGTTACAAATCATACCTCCAAGCTCTTAATAAAAGAACTGCCTGAACAGAAGTTAATTACTTATAGAACTTGACTAACATCAATATATCAAAATCTTCTAGGTCCTGATTACAGGCAATGGAGTTAATACTATTTATATTGTCATGTGCTTTCTTTTAAATTCTAGCCTAAAAGTACACTCTTCTACATACAATTCGTTACTTGCTGAGGTGAGTAGCTCGAGAGAGGACGCCTTCCAACACCGGAGGGGGGGGAGATCAGCGTCCAGGAGCCTCAACTCAGAGCGACAAGAGCCACCGAGGGAGCCTCAAGCCCTCGACAGGACCTGCCCAGGAGCCGGCAGCTCAGCTGACGAGAGCGAGCAGCTGACTCACACGGGGCGGAGCCAGGAGGAACGGCGGCACCAGCCCTGAGTGGTTAAAAACCTGCCCCAGGGAACGCGAGCGATCAGAAGCGCGGCAAACAGAGCGGGTCGAGGCAGTTCGCGCGGGCAGGCGAGCGGGATGGTGAGCACTCGTCGTATGAACAGGACCCGGTCTGGGAGCTCTGCCCTCGCTGCCCCGGCGGTGGCCAGCGTAGGCACCCAGACAGAGCCGACGAGAGGGGAGGCTGCAGTGCAGAGCTCGGGGTGCAGAGAGTGCCTGCACTGGTCTGGTGAGGGGAGGGTGCACAATGGGCAGGGCTGCACTCGGTGCTCCCTGGTGGAGGTCCTCCTGCAGCAGGGGCTGAGCTGCGGGATGCTGTTAATAGACTGCGAGATGTCAGGGAAGCTGAGAGGAAGCAGGAATGCTTGCTCCCGGCCCAAACTGTGCAGGGGCCTTGAGCTTCACCTCTAGCTCATGGAGGAAAGAAGGAGGCCGTTAACCTGGGAAGCTGGGAATTAGTGACAAAAAAAAAAAAAAAAAAAAGAAGGAAAAGGACAACCAAAAGCAAGGGGCTTCCCCCTAAATCCCCTGTCCCCACGCAGAACCGCTTTGCTGTCCTGCAGGGGGCTAATGAGGAAGTGCACTCGAGCCAAAAACAGCCGGCTGATGGACTGCTAAAGAAGATCTCTAATGGTGCTGCCAGGAAAAAGCGGTGGGTCGTAGTAGTAGGGGACTCTACACTGAAAAGGACAGAAGCACTTGTCTGCCGGCCAGACCCCCTCTCAGGGGAGGTGTGTTGCCTACCGGGGGCACGGATCAGGGATGTGCCAGAGAGGCTGCCTGCTCTTGTAAGTCCCACAGACTGGTGATACATGTGGGTGCTAGGGATATAGACAGTAGTAGCCTGTGTAACATAAAGAAGGACTACAGAGCCCTGGAGGAGGTGGTTAGGGGCTCTGGAGCTCAGGTGGTCTTTTCATCAATTCTCCAGGGTACAGGGGAGGACCTAAAAAAAGCTAGGAGGATTAACCAAGTTAATAAATGGTTAGAAGGGTGGTGTCACAGTCAGGGGTTTGGGTGTCTTGAACACAGGAACCAAGCTTGTAGGCCAGGTCTAGTGGGGACTGGTGGAGCTGGTCTAAGGGAAAGAGCAGTTTTGGTAGGAGGCTTGCCAGACTGGTCAAGGAGGCTTTGAACTAGATGTGTTGGGAGAGGGGGGCATCATTCCATCCCAACACACCCAGTCAGTTGCCAGAACCTATAATAAATGCTTGGAGCAATGTAGATACCCCAGCCGTTCCAGCCAATAAGCCGGCTTCAGTTGGAGCTCAGCTCACATGCCTCTATACAAATGCCCATAGCATGGGGAACAAACAAGAGTAATTAGAGATGTGTGCACGTCTATGGGGGTATGATACAATAGACATCACAGAAACATGGTGGGATGGCTCCTACAACTAGAGTGTTGGAATGGAAGGTTACAGGCTCTTTAGGAAAGACAGGCCTGGCAGGTGGGGAGGGGGAGTTGCCCTTTATGTTAGGGATAGTCTGGAGAGTATGGAACTCTGTCTGGGGACAGGTGAGCAGTGCACAGAGAGTTTGTGGGTCAGGGTTAAAGGGAATATAGCTATGGGAGACATTACGGTGGGGATCTGTTACAGACCGCCTGATCAAGGAGAACCTGCGGATGAAGCACTCCATAGACAGATAGGAAAAGCTTCACACTCACAGGCTCTTGTTCTCATGGGTGACTTCAACCACCCTGACATCTGTTGGAAGGACGGTACGGCCCGGCACAGGCAATCCAGGAGGTTCCTCGATTGTGTAGCCTGGCACAAGCAATCCAGGAGGTTCCTCGATTGTGTAGCCTGGCACAAGCAATCCAGGAGGTTCCTCGATTGTGTAGAAGACACCTTCCTTCTGCAAGTAATGGAGGAGCCAACAAGGAGAGGTGCCATGGTTGACCTTGTGCTCACCAACAGGGAAGGGCTCGTTGGAAATGTGACACTCCAGGGCAGCCTTGGATGCAGTGATCATGAGATGCTCGAATTTGAGATCCTCAGGACAGTGAGAAGAGCGTGCAGCAAGCTGACTGCCCTGGACTTCAAAAGAGCAGACTTTAGACTCTTCAGGAACCTGCTTCGGAAGGTTCCATGGGATACAGCCCTAGAGGGCAGAGGGGCCGAAGACTGTTGGTTGATATTCAAGGATCACCTGCTGCAAGCTCAGGAGTGTTGCATCCCAACCAGAAGGAAGTGCAGCAGGAGGGCCAGGAGACCTCCTTGGATGGATAAGGAGCTCCTGAGGAAAATTCAAATGAAAAAAAGAGGCTTATAATAAGTGGAAGCAAGGACAGGTGGCATGGGAAGAGTACAGGGATGTTGTCCGAGAAGCTAGGGACCAGGTTAGGAAAGCTAAGGCCCAGTTAGAATTAAACTTAGCTAGAGGTATTAAGGATAACAGGAAGGGATTCTACAGGTACATAGCAAATAAAAAAAAGACTAGGGAGAATGTAGGGCACCTCAGGAAGCTCTTGGGAGAATTGGCTACTCTGGATTTGGAGAAGGCTGAGGTTCTGAATGACTTCTTTGCCTCGGTCTTCACTGGCAAAGGCTCTGACCAAACCACCCAAGTCTTGGAAGGCAGATGCAGGGACTGTGAGAATGAAGACCTTGCGTCCACTGTAGGAGAGGATCTGGTTCGAGACCATCTAAAAAATCTGAACGTGCGCAACTCCATGGGTCCTGATGAGATCCATCCCCGGGTCCTGAAGGAGCTGGCAAATGAAGTTGTGAAGCCGCTGGCCATCATATTTGAGAAATCATGGCAGTCAGGTGAAGTTCCCAATGACTGGAAAAAGGGAAATATAACCCCCATTTTCAAGAAGGGGAAAATGGATGACCCAGGGAATTACAGACCAGTCAGTCTCACCTCTGTGCCTGGCAAATTCTTGGAGCAGATTCTCCTGGAAGGCATGCTAAGGCACATGAAAATCAACAAGGTGCTTGGTGACAGCCAGCATGGCTTCACTAAGGGGAAATCCTGCCTGACCAATATGGTGGCCTTCTATGATGGGGCTACAGAACTGATGGACAGGGGTAGCGCAGTTGATGTCATCTACCTGGACTTGTGCAAAGCATTCAACACTGTCCCACACGACATCCTTGTCTCTAAATTGGAGAGACATCAATTTGATGGATGGACCACTCAGTGGATAAAGAACTGGCTGGATGGCCGCACACAAAGAGTTGTGGTCAATGGCTCAATGTCCAGCTGGAGACCAGTAACAAGTGGCGTCCCTCAGGGATCGGTGTTGGGACCGGTCTTGTTTAACATCTTTGTTGGTGACATGGACAGTGGGATTGAGTGCGCCCTCAGCAAGTTTGCTGATGACACCAAGCTGTGTGGTTCGGTTGATACGCTGGAGGGAAGGAATGCCATCCAGAGGGACCTTGACACGCTTGTGAGGTGGGCTGATGCCAACTTCATGAATTTTAACCATGACAAGTGCAAGGTCCTACACCTGGGTGGGAGCAATCCCAGGCACAGCTAAAGGTTGGGCAAAGAGATTCAAAGCAGCCCTGCGGAGAAGGACTTGGGGGTGTTGGTTGATGAGAAAATGAACATGAGCTGCCAGTGTGCGCTTGCAGCCCAGAAAGCCAACCGTATCCTGGGCTGCATCAAAAGGCGCAAACAAACAATGTCAGTGCTGGAGACAGTGGAACTACAGCTTTATGATTTAGTCTGGACTCTAGAAATTGTACTGTTTAGTAACACTGAAGGTCATCTGAAGATGTATATTTGATATTAAATAAACACATGTATATTGACTTTGTAGACAAATATATACTTCATGATTCTATTCCTTCCAACTCTTTTGGATTTATTTTTTTTTCTCTCCATGATACTGCAGAAAAAAGGTACTTCACCTTTACTTCATAATAAGTACTACTTAGTATCCCAATGAAATTCTGGACATTACAGACTGATTCCCCTTGGGAATAGCTTAGTATCCTGTCCAACTATGGGAGTATACCTTCCACACACCAACTTGAAAATGACAGAAGAGATGTGAAGTAAAAGAACTCTGGGGGATGGACAGGACAGGGTAACAATGACACACACACATGATGGTGACCAAATCCCAGTATTAGTAAACCAGCACAGTGTAGCTGTTGGAGCAATTACCTCTAGCCTCTTAAAATTAATTGCTTAAGTGAAAGCAGGATAAAAGAAAATCCTCCTAGGATCAGTTCATTTAGGAAACTAATGTACCAGGAAATCAGACAAATGAGACAATCTTTTCTGTGCTAATATTTAAACCCTGGAACATTTATTAACAGCTTCTTACAACAAACAAACAAAAAAACCACCACAAGAAGTGCTCCAAATCCAGCAGAAAACAAACTTTTGCAATGTAGCAATATAACTTAAAAAAAAAAAACAATCAAAGGCCAACAGTTTTTCCAAGTCATGGACTATTTGAGAAATCAAGGGACTACTTACTCAAGTCAAGAACATCATCCGCCTTTATCAGATCTCCCTCCCTTGTGAGTGGTAACTGAGTTTCTGGCTCGTCTCGTAGGTGCAGTGATAGTGAACGGAGCATAAAGAAAACTCTGATTGCCTGGAGAAATTGGAAAAAGAATATTACAGTATTGCTGCATGCAATACTACAGGTTTTAGCAGAGTCTTACATACGTATACTTGCTTTCACATCTTGGGAGTATGCTGCGGTGCAGTAAATCTATTTTTTAAAATGGGAAAGCAGAATGGAATTTCAAAGTCAGTTAAAAAGGACATGGAAGAAGTTAAAACATACTATTTATTTTTAATGAAGTAGAAGAAGCAGAACTTTTATCCCACTGGCACACTTACACAGAGTGTGACTGACAGGCAAATGATTACAAGAGTTATTAAAGCAGAACCAACAATATTAGACTTTATTTAGCATTATTTGAAGACTAATAGTACTTATATGTACACTACAGACAACCATACAAGCAACCTTCAGAGACTCTCACAATTTGAACTTTAAACAGTAAATAAGTCTTCTGTCGGAGTCTAGCCAAGACATTTACAAGTTTCAGAGAAAACTGTGGATTTTTGAGTTTTAATTTGCTGTGTTCATCAAAACTAATCATCTGCAATACAGCATTCTCAGAGAACTTCATCTACATTCTCAGAAGGTCTATATGAGGGCAAAGCATTCTAAAAGCTGCACCAGTCCCAAGAAATTTCCAACAGATGCTGTGAGAAATTAATATCCTTGGTTTCATTTAGAAATCAATGACAAATAGTATGCAAAGACGAGACAAAGTGCCAAAAAAGTGTCATCATTAGCCACATTTTGAAAAGCACCACTTATAATCCTCTTCCCTCAAAAGAACTGTATTTTCAGTACAGCAAATGAAAAAAAAAATAAATTATTACTTCTGGTGTTTTGGTTTTAAAACAGTTTCTACATAGTAATTCTGTGGCATAGTGTAAATTAACTGCTGCCTTACAGTAAAAGCACTGAATTCATGGAACAGCTGCAGTGCCTAGGAACCCCCAGAATGCAGGAAGTATTAGGAAAAACAAATCTAAACTGGTTTAACACAAAACCTTTCAGCCCTGCATTTTTAAAACCAACAAAACTGTGGCTCCTGTGAAGCAGAAATGAATGCTTGGTGGTTAATATACTGGTGGTGCTTTCAGAAACTTCTGACAGAACAGGGATGAAGAGAAGGAAGCCATGTATCTGGCTCTTCCATAAACCGTCCCAGAGCAGATCAATGTGGTATACTGTTGAAATCTAACAGGGCAAAATGGTGATTCTGAGCAGAAAATGTCAAGGGTATCTAACAAAACCATGATATTAACACTGCCTTATGAATAACAGCAGAGACACTTCCTCATGGGGCATGATCTCTCCCATTTAGGCAGGCTACATATTGTGCATTTACTGAAATTAAACAGGATCACTTACTATAACGCAGCTTTACTACCAGATGCTTCAAGAGGAATTCATGGTATTGGCTTTAAGTTTCCAAGTTCAATCAAGAACAGCAACATCCTTGCATATTTGGTAACTCAAAGAAGTCAAATCCACCAGGGGTTTAAAAATTCAGAGGGCAGCTATCACTTAGCTTGCTTTCACTCTTTCCCTCCTACACAGAGGATTAGTTTTCTTCACATTCCCTATAAAACCAACGTCACTCATCTCCAAACATGTAATCATATTTACTACAGGAATGGGTAAAAAAGTTAGAATCTTAGCCTTTGCAAGGAAAGAATAATCAAGAACATCAGATGAAAAGGGAACTACACTGTGCTTCCTGCAATACTGGCAGCCCTTGCTTTGCTAGCAGCACCAATATAAACACAAAAAAACGTGATTTGTGACTTCCTATAGCAGTTTATTAGATCTCAATAAAACAGCAGAGCAGTGGCCTAGAATTTCTTTCAGCTGACTTCTGTTTTCTTGGTTAAGTAGGAACAAATATGAATTGCTATCTAAACTAAAGAACTACACATTATGATGAGGTATACCCTGCACTGATTCCTTCATTCATATACATACAACAGGCAAAGAAACAGCAGTTTTAAGGGAAACCTTCCAGTATCTTCCTACATTCCCATGAACTAGCATTCTCACAGGTAGCTCAAAACCTTCTCTCAAAGCCTTTGCTATGCACTCCAAAGTGCAGAGGCGCATGACCCATACCGTTCGTGGCTTCCCAAATCAGCATGTAAGTGAGTTTGCATTATTCTAGGTGATTGGTAGCAACACCATCTTTAGGACTACAGAAATCAGACGAAGAGATGCAACCAACAAACAGTAACCAAATTGCCAGCAATTGCAAAGATTATCTGATTCTGGGCAGAAGGCTCAATAAAGTAGTAACAGCTGGTTTCAGAAAGCAGCCTAGAAACTTATGGTCATTTTAAAGCTTCAAGTCAGAGGGGTTGGCTGTCTGGATTTTGGAGATGTGCCTTTGATAACTCGAGAGTTCTGATTTCTGAGAGTTCCTGCTAAAATTAAAGAGCAAAAGACCTGCCACTTAGAGGTACTTCCCATAGCAAAAGAAATGACAGCCTAAAAGGATCTGATCACTAACAGTTAAGAACTCATGATGTAATCAAAGTACAGGACTTTTTCACTTGCTAGTGAAATAAAGCATTTTTAGAATCGTGTCATGGGATTCTCTGAATTGAGTCACTATCCATTTGAACCTGTCAGGAAAAAGGACTTCCAGCAGGTTAAGTGGCAGCAGCAAGATACACTTTGTCACAAGATACACCTGAAGTTCAGCGTATTGCTATGGCAATTCAGCCTAGGAGAGCCTAGCAGGAAAAATGTAGCACAGGAATACTAACAAACTCTAAACCTTCTAGAGCAATACAATCAGGGGAAAGAGGACCAACAAAGAAGCATTCTGGGAGCTCTTGCTGACAAGAAAGACCCTTCGATCCCAAAGGATTTACAGGAATATTGATTTCAAATTTCCACCAACAGAAGTTAAGCTACTCCTTACTTAGCATATGAAAAACCATGAAGCAATCATTTTCTATTAACACATTTCTAAGAATCATTTTGTTCAATGTCTTAGAGGATATTCTATGAAACATTTTTGCTTTCTAAGAACAATACTTTCCAAGATAATCCACTGTATTTTATCAAACTTCCTGTGATAACAAAAGTTTCATGGCTTATAAGAAGTAATTATAGCAAAAGTTTTCTGAAGATTCCCGGAAATACGTTTTTTTCTTCAAGAGCACTTGAATATACTTATGCAGACATGCAAGTGCAAAGCTACCCGAAGAACAACACTTTTCAGATGACAATGTTGTGCAATAAGATATCTTAAAGACTTACTGGCACCACAAGGCTTATTATGACACTGCCAGATAAGAGCCAAGAAGGGATTATCCTAAGCATGCTGATAACAATGCTGTTATTCAGGTCAGTTATCACCTCTACAATTTGCTTTTTTTCTCCTCACTCTCAAGACTCCTATCATGAATTATTCCAGCAAGATGAACACTCCTGAGTAGATTGTTTGGGTTTTTGTTTTCCAATATCTAAGAAAGACAAGCAATATGAAGTCAGCCAGCTTTTCAGTGGCGATTCTTACCATAGGAATATAATGACAGACTGAAATAACAGATCACAAAAGGAAACTGCCAGCGTATGTCATCACAACTTCTTATGCCTTCTTATGGGGTTGTCCACATGGTCTAAAAAATTAAATCCCCAGTACAAGAACATACTGAATTGATCAGACACAAGAAATTGTAGAGAAAAGTTTTTTTCACTGTGACAGGTAAATATTATATACTCTACACACAGACCTGCCTTCATAAAGTCTTCATGATTTTACGGATGAAGCTTCTAACCAAGCAGCTTTCAAGGAAAAAAAAAAAAAGGAAAAGAAAAATAGCATGACTCACTCTTCGTGTTCTTTCTACATCTCCACAAGGCAATCTTTTCACAAAATCAATACCAGTCAGTGGTGTCCCCGTTGGAGGCAGTAAGATTGAGGCATCCATCATCAAGTACTCCACATTCATGGGTTTAATCTATAAAAATATTTTAGCATTGATCACTATACAGAACAACAAGCATCTGCATCTTTACTTTCAAATACAATTCATGGTTGCATATTTTAAGAGGAAGGAACTGTCAGAGTCCCGAGATATTTTTTTAATACAATCTATCTTATTTTGAGATCCTTACACACAATCTCTATTTTATTTGCTTATCATTCCCTAACACACTGTTGAAGTTTCCATACTGAAAAGAATCCATGGGAAAATAACTCTGAAAAATTACAGACAAAAAGCTATTTCATGAGTACTAAAAACAAAAGCCTGTCACGTTCTTGCAACTTCAATCATAAGAAAGTTTTCCGTATCTTTTTCTCTCCAAAAGAACTCTCAAGTATCAAGTAATGCAGTAACTTTCACACTAGAAAATTCCCTTCAACTGTGCCACTAAGAGAGTCTCTCCTCTACATGTCTGCCTATTTTCATGAATAAATGATGTCTAAACTATCTATCCTGCTATACCTTTGGGCAATTTCATCCAAGACTTATTACATACACATGCACTGGAGACACAAACTTCTTTTTGCCAGGAAGCCAGCTGGAATGGCAAGAACATACAAAAGCCTGTTCCACAGCTTGTACACTACTGGCCCAAAAGAAAAATGCAGTCATATGGGCATTCCAAAATAGCCAACTGTAACTGGAAGCATTCCTGGCCACTTTGCCATGGTCACATACCATAAAAGTAGCAGACTGAAACAAGGTCCAGAATATTCACAGCACAGTTTTAACTGCTGCCTTGCACACATATAGACTTAAAAATAATTTTTAGCCAATTTTTCTGATCTCAGAACAATTCATCTTCAGTGTCTAAAACACTGCATTAACAAATTCAATAATGTGTAAAAAGATACAGAAGCCTACATAGACATTTGTCCTGGTTTCAGCTGAGATAGTTAATTTTCTCCCTAGTAGTTGTGTCTTGGCTTTAGTCTGAGAAAAGTGTTGATAACACTGATGGTTTAGTTGGTGCTAAGTTGTGCTCACACTAAGTTAAGAACATTTCAGTCTCATGTTCTGCAGCCACGAGGAAGCAGACAGGACACCTGACCCAAACTAGGCAAAGGGGTATTTCATACCACAGTACATCATGCCCAGTATATAAACTGGGGGGAGTGAGCCAAGAGGGGGACTGATGGCTGCTCAGGGACAGGCTGGGTATCAGTCAACAGGTGGTGAGCAACCGTGCTGTGCATCACCTGGGTTTTCCTTTTTTATTTGTTTTACTGCTATTTCCTTTTATTATCATTATCATTGTTATTATTATATTTTATTTCTCTCATTAAACTGTTCTTTTTTCAACCCACAGTTTTTTACCTTTTCTTCCATTTCTCTTCCCCATCCCATGGGAAGGGTAGGGGGGGTGAGTGACTCTGTGGTAATTAGTTGCTGGCTGGGGTTAAACTATGACAACAATGAACAAATGAGAACACAGAACTAAAATCCCTAACAAATAAATAACTACTTCAGATGCAACTCACATATGTGTATGCTGGTTTAAACAGTATTTTACAACATAAAGGTGAAGAATGTTAAAAAAAGGAAATGGAAAGTACAATACAGGAAGATTTTCACATTGCTTAACACCTAAAAAAAAAAAATCCAATGTCTCATTTCCCAGGATAAAGCAATTTTTATATAATCACTTTCTGAAAGCAACAGGCTTTTATTAAATAAAGAGCTGTAAAATTTCACAGAAAAGATTCACGTAACTGTAGAGATAACTCCTCAGAGACAAAAAAGCCACCCTCATTTTGTTATTCTATTCCCAGAAAAAAAAGATACCAGCACTGTCAGTAGTTAGCAGTAAGTACTTGCACTTGCTGCTGTGCTGTATCTGGGTTTGAGGATCTGGCAGGGCGGAAGGGGTGTCACTTACAGTCATGCTCCGATATTCATCTTCAAACATATCCAGAAAAATTTCTTCTCCCTTTCAAAAAGAGGGATAAGGACAGACCATAAATCCTTACAAACATGAAGCCATGTTTGTTTTGTTTCATCATGTACTGGGTGTTCCAGTGCCACCACCAAGTGCAGGGCACAGCTGAGCCCCTCAGCAACAGTTACGGCACCTCTGGGACAACATGCCTGGGAGAGAGATTCCTGGGCAGGCTGCAGAGAGGGCCATGGTGGAGCAGGTGAGTATGCCCTGACAGAACTGCTGTCGTGGAGGACCCACACTGAATCAGGTTTCTTTCCTGAAGGACTGCAGCCCATGGAGAAGAAAACCCGCACTGGGGCAGGGGAAAAGAGTGAGGAAGAAGAAGGGCCAGAGATGAACTGCTATGGACTGACCCCAAACCCCTCTTTCCCACCCCACTGCACCACTCAGGGGGAGAAGTTAGAAGAGTCAGGAATGAAGCAGCAAAGATGACCTAGGGAAAATGGAGGGGTGGGGGGAAGGTTTTAATTTGTCTTTTTTTCTGACTATCTAAATTTATTTTAATTGCCAGTAAATTAATTTTCACCAAATTGGTTCTGTTTCACCCATGATGGTATTGAAAAGTGATCTCCCTGTTTATCTCAACCATAAGATTTTTTTATCTTACATTCTCCCTCCATCCTCTTGAGGAGGGGGAGTGAGAGAGCAGCTAGGTGGATGTCCTGCAGAAAGTCAAGGTCAACCCACCACCTCAAGTTACTTATTGTATGTAAGCCACATTGAGAAGACATCCTTCAAGAGAATTCTAAGAACAATACAAAGAGGCTTTAGACACCTGAAATCTGTCATGGATTTACCACTCATTATACAGAAGTTAATGCCTGGGGGTGCAGAGGCCTCCAGTGAGAAGATTAAGTAAAATTTGAGATCATAATTTCAGATATGAAATAAAAAGCAATGCCAAAAAGAAACAACATTCTGTATTAGAAATGTTCTAATAGTGTGGTTCTGTTCCATGAAATACATAAAATACACGCCAGTTACATCAAAAGTACATGGCTTCTAACTTGACCTCCAGCACAAGCCCTGTGGGACTTCGTGATGTTATGCCAGTGTGGTATGGAATGGCATGAAAGCAGAGGAATCCTCCAAAATGACTTTCTTCTATATCACACATTTAGAGTGCCCCTCTTAAAAAGTGCTGCCTTGGGCACTCTGTAAAGACTGGGATGCAGACTTGCTTCTAATTCCACATTATGTAAAATATTTTTTTCTTGCAGCATTTCGCATATATACCTTATAGAAACGACGAAGGAGATGAATACTTTCCTCCCTTGCACCCTAGGAAAAACAAAATAACTGTGTTTCAGGGAGTAAATGCACCATTTACTCAAAAGTCACATTTAAACAAAAAAAAATGCCGAAAAAAATACATAAGAGACTATCTATTAATGTCACAATACTCATAGCTTTCAGCCCAGAATTTGATAGAACACAGTTCTTGCACTCACAAAAATACAGTTTATGCAAGCTTGTTAGTTTCAAAAGCACTCCATATCATTCAGATGGATGGCATACAGAGTTCAGAGAGAAAGGTCAACGTAACCTTGCTGGAGAAGTTAAGAAAGATAACAGCAAAGCTGAGAACACAACACAGGGTATTGATTCTCTATATTCACTGCACAGAGTCACCAATGGAAAGATGTTCTAGAAGCTCAAATTTCACATTTATGCTTATTGCAATCACAAGTTAAACAAATTTATTCAACTATAAGACAAAGACAAGTGATGCTGTGACTGGTAATGTGAAAGAAAATACTTACCTCAAGGCAAGCAAGGTGAACATCTTTTATGATGCTGCTGTTTCTAGAGAACACAAGCTGCTTCAGCAACAGGCAGCCAAGTTCTAAAGTTGCCAAACGGATTTTTCCATCTATGAAAAGAAAATTTCAATATACAAAATAGCAGCAGTCCAAGTATCACTTGTCTCATTACCAGATGCTATTAAATGCTTCTACACTTTTCTGCAATTGTCATAAACTTTGCTCCTCTGTCATACACACCGTATCTGAGAAGGATGAGTGCTAATGTTGACTTACAATTTTGATGGTTATTAAAAAATATCCCAAAACTGGAAGAGTAATTCAAAGCAGAAGAAAACTTCAAGCAGAAGCGTGCTATAAGAAGGCAATAAATACTATTAGAAAAGAAGATGAAAACAATGCCTTTGTCAATCTGATTAGGGAGAGCTGAATTACACTAAAATTCCAAAAGACTCACAGCTGTTTGGCATGGGTAAAGTTACAGGACAAACGGAAGTTGTGTATATAGCATACTAAAAAGGCATAGCTTTTCCTTAATTAAAAAAGTCCACAGGATTCAAATACAGCCTGAAATCTGGAGAAGTCAGAGTGAAAGAATGCACTGAGATTTTAAGCTTGTATTTCAGAAGGATTAATATAGGTATAATCCTTAGGATATGTATTATATATAAGAAATGCAGAGTTGGAGTTCAGTGATCAATACTGAAGAGACAAACATCTTAGCTTTTGACCCCAACCCCATCTATTATTTTACAAGTTAGCAGCATGCTGTCAGAAACTAGACAAAGGTCAGTAGCCCAAAAAGCAGAGAACAGGAAATGTTCTACACAGCATTTAGCAAGCTTACATCCCCCTATTTCCACCCCTCCCCAGAAGTACTTTTGTTTAAATAAATGCATTTCCTCATCTTGCACTCTTTCCATCTCCCAGTATGTCCAAAGTCTTTATATATATAAAAACATGGTCTTAATCTGTGACTGACATCAGCTCAAGTTAATACTCTGTTGACTAGTCAAATAAGCATTAGATTTTACCCTGCAGACAACCAGAAATGTGATTGGGTGTCAGTTTCAGGGGAAAACCACATCTACTCATTTGAAGTTTTAACAGGGGAAGTGAGAAGAGATGTGGCTTAAACAACAATCATGTTTCCATGGAATAGGCCACTGAGCCTTATCCCTCATTTCACAAAGAAAGTAGAACTCAGGGAAAAAAAAACAGGTTTTCTGCAAAACAGTTCAGAAACTGGATATATAATGCAAAAAAAACCAACCAAACAAAATAATCACGGGAAAATATGTCTATCACCTCTAGAGACAGGATGCTATAAGCAAAGGCTACCATATAGTTTTCAAGTCTACTACTCCACTGGAATTACTTTCATAAGCAAAGGTGCCACAAATCATATATCCAGGATGCTGAATCACAGAATGGTCTGAGTTGGAAGGGACCTTAAAGCTCCTCAAGTTCCTACCCCCTGCCATAGGCAGGTTGATCCAAGCCCCATCCAACCTGGCCTTGAACACTGGCAGGCTGGGGCAGCCTGTGCCAGTGCCTCAGCACCCTCACATTTATCATTTTCTATTAATTCTGCTTATTTCCCAAAAGCACATACACTTTTTCGTAATTTCAGGACTTTGTCCTGAGTTGCCGACTAGGGTTAAACATGACGTATTTGCACCAGACACTCTCCCCAGGCACTGGGAAGTCTGAAGCCCGGGGAGGGCCTCAGGAGACCACAGCTGTCCCTGCCAGACCGTTGTGAAATCACTATATACCTCATCACTTTTCTTTACTCAAAACCACAGAAAGTAGGAATTAAGACAACAGAATCATGTAGTACTCTGAGTATGAAAGCAACTATTCAGCAGAAATCCAGAGCTCCTCACCAACCAAGAAAAAACTGATTGCTGTCTCTCACAGACTGTATTGTTCATGGAAGAGACAGATGCTTCCCCCTCAAAGACAAGAGGCTAGGGAGCAACACTTTCTTTTATCACTTCCCTCCCCTCCCCCCCCCCCCCCCCCCCCCCCCCCCCCCCCCCCCCCCCAAACCTGGTTGTGCAGCATAATTCATTATCCTGATGAGCCCTTCTGCAAGTACATGGTTATATGAATTTCTCTCTTCAGCATGTTGAGCTGGAAGCTGAATTCTCTCCAGCTTGACTGGGTCAATTCCTTTGTGGGAGATGAAGGAAGAAAAGTAAATGAGGAAACAGGTATGCCTTGACGTAAGTATTATAATATACTGCAGTAGTTTTCTCAGAAGCAGCAATACAAAACTGGGCAATTTAGTTTTGAACAACAGAAAGACTAAACGCGTTCATGTATCGCTGAAAAATCTGAGTCTTAAATGGAGCCTACTTAGTGAAGGCACTCAAATCCCAGGTGGATGGTGACATCCAAGCCATTTTGCTGCATCTGGAATTCTCAGACTATTTGTTTGCAGCATCTAAATCAAAGTCAAGTCATATATCTGAAGAGCATAATGGCTACAGGGGAAAAGAGGAAGTCCAATTTGAAATTCTGCTCTAGGAATAAGTGACCAGTTCATTTATGTTTAAAGAAAAAAGGAATTTTATTTAGTAACTAGTGGCCTTTTATTTAGTACCCTCCCCAATAGATTCTCACTGATTTGTAAAAGGAAACAAAACCCATCTTTCTTTCTTCCTCTAAAATAGCAGTTATTTCTCAGAATAGACTGGTTACTGTAAGGACTCTTAAAAATAAATGAAGTTATGGACTGCTGAGGATCCCCCTGTCCTTGTTTTAAAGGACGGTAATAACCCCATAAAACAGAAGATTACTATCTCGGGGTTTATAGTGTCTTCCAAACTTGTACTTGTAGTACATTAACACCACCATTCGTGGTACCTGAATTATTTCTTCAGTAAGCAAGGTCTGTTTGAAGATTAATGACAGTATTACAAATGTCATGATGAGACTAAAAAAAGGGAGGCAGGAGGGGAAGCATTTAAGGAACAAGGGCAATCAGAGTGCTAGTGTTCACAACAATCTTAACAGTTTGATGAAATGTTAAGAAACAGTTTTCCTTCTGGGAATAAAAGCTACTCACAAGTAACATTTCTTAGAGAAAACCTATATGCAGATTAAATTTTCACAGGAGGACATAGTCATTAACTCACATAAAACCATTAAGAAGACTAAGAAAACACGTGGGAGGAATAAGGCAGGACCAGACAGGTACTCAACAAAGTGGCCAAACTGAAATCACAGTGAAAGAATTCATATTCAGCATCTTTCTTTTGGTTGTCTGCCTGCCAAGGACACCAAGTTCTGCATTCTTGAGATAGAGCACATGCTCTAGCAACATATATGAAGGGTTCCTTCTGGGATTAAAAATCTTTCAGATCCAAGAGGTACATGTATGCACCTAAATAGATGTGTCACAAATTGTGATTCTTTTTTATTGTTCACACAGATATTTCTTGCTGGTGAAGAACAAGCATATTTTCTTTAAACTCATTCAAGCACATGGTGCAAAATGCAGACTCAGTATCCAATGGAAGGAGTCATGATCAAAAGCCTCAAAAAGGTGTCTACATTTAGTGACTAAGACTGAGAAGGCTGCTCCCTTAGAAGCAAGGCCCAAATCAAAGTTCTTGGTTAAGCCAGAGCAATTCAGTGGTTTTCTGAATGAGCTCTGTTTTAGCCTTCACCACTGTACCAGAGTGAGCAGGATTGGGGGGAAATGGTGAAATTCAAACTGACCAGCTAGGGAATCAGGAACAGACCTGAAACAGCTAATATACTGAAACAGAAAACCACAACTCATTTTCCTGTGGTGTAGAGAGGACAAGTTTGTATTGCACTCAGTCACAAGAAATCATCCTAGATTTCCAATTCATTACCTGGTGAACTGATTCAAGTGCTCACTACAGCATTTACCATCTCTGTCAGGCAGTAAACAGGTAATCAGATCCTAGACGCACAACTCTTAGAGAGTTACTGCTTCCTGAAACTGGGGAAACAACTCTCCATGTTTGGACCTTCATGCCCTTTTGTAAAAGAAAAGGGTCACTGACCTGTATCTTGAGAAAGTCTGTAAGCAGAGAGATCTCTTGCATTATATTGAATTCAGATATAAACACACTGACTCCAGCTCAATCCTGAGGCACCTTTCATGACTGATATTGAATCCAGGGTAGAACAGAAGAGCTGCTCTTTAACAGCTCCTGAACTTTTAAAGAACAACATTCGTTCTTGCATCAAACAGGGGCACTAAATTAACAGCTTGTAAAACCCCTCTTGTTCAAGACAGATGCACTGATTCTTTGGCCTCTAAGGCTGAAAGCAGTCTATTACAGGCCACGGGAGGAGTGGGCTCGTGAAAGACAAGACCACCAAACCTGGATGTCATTATCTGTCCAGCATCTAAGACCTAGGACCAAGGATATGGGGAGAAGGGAAAATAGCTTCCAAAGAGCACCAGGCTAATGTAAACTATTGACAAAGAAAGCCAATGAATATAACCTAAAGAATTTTTCATTTAGAAAGGTCTGATGTGACCATCAAAGAAGGAAGTGTGTATTTTGACCTCTTAACAAATAACAGGTACCTCGAGTTTAGGGCAAGGATATGTTTAGTGTCTTGAAAGTTAGATATTTCACCACCTGTTGTATTTCTCTTGGCAACCCTGGATACTGGGTGGAAAATAAAGAGCACAGAGACTGCTGAAACTAAGCAGCAAGAGGCTGTATCTGCTGCATTCCTCACTGTTTACAGCAATACTACAGATGTAAGCAAATAATCTTTGAAACAAGAGAGGATGTCAGACTTTTTTCTGGGAAAAAAGATATTGAATAGTGACTAACTATACTGAAGGAAAAAAACAGTGGGCTGAAGGACTGTAGTCTTAAGTAGAAGAATTCTTAGGAAATACAACCCTAGAGTACATGTTTACTCCTTTACAATGACACTGAAAGGCTTCTGGGGACATTCTGAAGCTGCAACAGCTACAGCTAATGATTTTGGCTATTCACAGCTTCAACTAATGAATTTTAAGCAAAGAGAATCAATTTTTGACATCAGGGTTTTCTAGCACAGTGATGCTCAAAAGGCCTTTAGTAAAAGACATTTTTTGGAAGAGGTATACTGGTTGTAGGGTGGGCTGGGAAATAAGAGATGCGAGTCAGAGAGGGCTAGAACATGGCAAGGCTGTGGTGCTATCTTGGGTGATATTAGTTGTGTTATTATCTTATGTCATAAGAGATTGTGAAAGCCCTGGAATTGTCTGTAAGTTATCATCTCAGAGAAGCACTGTTGGAAAAAGACAAAGCCATCAAGAGGATGGAAGAGAGCAGGAGACGCTTATCTTAGATAGTTTCCTCAAGACTTCATTTCCACTCTACCTGACCATTAGAGGTACCCTGAAGCTAAAATGGTATCCTTGCTTTCAAGCATGCCATCACACCTGATGGCTCTCTTGCTAAGTTTACTGTAGCAGTTAATTCATTTAAATAACTAGTATGTCATAGAAACTATACTCATAAGCTAAAAATAATTCAAATTCTGCTCTCAGTTCATGACATACATTCCCATGTATAAGCTATTTACATTACTGTTCCATAAGGAATCTATTTAAAATGCACAGAAAGATAAACAGCACAAAAGCTAATCATAACCATCCCTTTGAAAAGGTTATGTATTCTCGTACTGTCTGAATTATAACAAAGTACACATTTAACATAGGTTTGCTAGTTTATAAACAATAGTCCAGGCTCCTTGGAGACCTGCAAGATGTCTTATAGCATAGAACACTGACAAATAAACTTTTAATCAATTATGGCATAATGGATGAGGCAGCTGGTGAGGAGTTGCATAGTTCAAAAAGAATAACTGAAGGACTGCCAAAGCTGGATAGAAATAGGCAGCACATGACTTTCATAATCACATCTGATTCTCTGGCCTCAGGCAATATCTATAAGCTAAAAGTATACAAAGATGTAATTTTAACATACGGCGGCAAGTTTTGGAACATTTTATACCTGGCTTACATGCAGCAATCACAAAGTGGGGAAAAAACTGGATGCCATATATCTGCAGATTGAATACAGTGGACTTCAACTGATATTAAGAGATGAAAAATTAAACAGAACAGTCCTATTCCACTTCCAAGAAACCAATGGAAGAAAAGTTATCTGATGTTCACAAAGCTTTCGACCAAATTATTCTTAAAAATGTGATCCTTAGCAACTGTTTTTACTTACAGCATACTTTTTTCTTCCTCCCCCATGTAAAGAATTTCTCATCCTTTAAGGCATGCATAAACAGAAGTTACAAACAGATCCTGCCTGTCCAAAACTATGTGCCTCATTAGTCTCCCTAGAAGAAGCAAACATTGCTTACCTTTGTTGTGTGACATTGCATATAAAAGACAGAGCACAAAGAGGGCATAGTAATCATCTTCAGCACAGTCCAGTGCATTATAAACCATATCAAGAAAAGGCCTGTGGGAAGGAGTAATTTTACAATTGGTCAGAAGAAAAAGAAGACATCTACAGAAAAACAAGTAACTATGTTGTTCTAAATGTAGCTAATGGAAGAGGCAAAATTACTGTAATCACATTTGCAGGCATTAAACAAAAAATGAACCTTTTTAAGAGATTCGGATCATAGCTAAGCTTTGTATTACATTATCACATCCTGACATAAATTCTCATGTTTTAATGGGATTTTTTACATAATACTTTCCAAGTGTCTGTTGACACATTTACTAAGTTGTCTGTAACACATTTAGCATGTATGTAAGCAAAAGCCTGGTTTAAATATTTACATAATTAACATTAAAGAGCTGCTATCACTGTTGAATTAAAAAAACCCTACCTTAAATCTCATGTACTAAATGGACTTGAAGTTTTTACTATTACAAGAAAGCAGGTTTCACTAGAAGTTTGGAGGAAGCTAGGTTATTCTGAAAGAATCAGTCAAAAACTTAACTTCAAACAGTTCTAGGAAGAAAATTATCAGGGATGGAATATCTGAATGGAAAAAAGAAATGTTTAGGCTGCAGATAAGCCTTTTTTCCCCACGACTTTTAAGCATGTGTGACCTATGACATACATACAGGAAGCTTCAAATAGCATCATGGTCGCCCTTCACCCATACCCTGAACAGACCAGAAAAGTCAAGTTAATCCAGAAGCTGTTTGGAAAGCTCAAAGATTCAACACATACTAGCAAAAACCTGATAGTAAGGCAACTTGGCTTCTTGTCTTCAGCTGGCTTGCACCCAGTCAGCTCAGAGCACGAGTAGAAATTAGGTTAGTTTTCACAGGTGGTCCAGACAGAAAAAAATTAAAAAAATAAGAAATCATGGAAGTGATAAGAGAGTTTAGAACCTTGATCGAAAAGGGAGAATTTCTACTTCTCAAAGAATTTTTTTAACAGTGAAAAGAAAAAAACATCCTTACGTTACCCAAATTATATCCAAATAAAATACAATATCATACCATCCCAACTCATAAAACCAAGTATATTTTCCTATCTTCAGACTTAACAGACAAAAAGCATGCACTTCAAACTCATTGCTGTGGTTAGTGATGGGTCCTAACAGCTATCAAAGATTAGAACACAACATACCAATCCCAGACCTGTGGCACCCTGATGGTCACACTTAATGTATCCCAGTAAGCCACTCAAAGTCACAACAATGTATTTAACACTTCCCCTCCACACACATTTCAACAACACACTCTCTTGTATTAAAACAAGGCTATGACAAGAATAACTGAAAACACTGTTCCTCTGCCCAGTTCACAACATCAGTCGTATGCTTGGGCATTTCTGAAGCTGGACTTACAAGCATCCTCCATGATCAACTACCACTGAACTGTGCTCTCTCTTTGCCCAAGTTCAGCACTGCCCTACGTACCTAATCCAAATTGCTTAGGTACAGATACTCCTATTGTAGGTCTCAAAAGGAAGTAACTACTCATGCAAAAGCAGCCTGAAGAATTAGCAATGTTGAAAATAAACCAAGAGTGCCTTCAGTCTTCCTAAGCATTGAAGAAGCCCTATAAGCCTCATGACATCCTGAAAAGGGGTGCTTTACACACAGCAAAAGGAGTCCAGCTTCCAGGTCTGAAGAAGAAAAAGGACCAAAATATCCAGGTTCAAGACTACTAAAATACAGAAATGCTACAGCACTGGGTCTGTTGTCATACCAACAACAGACAGTAATTACCCTAAAAACTAACATATGATGTAAAAGTAATATTACATGGTATTAAATGACTTCTATAATCTCTAGTGCATTTTTCCTTGTTTTCAGCCACATACTACTTAAATTTGTGAAACTACAGAATTTTAAGAAAATATTACAGCAGAGACCTAAATGCAGGAGAGACCCAGAAAAACCTCAGCTGTAAGAAGGTAGCAACAGAAGGTACAACGTAGCATGAAGATTTTGCATTCTCGAAAAAACTTTACTATGTAACATATCATAAAAGGAAGTTAATTTAAAACAAGCCTTTAGGCTTAAGCTCTCAGTGGTGAGGCACATCAAAATAAATTACACAAAGAACACTTGAACTTTCTCTTTTATGTTCTTCACAGTAGTAAAAAGGCTAAGGGAGACTGAAAACCTTTCACAGCTACAGCTTTTTAAACTTCAAATACCACTGTTTTCTGTTTATTTTCAACAAGTGTCGAACAAATTTTAAAAAACATTTTTCATATTAATTAAATATTAATAATGGCCATATGGCAAGTATTTTCCATTGTATTTCTTAACCCTGTAAGCATTTTCTTCCTTTATTAGCCTTTTTAGTATAGTGACTTCATAGGAGAAACAGGTTAAATTGCTGAGGTGAATTGCTGAGGTGAGTAGCTTGAGAGAGGACACCTTCAACACCAGAGCGGCGGGGAGATCAGCATCCAGGAGCCTCAACTAGGGACCAGGTTAGGAAAGGTAAGGCCCAGTTAGAATTAAACTAGGCTAGGGATGTTAAGGATAACAGGAAGGGATTCTACAGGTACGTAGCAAATAAAAAACAGACTAGGGAGAATGTAGGGCACCTCAGGAAGCTCTCCGGAGAACTGACTACCCTGGATTTGGAGAAGGCTGAGCTTCTGAATGACTTCTTTGCCTCGGTCTTCACTGGCAAAGGCTCTGACCAAACCACCCAAGTCTTGGAAGGCAGATGCAGGGACTGTGAGAATGAAGACCTTGCGTCCACTGTAGGAGAGGATCTGGTTCGAGACCATCTCAAAAATCTGAACGTGCACAACACCATGGGTCCTGATGAGATCCATCCCCGGGTCCTGAAGGAGCTGGCAAATGAAGTTGCGAAGCCGCTGGCCATCATATTTGAGAAATCATGGCAGTCAGGTGAAGTTCCCGATGACTGGAAAAAGGGAAATATAACCCCCATTTTCAAGAAGGGGAAAATGGATGACCCAGGGAATTACAGACCAGTCAGTCTCACCTCTGTGCCTGGCAAAATCTTGGAGCAGATTCTCCTGGAAGGCATGCTAAGGCACATGAAAATCAACAAGGTGCTTGGTGACAGCCAGCATGGCTTCACTAAGAGCGAATCCTGCCTGACCAATTTGGTGGCCTTCTATGATGGGGCTACAGAACTGATGGACAGGGGTAGAGCAGTTGATGTCATCTACCTGGACTTGTGCAAAGCATTCAACACTGTCCCACACGACATCCTTGTCTCTAAATTGGAGAGACATCAATTTGATGGATGGACCACTCGGTGGATAAAGGACTGGCTGGATGGCCGCACGCAAAGAGTTGTGGTCAATGGCTCAGTGTCCGGCTGGAGACCAGTAACAAGTGGCGTCCCTCAGGGATTGGTGTTGGGACTGGTCTTGTTTAACATCTTTGTCGCTGACATGGACAGTGGAATCGAGAGTGCCCTCAGCAAGTTTGCTGATGACACCAAGCTGTGTGGTTCAGTTGATATGCTGGAGGGAAGGAATGCCATCCAGAGGGACCTCGACACACTTGTGAGGTGGGCTGATGCCAACCTCATGAAGTTTAACCATGGCAAGTGCAAGGTCCTACACCTGGGTCGGAGCAATCCTAAGCACAGCTACAGGTTGGGCAGAGAAGAGATTCAGAGCAGCCCTGCAGAGAAGGACTTGGGGGTGTTGGTTGATGAGAAAATGAACATGAGCCGGCTTCAGTGCGTGCTTGCAGCCCAGAAAGCCAACCGTATCCTGGGGTGCATCAAAAGCAGCGTGACCAGCAGGTCGAAGGAGGTGATCCTGCCCCTCTACTCTGCTCTCGTGAGACCTCACCTGGAGTACTGTGTGCAGTTCTGTTGTCCTCAACGTAAAAAGGACATAGAACTCTTGGAACAAGTCCAGAGGAGGGCCATGAGGACGATCAGGGGACTGGAACACTTCCTGTATGAAGACAGGCTGAGAAAGTTGGGGCTGTTCAGCCTGGAGAAGAGAAGGCTGCGTGGAGATCTCATAGCAGCCTTCCAGTATCTGAAGGGGGGCTATAGGGATGCTGGGCAGGGACTCTTCATTAGGGACTGCAGTGACAGGGCAAGGGGTAACGGGTTAAAACTTAAACAGGGGAAGTTTAGATTGGATATAGAAGAAATTCTTTCCTGTTAGGGTGGTGAGGCACTGGAATAGGCTGCCCAGGGAGGTTGTGAATGCTCCATCCCTGGTGCTGTTCAAGACCAGGTTGGACAGAGCCTTGGGTGGTATGGTTTAGTGTGAGGTGTCCCTGCCCATGGCAGGGGGGTTGGAACTAGATGATCTCAAGGTCCTTTCCAATCCTAACTATTCTATGATTCTATGATTCTAAGTGCCATACAAGTATTCTTCAAATTATTTATTCTTGTAGACTGCCCACAATGGAAAACTGCAACATTTTAGGAATCACTATCATCATAATCATTAATGATTACCCCAGTTAAGAAAGTTTCTCCCACTTCAAGCATGACATAAAAGATCACTGTATTTTCCATTACCACGTGGCTTACCTTATTCACAAGACTCAGCAACTCCAATCAGTGTAAGAAAAAAGCTACACACACTTGAGCAAATGTTTTGAGAAATTTAGCTACTGCTTCAAGTATTACAATTGGCATATAGAATAACACGAAATCTTAAGCTGTACCAGCTTATCCACCAAATATTTGCCAAAAATGTTTGTACAAAACTAAGGCCACAAATGCCCTACACAGGATCTATCCTTATTTTAAAACTACCTTTAGCTCTGCACATTCTTTGATGCTGTTTATATCTAGGAAAGATGCTGACAGATCATATCTGCAGATCAAAAGAATTCTGAAATGCAGGTATTTGCCAAATGCACTGGCATCTCACACATAAGAATTTTGCAATTTTCACCACCTGAGCACCTCAGCTGTTTTAGTATTCAGTGAAGTCATTGCCAATTTCTTTCTAAAAGCCATTTGGCACGTATTTTAGTCAAAATATCAATAATCTAGAAAAACGTATTTTAAAGCCAGGTCAAGTCAAGGTTCAATTTCACTTTTACAGTGAAATTGTTATCTTTATTAATGAATGCAATCTAAGCTACGTCAAAGCTATAATGGAGACAGAACGAAATTCTGGGAATACTAGGCAGCATTTCCCAAGTTTAAAAATAAATTTCAAATCCTATTAAACATGTGCATTTCCCCAAGGGACACATTTGCAATTACTTTTGGGTTAGAGATGGCACATTCAGTTTCTTTTCCTTAGCGTTCTAATAACAGGAGTGCAAAATTTATACTGAGAAAGTGCCTATGGGGCATTTAATATATCCAAGTTTAAATTTTGAAGTCAGAGCAACTTCTTCTCCCCAAAACACTTAAAAGCTGTGTTTCAAAAGTCTTCAATAACCCTAAGATACGCTGATGGACCTTGGAAACTGTTCGTAAGTTATTAGGGTTTATCCACAACTGCTATTTCTAAAATTCTTCCAAATTCAGCCCTGATCAGAAGAATTTTTATTTTTTTTCCCTCCCTACAGGTATATACAAAATTGGCAGACATGACCATATGTCATTAAGAAAACTTCTTAATTTAGAGTTTTAGAAAATTCTGGAAATAAAACATTTATATTCTGGTATTATTGTGTTAATATTCTGTAATTTAATTTTACTAACTTAAGGCATCACAACTACCATAAAGGAAGGCACAAAGGAACAGGACTATTTTAAAAACTGATCGGTAGAGGTCTTATCCCATTTTTCTCATCCCACAAGTTGCCTCACTTATTTGTGATCCACAAAAAACCCTGCAATTTTAATCGGAAGCAGATTTGAAACTTCCTTTAAGAGAAGTGAGAGAATTAACAGGAGTGCAAGTAAGGAAGAAATCCAGCAAAATACACTGCAGTATCTTTATACCTGTTCCAGTTTGTTATCTCACTCCCAGAGGCGGCTGCACTCTTTTCTTCATCTGTTGTATTCTGTTCAGTCACAGTAGAGATAGGCAATTCTGACAGTTTACACCTCTCCATGATTACCATCTCTATTTCTAAAACCAAACCAAAAAAACTTTATATTTTTAACAAACAGCTATGTAAGCTCTTTTGTACTTTCCATTTTGCATTAAAAGTGACTGATGCAATTATATCTTGGAGGTGCAACCAGAACCTTGGAAAGGTCAATGAATTAATAGATGTAGGCAAAATTTCTTCTCATTAAAATAGTTTGTTTATATTTCTTTAAGGAATTTAACTGCTATATGAAAATTATGCACATACATAATATATGTAAAGACAATATATAGATTTTGGCATGTAAACAAGAAACAGCAATCCCCCTTCCCTCCAAACCACTGGAAGAAAACACACAGAACTTCTTTCTGGGAAAAAAGAAAAACCTCTGTGAAAATAATGGTGAGATTGGGGCATGGGTGGCCATCAAGTTTCATAGAGGGTGCAAACAGGTCTCTACAGTTACAGCAAACAGGTTATTTGGACCCGAGTGCTTCATTCCTATTGGCTTTAAGTAAAAGTATTAGGACCAAGTCTAGCTTTTGCTTAAGAATTTGGACAAAGATAACCACTAAAGGTTCCTGTTTAAAGAGTACATCATGTCATATTTTCTTCAAATCATGGTGGGCAACAAATCGGTTATTTGACACCATTTAATGAAATGCCTTCTCAGACTGCTTACCTAAATCGAAATGCAACCATGTTTGGAGAGAGCTGTCAAAGCATAAAAGTCTTGTTCTGAATTACTTGCATGAAATTCTGCCACATTTTTCTCAATTTATGTCTAAAGGCTAGTTTCTAGCATACATTCTTCTAACAGTTACTAACTAGCAAAATAAAACAGTTACAATATGCTGCAAGACCACTCGTCCTATAAAACCAATTCTTAAGGGTAGCATTACATCAAAAATCCTGAAAACATTCAATTAAGAATTAAAAAAAATAACGTTTTTTTTTTCAGTTCTGAACTACTTAATACCACCTTCTATCATGTACTGTCAGTTTTAGCACACATAAAATACTCCTGATCACCTTTACCATGTAAGTGAAGTGACTACACCATGTGCCTTACTACAGAAGAAGTTAGAAAGTTGAAGTCTACTTATAAAGTGCTCCATAACCATGTACACCTAGCTGCAAAGCATGCACTTATGATAAGGCTGAAGACTACAGAAGACATGAAAACACTTCCATAATTTTTAATCAGATTAGAAGCGCATGCTCTGTCAGAATAATTTAACATGACCAAAAAAAATTACAGCCAAAGACTGAAACAAATTTAATAGGCCCACATTCACCTAGTGCAACAAGAGAACAAGTGATGCAACAGCTAGCACTGTGATAAACACACTAAATAAAAGTATCCAAACTGTGTCCTTTTAATTTGCTGTTATACTCACCTTCACTTTCACTGCTTGTTCGGATGCTCTTTGAACTCGCTTCTACACCTTTAGTTTTATCTAGGTCATCTTGGTTATCTTCAGATCCTCTCTCCTCTTCATCTTCTTCACCAACATTTTTATAGTTGGGTCTTTTCTGCACTCTCTTCTTCCCCTTCTGTTTGTTAATTTCAAGAGACCTCTCAAGTGTTTCTGTTGGTTTTATGAAACATCTGATACTTGACTTTGCCTGTAAATTTGAAAAGTTTACACTGAGTTATAGCAATACATTTTTAACTCCAACTGATAAAGAAATTTCAGTTCACATAAAAGAGGGGTTTCAGAATGAAAATTAGCAGGCCATTAAAACTCTCCAAGACATTTTAAACTACAAAAAAGGCAGACCTCAAGATGTATCAAATTTTCAGTAGAACAAACACCTCCAAAGTAATATACCCTGAAGATCTCTTATTAACAAGTACGCCATCTTGAGACAGAAGATACAGAACTACCTATTTCATCAATAAAATTTATATTTTTTTCCCCTCCTTTTAACTTCCTGAATAGTTGAGACAGTGAGTACACACAAATTCAAACAGTAAGCGATCACCACCTGATTTTACTGATTATTAATTTACAGAGCAAGAAAATTCATTTAGATGACAAATTTCTCCCAGAGTAAGTTATTTCCAAGAGTCTGCACTAGCCGTGCCATCCTAACAGAGACTTCACAAAATATTTAGAAAAATCCCTCCCTTCACTGAATAAGGAACACCTATACATAAAAAGTAAGACATTAGAAAGAGATCTGGGAAGAAGCCTTCTACAAGTCAAATGTTTCTCTGAATCTTCTGACTTTTTTAATAGGTTTCATAGAAATCTTGCATAAACCTCCTTGCGCTTTGCACTGAAAAAAAAACCCAGACAGTAGGAGGTATCTTTCACAACACCAAAAAAAACCCACAATGTGAAATTTACCACACTCATGTCCCCAAGTAACCTCTCCAATGTATTTTTAGACTGATCAACGGCAACACAGGAAAGTTTTAAACCAACCAGAGTTACAACCAGATTACCTTTTATTGATGGTTTCTGGTCAGAAAAGTCATAAGGGAAGAACTCATTAAGTCTTATTCTTTAGGGAAAAAAAGGAAAAGTACCATGCAAGTTGCATAATGCATTTTTCTCTTCTTGCATTCACTTCTGAAAATTGCTTCCTAGAATCCTGTAGCTGCTTTCTTTATTAAGAATGCCCATACTTATCATGCTTGCATTTAGAAGATGCTGTTTACCATAACAGCAAAATAATTGAGACCAATAGACAGAAATGTGCTTGTAAGCACTGAGCCATGGTCTAGTCCATCTCAAGACAGAATGCTGAGAAAAAGTCAACATATACTATCCTGCTAAATATAACAAGTCTATATACTTAAAACATTCTAAAATCAGACTTGAAAATAATTTACATAGTATATGCTTTATCTAAGTTGATTATACAGCTTGAGATACTGCTATTTCATACTTCTAGTATGTCTTTCAACCATGCTTTCAATTATGGTTTATCTTGCGCAATGTGTGCTGTAAAATAAGGCAGTAACTGTAACAGCTTTTACGGGAAGGAGAAAGTAGGTTAAACAAGAAACATGAAATAGGTGGAACTGGCCCACATCGGAATTATGCAGAGAAACAGATCTCACAGGAAGTAAGGTAAACTTTAGTGTGATGACTGCTAACAAGTTTAAATATATTCTGTTGGCTACACATACTCAACTCTTATCATGAGGTAAGAGATAATATTTCTTCTGATGCCACCTAAACCCAGAAATATAGGGATAAAATATAGAAGGAAAACTGTATCTTCATTTGCTATACTTGAGGAGGAGAACCAGTTCAATGGAGGCTGGGCAACCACTACTGCCCTATGATGTTCAGCAGATCTCCACAGATTGGTTATTGCCAGTTCATAAATTATTGTAAGTTAGATATGCTGGTGAATTTTTTCAACAAACTGATTTGCAGGAAGCAGTACCATTTGTTCCTGACAATTACCGCTGCTCTTTTGCCTTAAATAACTCTGGATACGTTGCATTTATACACAGCAAATGCAACCCTTCTCACCTTTTAGTTTTGTTAAGTGTTCTTTACTCTTCAGTCTCCTAATATGAGGGCACATGACCCTGCTTCTGGTAATCTCAGTCCATGTTCTGTACAGCTCATCCCACTTTAATTCATTTTATTAGGAAGATTAATGTAGACATGAGGTTCTACTTCAGGTTTTAGAAACTACATGTTAGTTAGAAACTGACACACTTGAATTTAAATATATAAAGACATCTCAGTTACAAGGGATAAGCAGTGTTAGGTACAGAGCAGGGGTTTAGAGAGAAATGTGGCTCACCATAACACACAGAAATATCCCCAAAACAAGAAGCTTGGGAGAGTATCAGAATGATTACCGTGGGAAATTGTAACAGAAAGGAAGTAATAAAAGATAAATTTGGGTTTGACTTAAGAACAAACACAAATCTAAACTCAGCCAAAAAATTAAAAAAAAAAATTTTTACTCATTACATTTCTCTACTAACCCCCAAACAAGCAATTCTGAAGTAGCTTCTGAAATAGTTTCCATTATTCATTGGAAGTTTGTAATTTCTTCACAACAGAATACGCCACAGCAATAACTTTGCAGTGATGCCAATGCACCCCTGAAATGGCCAACTGCTCAAAAATGAACTTTCTGCTCTAAGAGGTCTTATCACAGAGCAACAAGAAACTGCCTCACCTTTACTTGTCCATGCCTCCCCATCTACAGCTGACTTTAGCCTCACTGCACTGAGCTGTGTACCAGTAGAAAACACCATGCAACATATGCAGTAGCTGTTAACACTCAAAGGAAAGCAGCTCACTTGATAGCTCCCCTCAATGGAAGCAGCACATGGAGCAATTCTGCTGAAGACTACTTCCTGCTCCTTCTGCACCAGCAGCCTTTCTGACAGTACAGGTTCACTCCTCTAAGATTTCACTGAAGAATATGGTTGAATTTACCAAAAACTAAATTTTTCCCATGAAAGCTTTTTCCTCGACCACCAGAAGTGCCACCACTCTGCTCTCCTTGTAACAAATGTCCATCTCTAGCAATTTTGCTAAATGTCTACCCTAGAAAGCCAATATCCCTCTTATTTCCCACTGGTCAGGTATGACGGAAGTACTAGTTTACATGTCATGTGGACCTTTAAGAGCAGTAATAAGATGCAATCTAAACAGCATTACAAACAGAAGAATAGAGGAACAGAAGTTCATGGGAAAGCCCTAATATTCCTAACATTAGTGCAAGCACACAAACACATGCTACAGAAATTTTGCAACTCTGTTACAGTAGCTATGAAAGAAAAAGAAAAAAAAAAAATCTCACTTCTGTGACATCTGGTGCCACACCCTCTTGCCACAAATTTCCTAGTAACAAAGCTGCTTCTGCACAAGTAATAGCACACAACATTAAGTACACAGCTAGCAGAAGGTTAGACATCTGCTAACACAAAAGATAGCTTTATCTTAAAGCATTCAGCCATTTCTACCATTCCACTGCAGTTTACTCTAAAAAAAAAGATTAGACTCAAATATCAAGGTCAACAGTACAAAAAGCTACTGGCTAAAGTAAGTCCACACAGCTTCCACTGCACAGTAGGAAGAAGCATAGAAAAGCTGACTTGTATTGTGGAAGACTTGAAGCATATCTCCCCCTTGAAACTCTCATAGCTATAGCTGGGAAAGAACATGCATAAGAACATAACAATCTATTGCCTGTTATAAAATATGCAGTAACTCTTTGCTGACCAGTCAGAAATCAGGGAACACATTAAATCTTCAGACAGAACTGTAGTCATAAGCCTCTTAACGAAAGTAAAGTTGTACCCTTTCTTATTACCATCCCCCATTAGGCCTTTAACAAGTAACAAATTGTGAATGCCACCACAAAAGGGAAAAAAATATTAACAGCAGCAGCATCTACCAACATCTACACAGGATTAAATCTGAAGATACCAGGACAGTGACAAAATGATAGCACTCCCATCTGTTTATGGCTTGCCTATGTTCTCTTATGCACATGGATGTATGCTTTCAGAGATGATCAGTTTTACTTATAAACCAGTGGGACTACTCAGGCAAAATCCTCAATTACTTCTATATCCAAAGGATTTACCATAAGGCCATGTATTTTTTCTGAGTCTCTCATTTCTAGAAGTTGTGTAAGGAAGTAATCTCACAGGAAAGTTGTGATGACTCATTTCTATAATACAGAAGACTGCATTACAGGAGTGTCCCATCAGAACAACAGAAGCCTTTGTGTAGTGCCTGAACCCTGCAGAAGCAACTAAGTATTCTAATACGTGTTCTACATGTGCATATACCACTACTGGAAATACATATGCATGAACAAAAATATTGCACCTTTGACAAGAACAGAATAAACCAAGTTGCAGAGAGTATTTTTCTGCTACCATAACCAACAACAAAATCTGAAATCTACTGCTGCTTTTCTCTCCTAATCACAATCACCTTAGCTTACCAGTTTCCAGATGCCTGATTCTACTTCTCAAATGTTTTCTCCAAAACAAAAATATTCAAAACTAGTCAGCCACCTACCGAGTTTTTCTGTGCCTCTTGCTCAACTTTAGAAGAAAACACCGAGAGGTCACCATTAAGTATAACCTCAGCCAATGAGTTTACCAAAGGGGCATAATGTATAATTAGAAAAACCTATTAAAAGAAGAGTGGAAAGAAATATCAGACATCTATTACAGAACACATAGTTTCACAATTTCAGTCACTGAGCATACTTTGACCTTGTTAAACTGGTAACTTTACATATAAAGTACAACTGGTAACACTGACAGTTCATGAAATCTACTTCGACCTTTCTCCACATTTTAAGTTACCTAGTTTAAATAATTCTTCATACGCTTTGCTCCTATCGAAAGGTAAAATTCTCTCTCCTCATCAGCTTCAAGATGAAATTTATGTGATATTCTAGTGAGCAACCCAAATTAAAACTGCTCCAGAAAACTGGGGGATTTTTGGCTGGTTTTTGCTTTTTACGGGGGGGGGGGGGGGGGGGGCGTGGGGGTGGTGAAGAGATCACTTGCCTTTTTTTTTTTTTCTTTTTGTTTGGTTTGGAGATTTTTTGGGTTGGTTAATTTGATTTTCTTTTGGGTTTTTTTGAGAAACTACACAAACAGATTCTGGCACAGAGCATTCACTGACCTTCTTGTATGCCAACAACTGGAAGGACTCCAGTTAAGCCCTCTGTTGTGCATACAATTACTTCGCAGCGATTTATGAGTAAATGAAGCTGAACTGGATCAGAAGCAGCTTTACTTGCTATGAATTAGCTATTATTTCTTTCAATGACTTAAGGTCTAGCTACAGAGCAGCTACATAACAGAGGAATAAGGACCATACTGCTTAGAATATTAAGACACTTTTGCAGAAGTGCTTCAGTGCTTTAACAGTTATCTACACTAAGCACTCTATTCTGAGGCAAGGCTTACAAGGTTGGGCCAGCAAACAATTGGCTCCTGAACAGAACCAGCTCAGATCCAGCCGCAATAGCCTTGTGTCAGCTTATAATCATTTTCTCCACAGGAGTATCAAAGCCTAAACAGTGCTTCTAATTGAAAAATCCCCAAATCAGTAAACCTTATTGTTTTGACAATATTTAGCTAAACATGCCCTCCATAGGTTTTCTGGTTAAAGTCACAACCATTACAGACCTTCAAAAGTGAAGTGCTTCTTAGCATGCAGCGGTGACCAAGTAAAACTTGGAAAGTTGCAACACACTTTGAACAACCTCACAAACCACTCCAGCTTCTTCTGATTCAAAAAACATAGCTTAACTACACACAGGCATGTTCTGGTATAAGTATGTTACATGTTCACTTTGTGAACAGTCGATGAAAGTCCACAGCAGAATTTAATCTGCTAGTATGACTCTTTCAAGCACTTGTCTCCAATATGAGTAATGCCTGGTCTCAACAACAGGAGCCAAGAAGGTTTTTCAGGTACAGTGTACCTTTTTCAGGTCCCCCTCCAAAGACAGACTCCAGGTTAAAAAGAGCTAGAAAAAGAAGTATTTCTGCCAGTTACAGAAAAAGTGATTTGCTACATCACATCCCATCCTGACACAAATATTTTTTTCCCAATTCTTTATGGTTAGAAAAGCAGTTCCATTTAAAAGAATAAAGAACATGGATCTAAATCTTGAAGTGATACCTAGGCAATACTACTTCCACTGAAATCAAAGAGGTTAAAAGAGGTCAAAAGAGGTCAACATACACAGCCTTATGATGCAGACCCCTTTAGCTATAATAAGTTCCTCCCAGTGTTTGATCTGTGGTAAATAACTACCACATCATCATAAATTTTTAAGTTTAAATTAAGAAGAATCAAATTGTATTATCCTGAAAAATAATATTTTTCAAAAAGTTCTTAAAGAAGATGAAATTATGGGCCAGACCATAAGAAAAGTACTCACATAAAATCATAAGTTCAAAGGGAAAAAGAGGAATAAACTCTATGAATACAAGGCAAAGCTATTTTCAGAGAAAATAATTTAAGAAAATTAGACTCCTACCCATGCACTGAAGACCACAGGGAGAAAAGATTCTTTTTCTCTATTTACAATAACAAAAAAATCCCACTGTGGAACTCAATATGAAAAAAGGAGGTGGCACTAGTAACTGAAAGAAATTGCAAGTATTTAAATATAGATTTAAGGTATAGGCATAATGATATTTAAATTGTGAGAAAGTTTGAGGCTTAAGTGGTGGTAGTTTGGGGGAGAAAAAAAACAAACAAAAAAACCCATGAGATCACTGCTTCTCCTATTTCTATTCAAAGCTGGAATATTCCATTGCTTAGGCAGATTCAAAATGCAATGCAGCATCGAGCTAAACTTCACCTGAAATATTACCAAATTTTGTCCTAGTACATTGCATGGCTCTGTTACGCACCATGTGTCAGGTGGTGTACACAAACTATGATCACTGACTGCTCTAAAGGCTACCCTGGGCTATGGGATCCTCAGAAGAAGGATATTAGCTCAAGTAAGAAACTGCTTGGTCTGTCCATAGAAAGACAAAAGGTCTTCCATTTTAAATGGAAACTGATAGGTTTAAATCTTCACTTGACAAACCATCTTTAATAGATTTGCCAAAAATAAATTAATTTATAAATCATAACACTACTGCAAAAATATGTTCAGTAATAGGACAAAATACTTAAAATACCTACCTGTGAAAGAAGATAGAGAGAAACTTGGAGGCTTATTTTTGGACGCTCTCCACCCTATGGAAAAAAATTATGAAAAATGCTTATTTATTTACACAAAGTCAAAGCATCTATAGTTTAATATTTTATTTAAAACAGAACTTTTAATAAGGTGCTGTTCCACACATTCTGCTATTAAATGTTCAGAAAGTAACATGCTTTTTATCGTTCACTTCTTGTAAACTATTTCAACTGAAGACCCTCCGAATAAGCATGTCCCTTCATCTACATGCTTAAAAAAAAAATTGCAATTGATTACCATCTCTCAGTCACTTTGGTAACTTAAATTTAACAGGTAAGTATCTGAGAAGCATGCGGGGTTTCACAATGCTACTATTCCTTCAAAAAGTAATTCTCAGCTTTCATTAAAAATTTGCTTTAAAAATTACTTACTCAGAAACAATAAAATATTACCTACATATTAAAAACCATTTTCCTCATAGACACTTCTCTAAATCAAGTAAACCACATTGGACAAAAATATTTGAAGTATAATTCGAGCACAACACTGCTAAATTTATATACCAGTAGTAATGAAAACATTTTTAAAAATGAATTAGTGATACCTTAAAAAACCATCACCAAATAAAGTCATCAGTTATCGCAAGAGGTAAGAACAGCCCCATTTTACAACATAAGTGCCTGAAAACAGGATGACAAGCAGATTTCTGTACATATGGGAATGGCAAAAGTTGGAAGAGCTGAAATGAAGTAAAAGCCAGGAAAGTCTGCTTCATCCTATTTCAATGGCAAGACAAGAAGGTTACTGTTATTCAATCTTCAGTGCACAAGGAACATACTGAACTCACTAACTTACAAGAAACCTGACCTCTGGCTAATGCAAGTATGCTGAAGTTCACAAATCATTGTCTATCTTAAGAACAAACACCACTACATAAGATTAAAAAAAAAAAAAAAAAATTTTCTTAAAAGACAAGTGAACATAGGAACCTATACAGGTTTTATAAGAACAGTTTCTATTTCATTAAAAATTGGCTTTCAACTATGCTTTACAAAAAAAACAACAACCAAAAAACAAGCAAAAAAAACAACCAACGAAACAAAACAAAAAAACCCCCACCTTTTTCTAAGAGCAACTAGTGACAGGACAACAGGCTTTAAACTGAGAGAGGGTAGATGTAAATTGGATATATTTCTTCCCTGTGAGGGTGGCAAGGCACCAGCACAGGTAGCCCAGAAAAGCTGTGTCTGCGCCATGCCTGGCAGTATTCAAGCCCAGGTTGAACACGGCTTGGAGCAACCTGGTCTAGTGGAAGGTGTCCCTGCCCATGGCAGGGGGCTGCAGCTGAAAAAGCTTTAAGACCCCTTCCAACCCAAACCAGTCTGTGATTCTATGAGAAATAAAATCAAGTGTATCGCATTCAAACACAGGTTATCTGCAAACAGAATAATCAAGTATCAAAACCAAAATTTGTATTTTCTACCTGGAGTGAATTTTACACCACGGAAAATTTGCAGGGATACTGGGAAAATGTATATAATTTCCTTATTTTATCTATTCTGCCATTAAAATTCAGTCTCAGGATATTTCCTACACTAATCCTATTTAAGCTGTTTCATGTAAAGCATACAGAGATATCAACAACATTAACAATACTACAGCATGCACCTGCTGAAGAAATTGTTCTGCATACTGGAAGTAATACCTTTAATTGTTTGCAGGTATTACCTTACCTTGTCTTGATTGACTAGTGAATACACATATAAGGGAAGAAAGAGCCGATTAAGTAGGTGGTCTGTCAGCACATCATTTAAAAATTCACAGTTAATGATAAGGATATCATTAAGGTAATGTAAATGATCAAGATGTTCTGCTACCAGGTCACTCAATTTGCCCCTATTTCTGTGCCTGAAAAAAAAGAGTAGAAAGAAAGTCTGAGATATAATCAATTGTCAAAGTGTTAAAAACCTTGAGGAAAGAATTAATGTGAATCCCTTTCACACAGCACCTCATGCAAATCAACTGCCTAAAGAGGTTTTTAGTAAAGTCAGCTAATGCAGCTAGCGCATCAGGCTTAGATGTGGTTTAGGATGCACATATCAAGTTCTTCCCCAAGTTTTCAGAAGCAGTGGTTGTTTTAAAACTTCACTTATCGACTGTCAGGGTCTTTTCACAAGCCAATCAAAAAAAACCAAAAAAATCTAAGATTTGTTTCCAAAAATAAAAGAAGAAATCTATGTTGTATTTAACGTTCACTTCTTCACTTTAACAAAGCAAGAAATAGAGACCTATGCTAAGGTGGGGTGGGAAGGCAAACCAAGAGTAATCTAAACCAACAAAATATTTCTGTAGATGATAGTGGAGTCTTACACATGCATTTCAGGTCTGACAGTTCATGTATTTAATAAGAGTTCATCTTTTCAATTTGAATTTTTTTCCTAGAAACTTTTCAGAAAGCTGTTCTACTGTGATGCTACACAGAAAAAAAAAGGAAGATTAAAAAGATATAGTTAATAAAATTGGAAAAAAAATAAATCTTTTGTGTCTTCTAGATACCTATTAAATTTAGCAGAATTAAAACAAAGATAAAGAAAAAGCATGTTGCCAAACACTAATTTACTATCTGTATATTATCATGGAAAGGACACACAGCACTAACCACTACCAATTCAAAGAATCACAAAAAAACTTTGCAAGAATGAAAAGCTTGAACTGTCTACAGTGGAAAGTATTCAGAAACTAACTTGATCCGACCACTACAGACAAAGAGAGAATCAAGACCTGGGAGAAAACATTTTCATTCAATACCCAGCATTTGTAAAACCTTACTCTTCATCAGTCTGCACGCAGTTATCCAATTCTATCACATGGCTTCCAATAAACCAAACAAGGTTGGAGAAATAAGGGACAGCAGTTTTATCTCTAATGTAATGCAGCATAGGTTGGTTGTCCACTAAAGAGAAATTGTTAAAAAAAAAAAAAAATCAGTTGCCAACTTTCTGTAATTAATTTTTAACAAATAAAACAAAGTATCTTCTCAATTTGATTACATGCTAGCTTTTCATGTGTGTATACCTGACATGATCTTATGCATGAAATGGACAGCTACAAAAGCATCATATCAATTCTTAATTGGCTTGAATGAGCCTAATACTGATATATTTACAATGGTCTGAAGGTAAACAAATTTAATGGAATTGAGAAAGGTTTTTTTTAGCACATTCTGTATTAATAAGAAGAGAAAAAAAGCATAAGAATAATGCTGAAAGTCAAGCTAGTTAGACTTACATGACACTGCATTAAGGAACACGGGAATCATCAGTGAAGGAAGGGCAGAAGAAACAGACAACAGTTAACAAGATTAGGAACTGGGATAGTGACATCCTCCGAAAGGGTTTAAAAAGCTAAAGCACAAAGCATCTACCTAAAAGATACAGGGTAAGTGCTAGATCAGAATATATGTAAATGGATAGTCAGAAAACTATGAACCCTGAACATCTGAGCTGTGTTTTTTCAACTCTAACCTTTATATGGCTCTAACATCCAATGAAAATTCTAGACAAGTGCATTTTGGATTTTTTTACCATAAAAATACTTAGATACATAAATACATAACTAATAGAGCAGAGTGCAGGGTTTATATCCTTTTTGTGAGCTCAAATTTGGGTTTATAGCCCCTTGAAGTAGAAACATGTACAAAGTGCCCATTTCACAACATACAAAAGAAAGACATTTCTGTCCCTTTCAGTCAACACTATGAAGAACCTCTAAGCCACACAGGCTACCCAGTTATTTGCACAGCAAATTGTTCATTGTTTTAAAAAACAGGTCTTATATTCTTCTATGATGAAGACTTACCAAATCACTATTTCTCTTGATAGAAAGTTGTGTAAATTTAAAATGCAATTTAACTTAAAATGGATTAAAGACTAAGAAGCCCTGCATGAACATATTCCATAATACATCCTATCTTACAGCATGTTGATTTCAGAGGTAAAAGTTCTAAATATACACCAATTTCTCTACAGACATCACTATATTTTTAGCTTATTACAGATTTTATACACCCCACCTAAAATATTAGGGGGAAGTGACTTTTGGACATTATCTAGTTCAAACCCATTCTCCAAGTAGCATTAATTTTGAAGTTCAACAAGGTTGCTAAGGGTCTTGTTACATATTTAAGATCTCAGACAGTAGAGATTACTCAGTGTCTCCGCAAAACCTACTGCAGCGCTTAACTGCTCTCACGGTGAAGTTTGGATTTTTTTTCCTGATGTCCTACTGGAATGGCCAGTACAAAAATTTGTGACAGCAGCCTCCTGGCCTTGACTGGGGCCCTCTGGGAATGGTTTAGCTCTTTGTCAGACTGCAGCACCTACAAGCTCTATAATCATATTCTAATGCACTTAAAATCCAAAAGGATGTGATATAGCCAGCAAGGTTACTACTTCACACATTATAAAGCTCAAGTTCAGAAGTCAAAAGTAGTTGATAGGCTTAAAGCACTTTGGGTTTGGGGTTGGTTTTTTGTTTGTCTGTTTAAATACAGCCACATTCTGATCTTTCTTGGAAGGGAAGCTGAAGTTCCTTGTGCATGCTTGTTTTTTCAAACCAGTTTAACCTCTGAGGAAACAATGCTATTTACAAGTACATACTGCAGGTTTGGGGTTCTGTTTCATAAAAAGTAAAATATGTATTTGAAGCATGTCAACATGCCAAGCTTTTCAATATCATAAAAGACAGAAAACCTTTAATGTAAATAACTGAAAACTAAACTACCACAAAACAAGCATTCTGTACACATGCCTTCTTTAATATGTATAAAGCATACCTTTGTAGACATTTAAAGTTATAGTCCTAACAGCAATCCTGACCATGCTTTCTGGGTGGTTAAAAAATTTAATAGCTTCGGTGTACAAAGCGAAGTCATTAGTGTGCTGCAACAAAAGGAAAGAAAGTATTTATGCATTAACCAAACATGTACAGAGTATCTGTTGGGATTCTGCATGAAAGCTATCTTCTATGTACTGCTCTGATATTTTTACTTTCTACTTAAGTGTTTTAAATGATTTTACAATGCACAGTCAGCTGCATTTGTAGCTCTGCATTAAAAATAAACTGCTTTAATCATCAGAGCTTTCCAAGTCAACTCTGCACGTATTCAGTGCTATAATGCCATCTTCTGGCAAAATGTGGAATGGAGCGTGGAAAAATCCATTGCCACCTTGACCTTTGACTACTCAGGCTTTTTTAGACTATGACTCTTAGAACCAAATGATGCAACAGAAAAGATCCTGCTTAAAAAAGCACAAGAAAATGGAGCATAAACAAGCTGAATTCTCACAGAAGTAGACGTCAGAACTACCAAAACAGTCCAATATAAACCAACTTCCAAATTATTATATAGTTGTATAAGAACAAAGACCTTCTTTATCATGTTTTTGCAGAGATCCCCACAAATGAATTCTCAACCACTTATATTAACATTATAAAAATAAATATAGGACATGCCAAAAGAAGAGACTAACTAACTAGAATGCACACCAAACTGCTATCTATTTCTAATTAAAGTCCTCTCATCATTATACTACAACTCTTTTTTCACTTACCTCATTATAAAAGAAATGTACAGTATGATTGTTGAGTTTCAGGGAAAGAGTTTTCAAAAATGATATGTAATATGCCATGATCTCCTCATCAGAAAAGTCAAATTTGTGGACAATAATAGAATTTACATAGTTATTAGAGAGCAGGTAGTCTGAAAAATAAGAGACATTACACACGTTAACACAAAGAAAAAATTATGCTGCATGTAAAGTACCTGCTAGCCACAAACTACCTGATAACTGAAGATCCACATTTTTAGCCAAACAACTGAAGTGATGCCTTCAAGCAGTAACATAAAGAAACCGTTCCCTACAAAGGTCTTTGCTGCTAAGAATAAGAAAACTAAGAATACACTTGACTTTCCTCAATTTATGCAGGCTTTGCAACTAATAACACATAAAACAACTCTCTTTTCCTCCCCAAATCATAACTTTCAAAGGCTTATGACTTTCTCTCCAGGACAGTTGTCAAATACTTTATTAATTTTCTGCTCTCTTTACATGTTTCTAAAACCTTGAAGTAAAGGTAGGAGGCTGAATGCCAGCCCTAATGACCTCAGAACAGTCCCAGTACAAACGATACAACAGAGTTCCACCACATCATCTGCAGTAGCCAGGTGAACAATTCAGACCACAACGAACTTGCTGACTTAAAGAACCCCCTGAAATGCGCTAAATATTTCAGTAATACTGAACAACTACTTCTGTAGTACTGAAAGTTTACATTAAAACTTTGGAATCAAATTACACTGTATTTTCAGTGTTCAATTACAAAGATTTTCAGGAATACATAAGGTTCTTCTGTGAAGGTGCACTAGTTCATTAAGTGAAAGGGAATTCAATCACATCTTGATCATTTAATCCTGAATGGTTTATAAGCATGCCCTTACACAGTGATGTTTCATGACTGATGTTCTCAAAAAGGATGTTCAGAGTCTGCAGAAGCTGTACACACACGTAACGACCAGACTTCTGACGCAAGATGTTCAAGAAGAAAACAAACATATTCTTCTCCAAGAAAAAGCTGAAATAAAATAGAGGTGTCATCAAGTTACTTATTGTCTTTAACAAGAGTATAATATTACTAAGATCAGGGATGATTCTAGACAAGTTTAACAAACAGCATGTTTTACGTTTATAAAGGATTATTTTGCAAAGTTTTATCTGTACAACAGAAGAGTACCTTCCAACAACCTTAAACACTAACAAGGTCACTTCAACACTCAAATTATGCAGAAAAGGAATGTCAAGAAATCAGGGGCTTCTTTATTTTTAGTTTATGCAATTTATCAGGCAGCTTCCCCACCTCACAATCATCATTTTGAAGGGGGGAGCTTCTAAATGAAGGTTACATTTTGTTCACTTGCCCCTTTTAAACTAATACACTTTTTGCTTTCAACACTGTAGACCTTATTTGTGATCCACTTTAATTATTTTTCCCCCACACCAGAAGCAAGCATTTCATGGGTTACTGTACAATTCAAGCAGAAGTGAATACTTGCAGTGTTTTAAACCAGAAACACATGCAATTTAAAAAGAACAGTGTGGACTCTTTCCTACTAGGACATCACAAACACACATCTATGTTGGGGTTTTTTACCTTAATTGCAGAAAAACCTCCTAATTACTAAAATTCTCCCAAGCAGAGAAGACAGTAAGGAATATGATGGAGTTACAGTATAGGCATGAATAATCAGAGTGAGTTAGTTTTCTGACCTTAATCATGTCGAAACCAACCACTCCCTAAATAAGTAATTAAAACTACAAACACCTTAGCTTTATTTATCTCAATCACAAATTGCCTTGATCAAAGAGCAAGCGTCTTCAAGCAAACAGCCAAGCAATGGGTATTAATAAAGTCAGATTTGCAACTGAATGTTTGTTTTGAAGTTTTTCTATCATGCTATTGTATGAGAATTAAAATAAGATCTGAACAAAAACTCTAAATATCATAGCTAGAATAAAATATTTATTTATAGTATCTTATATAAATTGAACGAACTGAAGAAATATGATATTAATAGATCTACTGAGAAAATCTGGGCCCTAAACCAGGCCTGATTTTGTGTTTATACTGAAGAGTTCAGAGTCAAACAAAAGCAGCACATGAAAGGGGCTCTGGATTTTGAATGTTTTTTTTTATTAAAAGTAGTAAATTCTCTGCTTCTTTGTATGACAAGAATATGATCCTGCCTACCTGTCTATTACAGGACATAGCTTTGTACCTACATTCACGAAGTACGGTCTTGGAAGAGTTAGCCTTTTGAACTAGATCTCCATACAACTTTCATCACTTTTCAAAAACAAACTAGAATCAAAATTATTTGGAATACTTACTCAAATACTGAGCTGTCATTCTGATCCCCCCATATAAGGATCTCTGTTATAGAACGAATAGTCTCTACCAGCAGGTTGCGGTTGTGATCTGTTACTGTTGTATTTTTAGTCAAAATATGATACATGTACCTAAAAGAAAAAAATAATCACAAGAATCAATGTGGCTATCCTGTCATTTTCACATGCACCACATTTATCTTCAGTCACTGTAACTTAATATAGACACACACATACTATGCCTCATCACTGTACAACTTAAAAATCCTAAAATTCCTTTTACTATTGATGCAGAGAGAAAAGTAATTGTTAAACAGAGTATGTGCCAAATAAAACAAAACAAATCCGTAACTAGCCATGTGAAAAGTGTAATTGTGTAAAGAGACACATGCAGATCTCACTAGAAAAGTTAGATCCCGACTCTTGTCTGCAGAGACAATTTACATATTGACTCATGTCAACTTTATGGTCAATAATCAGGACTGTCAAAGGCCATTCATCTTGGCAAAGCTTAATCATCACATCTCTGGCCCTTCAAGCATGGAGCTACTGATGGGAAAGGCGGCAAACTCCAGCTTTACCATCTCAAAGTTTAAGGCTGCCCAGTGAAGTTTACAAAAGCATATGTCTGATTTACATAGCGGACAGGAAGCTAAATAAAATTGGAAAGGCTTGTTAAGTCTCAATTTCACTCAATGAAGCACATTTATTTTTTTCATTCAAAATAAAATGTTACAAAGATTATTTTTTTCCTAAAAACAAAAGAGGGGATGCTAATAAAAGAATCACCACTGCTATTCTCCCTCTGACGCCTTTTTTATTTACAGAGTAATAAACAAAAAGGACAGATAAAAGAAAGGTGCACAGTTATGGAAGTCATTACTAAAAATAATTTCATGCTGAGAAACTGCATAAAATTAGAACTGCAAGAGTTTAGCTTACTAAACACAGATCATATATTGCTATACTACAATCTCTGCAAAATCTGTGGATAATCCTGAGTGTTCAGGACTAACTGGGCAATAAATTCACAAGTGCTTGGGAAGGAAGAGAGATTTTTCCATGCTATCAACCTTTCCATGAAAAGTGGAGCTAATAAAACTCCCAGGATCTATTTCTAGGAAAACAGCCTGAGTGTCCTGAGTCTGGGGCAGCCTATTATTATTGTTTTGGATTCCATGAATGTTTGTTCTATGATTCAGGCTGAAATTCTAGGAATCTTATTAGTAAGATGCAGGAGTTTAGAAGTTCAAGAAGCCAATTTTTAAGCACCAGACCCAAAGACCTCAAGCAGCCATTATGTAAAAGATAAAAACATCAATCTTGACAAGCTACTGTAGGGTTCCAGGAAACAGTGTGCATTTCTGACACAAAATGCTGGGGTATCTCATTTAAGGCTAAGTTTTAGAAATTCAGGTCAAAACCAGACTTGAAATCACATTTCAAAAAAACAGTATTCCCATCAATCTTATGTACATTAGGAAAGTGAACCACTGCACAGGGCAAACATGCGGTTGGTGACTAAAATGCCATTTAACTGAACATGTGTATCAGGCTGTTCCAACTACTTATCAGACTTACAAAGATAAAATAAAGTATTACCCGGTTTCAGAACCTTTTTCATGATTGAATTAATATTTTTTTAATCATATTTTCAGTTTAGTTTAAATTTGCAATATTTGGTTTGGGGAATCTTCAACGATTGAGCTGCCACTCAGTTGGCCAAAGCTTCACGGGACTGGTTGCAAGACAGAGGCCATCTTCATGAGCAATGCAGGAAGCAGAGGCTATTTCAGAGAAGTTTATGTTGCTGTTATAGTAAAATGCTATATGCTTGCTAATGTTGGTACTGCTTAATCATCAAATACCAATTTTTCTGCACAAGGATACTAAAAGGTAAACAAACCTCAGAACTTCATGTTAGTAAACTTGATATACCACATTCTGGCTTCCCCCCCCCCCCCCCCCGAATCAGCAGTGTGATAAAGCCTACATCATATTAAAGTTGACCTACCACACAGCAGAGGAAAGAGGAAGAAAAACGGAAGAGATTGCAGGAGAGGGAAAAATATTGTCTTTTCATACTTCCTCTCATAAATCAACACTCATTTTCCAAATCCAGAACAGAAACTGCTAAACTTGAAACCATTCTAGGAAAAGTTGATTTGTAGCTATATCCTACAGTCATAACTGCCTGATCGTGTGTTGTACGGTAACAGAAGTCATTAAATAGCAAGTCAAAGAGCACCTGCAAATCTTCTTTAACTAATCTGAGGATCACAATTCAAGATTCCTTCTATGGAGACTGACAGTGTGATGGCTCACAGTGAAGATGTGAGAATTGAGGTGTGACTACCTGTGAGAATTCCCAGGGCTTTCTAAAGAAAAGCAAACACCACACAAGGCCTACAAAAGCTTCCCATTATGGCTCGGTATGTATTGTCAGGACAGCGAACCAAAAAATAGAGTAAAAGCCAAGTCACTGCTCTGAGCATGCATCAGTAATGGAACAGTGAACAGCTGAAGAAAGAAGGCAATTAAATCACAAAAGTTCATTCCACAGTAATCTGTGTAGTATTTTTCCTGATAAAGTAATTAATACTACACTACTTCAATTATTTGTTTGAAGTAATATAAAAATTCTCGCATTTGTGAACATGTATTTCTCATTAATAAGTTACACTATGCAAATGTGGGAATAAAGTTTACTCCAACAGCAGAACTGGGAATGGAAGCAGTGGAAAGAATTATGCGCTATTACTTCACCTCAGGAATCTATGGAATATAGGACATTTGAGATGCAAAAAGCAAGAAACATTTAACAGTCAGGAACATACTAACTCCAAATTAATTTACTTAATATCGATATTACTGCAAAGTTCCCTGATCTGCTGCACTTGGAGAAAGCCTGTGTTTCACTTTCAAGCTATTCCTTTATCTACTTAGTTGAAAATGCATGAGAAATCATGCACACGCTTTTTTCTCACAGTAGACATGCAACATACCATATCTGAGAATATAAAATATCAGACAGAAACAAGATTTTTGTATTTACATAAATCCTTAAAGCCTATGCCTAAATGCTTATTATAAAAGGGTCAAGTTTCTGCTCCAAAATGGTAAACCCTCAAAATAGAGGCTTTTGTCATCTCTCTCTGTATCTCAAAACTGGATTCAAACAAACAAAATCCTATCAAAAAATCAGCATAAAGGAAGCATCAAAGCACCTGATATCATCAAAATCTGTGGGAGATTTTGCCAGCAACTTTAACAAGACAAACAAAATTCTGAACATTTTATGATAATAAACCATGTTCAAAGGCATAACATAACTCATGAATATAGAAAGTGTGTATTAATGATTTTCCTATTTATTATTTACAAAAAAGCAGTACAACAGAGAAGAGTTTAGGAAGTCAAGCACTTGGAATGCCCACACTTAAACACAACATGCTTGCTTCTTCATGCTGCTTGTAACTATGCAGTCACATACTGTTCTTATAAAGGAAATTCAACTTATAGCATGGACAGTACTGCAGGAAATGAGTCAACTGTGAAGCAGGTCTTCAACCATATATGTTTATGGACACTGCATCTGACAAAGTCATGAGAAACGTTCAGCATCCATCCCTAATGCTATAAAACCTTTTGTGCAATCAGTATGGAATTAAAATACCAAGTGTAGAAGCAATAATGGGAAGCATACTTGAACGTAACAACAGGGCTATGTAAAATACTTCTGAGATGGGGGGGGGGGGGGGGGAATACATCTAGAAACAAAGATACTAATCCTAAACTCCAAAGCCTTTCACTTTAGCAGAAACACCAGCGGTATTACCAGATGAACTCCTCAGAAATGTTTAAGATATCACCACTTATATATGGGGAAACTGACATCAATCCTCTTCATCTGTTCCAATGCAAAGTCAAAGTTTGTAGACAGAAGGGGAATTAAGACACCATTATGCTTTCAATAAATCCTCACCATGAATATCTAAGGTTACACTACCCTCAACTGGGCGATATGAAAGACTTTCTGGTATTTTAGCCATAGGTCACAGCTCCTAAGATGAGTTGCTGCAGAATCAGAGTACAGTGCCTATCACAGCCAGCAGCTGGAGAAAACTGCAAGAAATCCTGACCTACAGGAGAACTCCCAGCCTGCATGCAATGGTAGATCAGCCTGCATGCAAAGGTAGACCAGCCTTGTCTAAAAGCCATTTGCTTTTAGAACTGGAAACATATAATAAACAGAGGACTACATAAAGGCAGAGAAAACAGTGTTTCATTTTAAACTGCTGGATGCCAACTTTAAGAAGTGGATTTCAGCCTGGTTTCAGACACAACCTAATGTAAAGATAAAAAAGTAATTTCACACCATTTTCACAATATTTTAATATTGTTCTTGTTTTGAGAATATTTAGACTTTCTCCATTTATTGTTATTGATACTCCCTCAATTACTAACCAAAGGGCACAAAAATACCAGGTTCCCTGAAAAACAATGGTCAGAAGCACTCAGACAGTGCATAGTAAATGTTTCACAGCCTCTCTAGATTGCAATTCAGCAACTATTAGAAAGCTAGATTATACTGTAACTTTTGACTAGACCAAGAGACTGTATCAAAACACTTAATGCAGCCTCATGATTTTCTTCCAGCCAATCCATTCTATAGCATATTTGCAGAAGGAAGTATTCCTGTAAGGATAGACTGGGCTAACTAATTTCACTCTTGCAGCATAGCCTAATTCACTTTTTATAGGCTAAGCTAACCTGTAATAGTAAGGTTGGTGCATTCTACTCAACCCATTCACATGGAACACAACATGGTGGTTTGAGATGAGAATGCAGAAAGCTCACAGACTTCGTTTCATGACCCCAAAACAAAGGTTCTTTGCTCTTTTTCCTTCTGTTGCTTTACCCACTTTGACTGCTACCTTAGAAAAGCCCTAAATTTCACTTTACCAGTAGGTAGCTACCTTTGCTGTTGACACGTAGCTGCAAACTGAAATTGATACAGCATAGATAAAGACACACTTAAAATACACAGTCTAAACAGATCAAAGGTCTTGGCTGTCCTTTACTTACTACCATTTTAGAATTTATGATTAAAGAAATCACATGCAGAAGAAGCAAACAACTGAAAGACAGCATTTTAGCAGAGAACAATATACTTCATTCTGAGACAAGAAGTCAACCACAAGCAACAACACTTAGGCTGTAAGTCCCTTTTACTGCAAATCAGAGTATCACTTTTTTTGACCCTCTGGGGACCCAAGAGAGCATATAATCACATTTTTCTTGCCTGAAAGATTCTAACATCCGAAAGTCTCTCCCTCACCTGCCTACTTTTTCTAAACTTAAACTCAGTTGTTTCAAATTTCATCATGTATCAGCATTCTTGCTCTACCTTCAAGTGTAACATCAAAACCATATACACCTGAAACTCCATGAGCAATGAGTAGTACCCAGTGACTACCCCTTGTATGTTAAATAGAACATTCCTACGTTTATATCCAAACACGACTTTTTCCCTTTTTCCTGCAATGCCCGATCATGTTGATGTACTAGTCTGACCTACCATGCTTCAAAATGACTTTCTGCTGTGCTACTACCTCATCAGTTTTGTATTTATGCACTTGATTTCCCCATCTTTGGTAAAAACTAATGCGTTTCAATTAGTCTTGAAGGCTTTGAACATTTTTCTAGTTGAAGACAAGTACCAGAATCTGTAAATCACCTTGACAAAGTAACTGCAAGATTCAAAACTTGTAAACTACCAGCCACTTATTTCTCAATGAGCTATGTATTCATACTGATTTAATTTAGAAATGCTTCCTCTCTCAGTGACCTCCTTTTCTTTTTCAGTAGAAAAAGAAGCTATAACAGGGATTCCTATTTTTCTCACAATAGCAGAATGCTTGAAATGGAATATGGAATGTTTTATCCCTTGCCATCCTTCCAAGTCTCCTGTGGCAGAACTAGAGAAAAACACTATTCCACACTCTGCAGACAGCAGTAACACAAAGCTGTCAGCCTCCAGAGACGAACATTACGATCCTTCAGCTCAAAAGCTGTACTGCTGCGCCAGCTCCTGAGCCCTCCAACCAGGGCAGGTCCCTGGACCTGCAAAACCACCAACCTGACTACCATGAATCACTGCTGACTATTAAAATGTACACACCCCTCAGAAGGTCTGTATTGTACTGTACAGGATGGGATCAGGCTCCTTGCTTCCCTATCTTTGCCACTACCAGGAAACAAAGTTCTCCCTCCTGAGGAATGTGTTATTTCCTGTATTTATTACCTCTCACGCTCTACTCCGCTGAAAGTCTGTGACATTATTTAAAAAAAAAAAAAAATCAAACACACAAGTGCTGCAGCCCTGAGCGTAGCATGGCATCAGGGAACTGCGTCTGCCCTGAGGACATTCTGGGACGACGAGGCAGTTTCCGTGAGAAAAACACCAACCCGCACCGCTCAGAGCTTGCTCTTGGGGCTGTTCAGCTGAACCGGTTCAGGTGAACAGCGCCGGGAGCGTTCCGGCCGACTTCCGCCCCCCCCCCCTTCTCCCCCAGCCCTGCTCCGAAGCCCTCTCTGAGGTAAAGCCCTACCCCGCACCCTCCGAGGCCCTCAAAAGCCGGAGACAGCCGTCTGGCCCCGGCTCCCCGCCACAGCGGTCACGCGCCCCCAGGCTCCCCCCTCCCCTCACAGCTGCCCCAAGCCCCCGTCGGCCTCGCGTTTACTTGAGGTGATCCAAGGAGTGGATGCTGCGGGCGGCCTTCCCGTGCCCGCCGCCCACCCAGCTGCGGGAGCGGCCGAACATGCTGGCAGCGAAGGACTACTGCACCCGCAGGGCTCTAGTACTTCACGGCCCCGGGGAGAAGGCCGGGCAAGGACCGAACGGCGCCCAAGCAGACCGACATCAAGAAGAAGCCTGAGCCGCAGAGAACACCGACGGACACCAGCACCACGGCGCATGCGCCAGAGGGGCACGCTGGGAGGCGGTGAGTCCCGCAGCTCTGCGCGGACTGCAGGTCCCAGCAGGCATTGCGGCGCGGTAGATGCTCGTCACCCGGGCGGGAAGTGGTGAGAGCTCAGCTACAGCCGCGTCTTTCCTCGCTTGGCGGAGCCGGCGGTTCCCGCAGGTCACCCGCTCTCAGGGACACCCAGACTGGGGGAGGGCGTCCACCGGGGCCCGATACCCAGCTGCAAGGAAACGGGGAAGTCCCCGGGAAGCGCAGCGCTTCCTCCTTTCCTGTCGGGATTACAACAGAGCAGCGCCGCCGCGGATCTCCGGCGCCGTCAGGCTGTGAGGTGTTGGACGCGGTACCGTGTACCGCAGGTCACGTTTAGCCCGAGCAACACAATAGCGTTTCAGCGGGCCTTTGTGCCCCATAGGCACGGTGACCTGAGGTGAACGTGGCCCCAGGATTCACCGTACGGCCCCGGGACCCTGCGGGCAGCAGTGCTCTGGCCCATGCCGCCGTGGCAGAGCTGCGGGGCACGACGAGAAGCGGCTGCTGGGGCTGCTTTCGCCGAACTTCCTCCAGTAATGCTCGCATACTTTTGAACCAGCTTGAAAACAAACTTGATCGAAGTGGGACGAAGAGACCATTAATGACAGTCTTGGTCTGCCCTTACAATTATTACTTTAACTGGATAAATAAACCTAGTACAGCTGAGGAGTTTGTCAGCCACTGTCAAGATAGCCTTAAGGTTTAACCCTGCCTTCGGCAGCACGTAGGTACGGGTAAAGCCTTGATCAGCAAAGAAACGCCTCCACCGAGGCCCCCGGGACAGAACAGCTTCCAGGGGCACAGAAACACCCCAGATCTGCCCCCACCCTCCGGCTGCGGCAGGTGCGGGGAAGAAGGCGGGGGTCGAGGTACCGCACGACGCTTCCAACTCCCCAGACCGACGCGCCGGCCTCCGGGCAGGCGGAACGGGAGGCGGCGGTTCCCTAGAGGCCGTCAGCCCCGCCGCGGGCCGGTTTCGCCACGGAGAGTATGCGGCGCGGGTGAGCGGTCAGGCGGCAGCAGTGGGAGGTGAGGAGATGGGCGGGCAGGAGCACGTCCTGCCCCGCAGGCCGGGGCTGGCGGCTTGCTGAGGGCAGCATATGCTAAGCGGGAGCGAGCCTACGGGCAAAGTTTGCGGGCGGGCGGAGGAGGAGAGCCGCGGCGGGACTGCAGCAGCCGCGCTGGAGATGCCCCTGCGGAGCCTCCTGCCAGCGGTGGGGCTGCGGCAGCGGAGCTGAAGCCGCGCTGGCCACCCGCCTGCGGGGGCTCCTCTTCCTCCGGGGAAGGAGGGGGCCGACCGGGCGCTCTACGGCTGTGCCGCCTCAGCGGGGCTCGCCTCTTGCCCGGCTCCGGATCCAGCTCCGGCCCTTCTCCGTCATCGGGGCTGCGGAGTGCGGTCCTGCGCGCCCCGCTCCTCCTCCGGGCTGGCCGGGCAGGTCGGTGCCCGCGCCGGAGCCCCGCACGGCTGCATGCCCGCCGCGGTCTCGGCACGTCTGGATTCGCTGGAGTCCTGGGCCTTCCATGCACTGCTGGTGCTGCCCTATATGTTTTACGTGGGCTTATTCTTTGTCAACGTGCTGATCCTGTACTATGCTTTCCTGATGGAGTACATCGTTCTCAATGTAGGCATCGTCTTCCTGCCCGAGGATATGGACCACGCTCTGGTGGATCTGGGGGTGCTCTCTGACCCTGGCTCAGTGCTCTATGAGACGGACAGCGAGCTGGATGTCTTTGATGGGTACTTGGAGTGACGGCCCGGGGCGCTCCAAAGAGACTGACTGCTGGGTGACGCCGTCCGGCCCGGGACTGGGGCTGGGTGTCCCGGCATGGCCGCCCCTAGGGAACCGCCGCGGCCCCGCGATACCCTCGCTGCGGCTCGGCTCCTTCTGCAGCATCTTCCCTTACAGTTCCGCTTCCCCTCAGCCCCGGGGCAGGGGCGGGGGCCGGGACCCACTGCCGCCGGGCAGGGCCGCGGGCACGCCGAGGGCTCGCCGGGGAAGTAAGTCATTTACTCCATCTCGTTCCGGGCAGTGGGGCGCTCGGCCCGCCCAGTCCGCCATCGGGGCTGGGGGCAGCCCTTCCCGGGACGGCGGAAGACAAGGGCAGGGAGCGGGCCCTGCGCCGGGACACGCACCGCCGCAGCCGCCAACGCGGGTGAGCTCTGCGGACTGGGGCCAGGAGCCGAGGCCGGGGCTTGGCTGGCGCTCTGAAGGCAGGGGTCGGGCTGTCCCGTGCGCTGCCGCCACCCTTCCTCCGCCGCACCACTGTGCAGGGCCCGCTCCGTGTCCTCTGCGGCGCGGCGAGGTAATGTCTTTCTCTAAGGCCCGATATTCACAGTTGTGAGCCACTGCAGCTGTTACGCTCGGTGTTACCTTTACAGCTGGTAAAGAACTTTGCTGCTCCACTCTTGAAAGCAGCTCGGAACGTAACTGAACATCCAGGCTAATGTTTATTAAAATTCAGAGCCCATAATCGAAACAGAAAGACATCTCAATCAGGTGCTCTTTAAAACTCCGTCTTGGATAATAAGAAACCTACCCAGCTCCCAGTTCTTCTCATGATAATCCTGGCAGGAGGGTTTGCTTGATCAATTTATTGTTGTAGTTTTGAGTGATTCTAAAACTCTGGAAATGTTGTAAGGATTTAACATTTTAAAACACTGAAATGCAATTGGGAAGAAAATCACTATTTCTAGCTAGGACTTTCTGTGCCAAATGTATGTTCATGAAAACATTCACAGTTTGAATTAAAATGTGTTAGCAAATCTGCCAGTAGAGTTTCTAGCAAAATATTGCCTGTAAATTTGAAAACCAGATCAGGATACGTGTTTATTTTCTATTTGAAATTATGGAAATAGGAAATTCTGTTGCAAGGTTGCAAACATAACCTTGGTGAATATACTATACAAATACCATATACCTATCAAACAATTTTCATCTGACTTCTAATTAAAAAACAAAACCAGAAACCTAATACCAAAACCCAACAAACAAACCTTCCCTGCCCTTCATACAGATTAAAACTATCTCCTAAGTATTTCTATTCACATTCCATATAAAGCAACAATAGCTGATTTTGGTCAGTACTTCAGAGGGAAATGTGGAATTTTTTTGGTATTGGAGTAGCATTAATTGCACAAACAGCCGAGCAGAGTTTGGTCAAAAGCACACAAATGCTCTATATTCCAGGGAAGAAATTAATAAAAACCAATGGAACTTAAGCAAAATCTTTGATGCAAAAAATCCCTTTCTCCAAATCTTAATTACTCCAACACCATTCTAATGCAAGCATTCACATTTATTTTAAATTTTTTTGCTGACTAGGATTTGTCATGATGAGTTGCATCTAGTTTTCAGGAAGACCCAAGGAGAAAAACAGACATAATTTTCCTCAGTGGATTTTTCCTACTACATGAACACATAGTTTAGCAGAGCATAAGACCTGAACACAGTTCTGTTCAGTATAAATAGGTTTCTTAATTTTTTCCCTCATATTAATGGGATAAGCAGCTCTGCAAACTTCTTGATATTCTAACTATAAAACCGTATCACCTCTACATGGAGAAATCAAAGTGTTTACAAAGTTCAGGAGTTCTGGTTTATACCCACCTTGAGGTAGTGGAGCGTTGCACATGTCCCAGCTCCAGCACTGATCATTTAATTTGGAAGTGGTCATGTTAGTGGTGGTTGCCACTGAGAATTAAACCACAAATGCCTAAAGTTAGGTCAATTATTAGGGAGCAAAAAAATGCACTATTACTGTGCTTTGTCTATTTATATATTTAATGATATTTGTGTATACAGCAGCCAGGCCACAAACTGCGTAATTATATAGCTACCAGGCAAAGACTCAACATGTCACCACGAAAAGGAATTTGTGTTAATATCCTGGTTACAGGTTTCTTCATTGTTCCATGCCATTCCTCCTCACCAATATCCTAGGAAGGCAGGCAGAAGAGCACCCTAATTTGGAACTGTGTTTTCTGCTTTGGGAGCAGAAGGCAGACACTGAAAGAGAAGATTTAAACCCCTGTCATGCCCAGCCTGCAGTGCCCTAAGTTCTGTATTAAGTTCTGTACTGTACTGAGTGTCAACACAGGCTGCCCACCTGACCTCTTCACTTGGACCCAGATGTGCTGAGCATTCACAAGAAGTTGTGGGAAGAATGGGTCTCAGATGAGAATCTAACCAGCAGAGATGAGAAATCCATAGGCATATGCTTGGTGTTAAATATAAGAGGAGTGTTCTTCATGTGACTCACCAGTGATTACTGAGAACAGCTAAAAAGCTGTGATTAGCCTTAGCTGAAACCTTGCAGTGTGCTCCTTGCAATGATGCCTTGCACCCAGGAGGTGAGTGGCAGCATGACAGGAAGACAAAGGGGGGAAATCCCAAGAGGGGATTCAGCAAATGTGGATAGGCTAATTGTGATGTAAAAATAAGAGACTACATGGACCAGAAAAGTTCTGTTCTCTCTTGCAGCAAACCCCTCTCTTGAGCTGACAGAACTCAACAGAAGCAAAATTACGTCCAGGTTTCTGGGCATAACTGATGACAGAGATTGAAGGTAGAGGACTAAGCAGATGAAAGAAGCTTCCTGTCCTGTTCAGATGGAGAGACCCATCTGTGTGAACTGAGCAGAACTGAGCTTGCTCATGTCATCTACTGTTTTAGTGTGAGTGTGCCAGGTTCCCTATTATAAGTCCCCTGGAATAAGGTGATCCAACTGTTCTCCTTGAACTTTATTAAAATCAGATGTGACTCATCACAAAGTATTCTAATCAGAAATAAAATGAGCAAAAATAATCAGTAATGAAGACTGAATAGGAAATACTGGATTTATTTAATCTTACAGTACAAGCATTATCTATATTTTTCATCAATGTGATTTATGATAAGCATCTTCAGTGAGCAGAATTTAGAACTCAAAATCTTGTGACTCAGAACTTTTGCTGAATGCCAGCACCTAAGTCCTGAATCAAAGACATAGCTTTACTCACTAGCTCATCAATATAGTGCCAATCAGAAATGTAGCCTCAGTGTCTACAAGAGACAGCATGGCCTAGTGGAGACGGAAGTAAGCATGCTGGACTCCTTCCTGTGTCTGCTGCTGATGGCTGCTGTGAGCTTAACTTGTGCCTCTGATCCATCTCTCTGAAATGGAGGTGCCATGTGAAGGAACGAATCAGAAGAATGTTACCACTGGAAGTGACAGGATACACATAAGCGTGTCAGAATACACCTCCCGACTTCTTCCCTTTCAGACTGAGTCAGTCAGCTAGTTTATATGAGTTAGAGTAACAACAGGCTTAAGAGTAATAGCTGTGGTTTTTAGAACTGTTTTGAATTCTTCTTAAAGTTAATAGAAGTGCTCAAACACACCTGACAGCTCTGTTTTAAAGATACTTTTGTACTCTGACTCTCATTAACTGGAATTCCATCTTAGATGGAGAGAAGACAAAATCATTAACTAATAAACTGTCTATACAGACTCATTAATCACAGCCATGGACAGTCCTAAGGGATTTCCTACCAAATGCATTCATTTATGTAATGCAAAGAGAGGAGGCAGATTTTTTTTTTAAGTTTTCCAAAAGCTGTTGTTAGTAACATAAAATGAGGCATAGAATATAGAGACACATTCCCTTTAGGATAGAAATAGTTCAGGCCCGAGTATTTCATGTGTTAAAAGCCCCAGCCACAAGTAATTTTAAAGAAGGATAATTGAAAAATAATAATCTATGGTTCTTCCCTACAAAAAATGAAGCTTACTATAATCAACTTGCTTCAATAAGAGGCAATAGCCAGTTGCCAGTTTTAAGTTGCCGAAGGAATTAAGAAATGAATCTCTTTTAATTCTTCATGTTTGTTTCCTCTGAAGGAGTGACACTGTAGTTCAGCTAGCAAACGGCAATCCTAAAATAGAAGAAAAGAGCAATCTAGAGACACTTAGTTTGTGTATTTGGCCAGTCCAACTCTTGGCATTTGACCCTTTGTAATGATTCTAGTTTATATAGAATACAATTGTCTCAGAAAATTAAATAGGACACAGAAATGGCCAAGTTTTTCCAGTTCTTCAAGAAAATTGTCAAACTGTCTTTTTCCAGCTGAAGTTTAGTACTTTGGCTACAAACCTGGGGGAAGAAGTTAGCTAAATAGTTTGAATAATGCTTTCTGAGAACAGAAACATGTTTCTAATATATGTGATAAGGGTATAGACTAATAGCAGCCATATATGAAAGATAACAATATAATGGGAAATTACGAAGTGCACTGAGAGATCCGTGGCAGGTACAAGCTCTAGTGCAGTGAATGCAGTGAACTCCAGCAGGAAGCCAGGAAACAGCAAGCAATGTCAGGGTGTGAAACACAGCCACAGTGTTTCCTTTGGTCCAGGCTCAGTTGTGAAGAGCAGTAACTTCACAGACAATTAACAAAAATACCATGAGTGATTTTCTTCTTCTAATGCTGGAGTTAGGCTAGAATCATAGAATCATAGAATCGTTAGGGTTGGAAAGGACCTTAAGATCATCTAGTTCCAACCCCCCTGCCGTGGGCAGGGACACCTTACGCTAACTCGTATCACCCAAGGCCTCATCCAGCCTGGCCTTGAACAGCACCAGGGATGGAGCATTCACAACCTCCCTGGGCAGCCTATTCCAGTGCCTCACGACCCTAACAGGAAAGAATTTCTTCCTTATATCCAATCTAAACTTCCCCTGTTTAAGTTTTAACCCGTTACCCCTTGCCCTGTTACTACAGTCCCTAAGGAAGAGTCCCTCCCCAGCATCCCTGTAGGCCCCCCTTCAGATACTGGAAGGCTGCTATGAGGTCTCCACGCAGCCTTCTCTTCTCCAGGCTGAACAGCCCCAACTTTCTCAGCCTGTCTTCATACGGGAGGTGCTCCAGTCCCCTGATCATCCTTGTGGCCCTTCTCTGGACTGGTTCCAACAGTTCCATGTCCTTTTTATGTTGAGGACACCAGAACTGTACACAATACTCCAGGTGAGGTCTCACAAGAGCAGAGCAGAGGGGCAGGATCACCTCCTTCAACCTGCTGGTCACGCTCCTTTTGATGCAGCCCAGGATACGGTTGGCTTTCTGGGCTGCAAGCACACAGTGAAGCCGGCTCATGTTCATTTTCTCATCAACCAACACCCCCAAGTCCTTCTCCGCAGGGCTGCTCTGAATCTCTTCTTTGCCCAACCTGTAGCTGTGCCTGGGATTGCTCCCACCCAGGTGTAGGACCTTGCACTTGTCATGGTTAAACTTCATGAGGTTGGCATCAGCCCACCTCACAAGTGTGTCAAGGTCCCTCTGGATGGCATTCCTTCCCTCCAGCGTATCAACCGAACCACACTGCTTGGTGTCATCGGCAAACTTGCTGAGGGCGCACTCAATCCCACTGTCCATGTCACCAACAAAGATGTTAAACAAGACCGGTCCCAACACCGATCCCTGAGGGACACCACTCGTTACTGGTCTCCAGCTGGACATTGAGCCATTGACCACAACTCTTTGCGTGCGGCCATCCAGCCAGTTCTTTATCCCCCAAGTGGTCCATCCATCAAATTGATGTCTCTCCAATTTAGAGACAAGGATGTCGTGTGGGATAGTGTGGAATGCTTTGCACAAGTCCAGGTAGATGACATCAACTGCTCTACCCCTGTCCATCAGTTCTGTAGCCCCATCATGGAAGGCCACCAAATTGGTCAGGCAGGATTTCCCCTCAGTGAAGCCATGCTGGCTGTCACCAAGCACCTTGTTGATTTTCATGTGCCTTAGCATGCCTTCCAGGAGAATCTGCTCCAAGATTTTGCCAGGCACAGAGGTGAGACTGACTGGTCTGTAATTCCCCGAGTCATCCATTTTCCCCTTCTTGAAAATGGGGGTTATATTTCCCTTTTTTCAGTCGTCAGGAACCCTACCATTAAATACAGCAGTCTTTTAGTCTACTAGAAGACCATAGTTTGGAGATTTTAAAAATACTTGCTGCCTTTTCATTTCCCAGTGTTTTTTTAAATTCTTTTAAAAAATAGACTTACGTGAAACTTGAAGACTTTTAATCAGCTGACTTGAAAGGCAAAATTGAATATCCTGGTCAATTGTATCATTCACACCCCATTTAATATCTGCCACTACAAATTACAATCTTAGACTAGCAGCCCTAAAGCAATATTTGAAATACAGCAGTTTTTGAAACTTCCATTAAAAAGCTTTATACTTTAATTTGGAGGCCCACTATGTTTTGCAATGTTATTTTTAAGCCAGCCAAAAATTAGATTTACAATGCAGAATAGTAACAATTCCCCTCAACTGCCTGCTGTAGATAAGAGTTTTTAAATCAACTTGGAAAGCAATCTGATAAACACCAAATGAGTAACCTGTTCAGCTGCTGTTCCCCCTTCTCTTGTTCTTAATGTGAGAGACAGGATTTTGAGCACATGATTACTGTTAGCAGAGTGCTGTAGCTGATAGACATTTTGCAGAAATACCTCACTGAACACAAAAGCGCTTGTTTCTGGCCTAGCATCTACAGAAAGCAACACACAGGAACATAGAGAATGTCAGGATGAGTCAGACCACTCTCAGCCAGCGCTGTGTTCCGCCACTGACAGCAGCAGAGGATGCTCTCCAGGAGAGCGCATGATCCTGACCAAAATCTGCAGCCTGTTCTCTTTGTACTTCTCAGAATCCACAATGGTGGAATGGGGGATGTTAGAGGGCACATTGCTGCCCAGCCCTTTTGCAAATGTTTCCTGAACCTGCCACCTTTTGCCCACTGCATTTTATGAAATCCTTCAGAGTTCCTTGCTGTCAGTGCAGCATCTGAATACCTGAAGGAGCCTATTTTCTGCAGTCTCGAAGGAAGATTTCTCCATTCTCTCACTTCTCTGGGTCACTAATAGTGATGTTGAATAAAAGCTGGTCCCTGGTACAGCTGCTACCGACTTCTTTCCTCCCAAGCTTTACTCTCCACCTCCAATCTTTCAGTCTGCTTTCAATCCGTAGGAGTCACTCTTTCAGTCTGCTTTCCCCCAGTACTGTGTCAACCTGTTCGCTTTTGGCTCCCTTTAACGCTCTTGTTCACGATGCCTCATTCCTCAGTCTCTTCATGCTCATGCAAAACGTGACCATCACATTTCATTCTTCATTCAGACTTCTTGTAGACTCTGTTATACGCTCTGTACCCAAAATGGTGGCAGCTCTGCTGCCTCAGGACCCCTTGTTCCAGACACCCTGGCATACGATCTGCTGAGCCTCTGCTCCAGGCACAGCAGGAGAACAGGAGGAAGACTGTGTTGTGCCATCAGCCCAGCAAGAGCCTTTTCACAGAGCTACAGATCTGTTAGCAGGTCTGTTACTGCTTTACTACAAACTCTCTTCCATTATACAACCAGATTAGCTCCCTTCCCATGCAGGGTCCCCTGCCTTCCCACACTGTGCAGGAGGCCTGTCATACCTACAGAGTGGAAGGAGGGAAGAACTGTCCTTCAAAGACACACAGTGCAGATGATCTCCTGAGCTGCAGGCAGCCTAGGGACCTGCTCTTGGTCTTCTTTACCTCAACTCTTCTTCAGCACAGGTTCATCCCCAGGTAACCATCCGTTCTCAGAGCCACAGCATTCTATGTTATGTTGATTACTCATCTGTAAGATCACAATACCAATCCAGGGGTAGAGGAAGATAGATTTAGATTAGACATTAGGAAGAAGTCCTTCCCTGTGAGGGTGCTGAGGTGCTGGCACAGGGTTTCCAGAAAAGCTGGGGCTGCCCCATCCCTGACAGTGTGCAAGGAGAGGTTGGATGGGGCTTGGAGCAACCTGGTTTAGTGGAAGGTGTCCCTGCCTGTAGCAGGGGGCTGGAACTGAATGAGCTTTAAGGTGTCTTCCAACCCAAACCATCCTATCATTCTGTGATTCAAATGGATACAGTCACTAGTGCCCAGCACTTTTGTAATCCGCAGCTGTAGTTCTACTTAAAGAAGGCTTCTCAGGCCTTGTGTTTACCTCTGATGATAGTAAAAAAATCGCCTCTTAATAGCCACCAGATACTTTGACCCAGTCAAGGCAAATTATGTAAACTGGGATAAAGCAATTATAACAGGCATTGATTCTTGTCAGTAAGACCAAGAATTTACATGTTATTTAACTGTAACTACTTACCAGTGGCTCCAAAATGCGTTGAACAAAGTGACTCTAAAGAAGAGAAAGTGATCAAAATCAGACAGTGTCAAACATAGGCAATATTTAACTAACACAATTACACAAATAATAACAGTCTTAATAAACAGTATCTGGCTGAGAAAATGTAGCCAGTTCAAAAATCAGTTTTGATAGGACTGATTTATCATACCTAGCATGAATTAGGCTGTCCCACTGTATGTCACAGCTGGTTGTAATCTCTTAAAAGCAGCCCTTATAATTGATTTGATGGCCTGTGTTTGACAGCTAACATCTTCATGCCTCTGTTAAAATTGCAGTAAAGACTAGTGTGCCCTCTCATGAACAGAAACTGTTACTTTGATTTCTCTGAAATGTGATTCTCACAGAATTATTATCCGTATTCACAGGAGGTTTTTGTTGTGGTGGATTTTGTTGTTTTGTTTAAGAAGTCAACAGCATGGTACTGTATCTAACCTACACACTGACTTCCCTGTTCATTTTTAAGTATAGAGAGTTACTCTGCATTTATGTGTTTTCTTTTAAACAGATTCATTGAACACCTGAAATGAATTATGACCAGGTACATGGATCAAGTCATGGAAATAAATTATACTCTGAAATGTGGAGATGAAAAGAAGGACAAGGGGACAAGAAGAGTTGTCATCAGACCTTGTCAGTGGTGACTTTTCTCCATGGTCATTGCCTCTTGAGTGTGCAGTAACCACAGTGATTCATGCACCATACTTGGCTTCATAGGTAATTCTGGAATGGACTGTATGAACAAATAATGTAAGCTATGTTCTATTATAACAGAAAATCAAGATGTTACTCAGAGTCGAAAAACTTTTGAATAAATACCATGTTACCCAGACACGCTCTAGATACTGCTTAAGCAAGTGTTACAATCACACACTGAAACTCTACCAGCCACTAGTTCAAAGACAGTGCTTTCTCAGGGGACAATCAGCAGGAGTGACTGCAGGGAGTGCTTGTTCAGGGCAGCATTACGGCAAGAACTGTGCTAGTAAGATATTAAATTGTGAGTTTTGACATAGATCAGAGAGTTAATTTTATATAAGTAGATGAATTCGTTATCTAACACGAGATACTTTGCAGATTGTTTAAGCTCATGTTCCTATGTACAGATGTGAAAGCAATACAATAAAGACTGACCTTTTCCATGAAAAAGTTAAGCAGTCATGTGTTGGAGTTATTATTTTTCAGTTTGATCAGAAACTAACAGAAATACACTTTCCAGGAAAAGTACTTGCAAATAGCTCCAGGTTGTTGAGATGGCCAGTGTGTAGGTAATCCTTCTCAGGAGCAAGTGTTTAAATCAGACCTCAGTTCTGATTTTCATAATTGCAGTTGGTAAGCCAAGTCAATGCATCAAGAACATTTCAGATAAAGCAGAAACAAAAACATTTCCCTGAAGTCTGCATTATGTCTGTCCTGTGCAGTCTGTGTCTCTACCATCTGCTCCCAGCTCAGGCTTTCAGATCCAGACATGGTATCATGAGTCTCTTGACAGCCAGTATGAGGGAACAAGGGGGTGATGGTTCAGATCCCTCTTGAGGCAATGACAAAGAAACTTGCATATCAAAATCTTTTTTCCTGATATTCTCAGTTTGTTACACTCAAATGGCATTTTTTAACTCCTACTGCAGTAGAAATTAGCTCCCAGTCCCCATAATTCTGTGCTCCAAATGCAATTTCCAGCTGCTCCTGCAAGAGGTGAATCACTGTCATTGAACTGAGTAGCTTTTCTCCAAGAGGATAGGTCCCATTAGAAACAGTTTGGGGTCTTAAAACACTGCCAAGTGCTTTGTTCCATACCATCCCTGTCCTGCAATTCCTGGTTGAAGTCACTTAGGGGACTTACATGAAGTCACATATAAGATGACACTTATATGTCATATTCTGACATGTAAAGATACATTTAGGGAACTGACACCACCCCCAAATGCAGATCAATCAATTAGTAAACTCTCGGAAAAAAAATCATCCCTTTCAGTTATCACTGTCTCTTGTTTCGTAGCGTGGAATAGGTTATATATTAAATATTCTGGTTTTTGAGTTGGGCTAATGTTTTTGTAATGCTATCTGAATATAAAAATGCATGGCTCTTAGATGTATTCATAGCCATAAATTCTGTTAAATGAAATTTCTCTAGTTTAGTTTGCTCTGGTTCACATTTCATTCATTTGAGTTTCATTTTGATTTCATTATTCTATCCTCCTCAGTTCTTAATTAGAATCATACAATCATAGAATCGTTAGGGTTGGAAAGGACCTTAAGATCATCTAGTTCCAACCCCCCTGACATGGGCAGGGACACCTTACGCTAACTCGTATCACCCAAGGCCTCATCCAGCCTGGTCTTGAACAGCACCAGGGATGGAGCATTCACAACCTCCCTGGGCAGCCTATTCCAGTGCCTCACCACCCTAACAGGAAAGAATTTCCTTCTTATATCCAACCTAAACTTCCCCTGTTTAACTTTTAACCTGTTACCCCTTGTCCTGTCACTACAGTCCCTAATGAAGAGTTCCTCTCCAGCATCCCTATAGCCCCCCTTCAGATACTGGAAGGCTGCTATGAGGTCTCCACGTAGCCTTCTCTTCTCCAGGCTGAACAGCCCCAAATTCCTCAGCCTGTCTTCATACGGAGGTGCTCCAGTCCGCTCATCATCCTTGTGGCCCTTCTCTGGACTTGTTCCAACAGTTCCATGTCCTTTTTATGTTGAGGACACCAGAACTGTACACAATACTCCAGGTGAGGTCTCACAAGAGCAGAGTAGAGGGGCAGGATCACCTCCTTTGACCTGCCAGTCACGCTCCTTTTGATGCAGCCCAGGATACAGTTGGCTTTCTGGGCTGCAAGCACACACTGGCAGCTCATGTTCATTTTCTCATCAACCAACATCCCCAAGTCCTTCTCCGCAGGGCTGCTCTGAATCTCTTCTCTGCCCAACCTTTAGCTGTGCCTGGGATTGCTCCCACCCAGGTGTAGGACCTTGCACTTGTCATGGTTAAACTTCATGAGGTTGGCATCAGCCCACCTCACAAGTGTGTCAAGGTCCCTCTGGATGGCATTCCTTCCCTCCAGCGTATCAACTGAACCACACAGCTTGGTGTCATCTGCAAACTTGCTGAGGGCACACTCAATCCCACTGTCCATGTCACCAACAAAGATGTTGAACAAGACCGGTCCCAACACCGATCCCTGAGGGACGCCACTCGTTACTGGTCTCCAGCCGGACATTGAGCCATTGACCACAACTCTTTGCGTGCGGCCATCCAGCCAGTTCTTTATCCACCGAGTGGTCCATCCATCAAATTGATGTCTCTCCAATTTAGAGACAAGGATGTCATGTGGGACAGTGTCGAACGCTTTGCACAAGTCCAGGTAGATGACATCAACTGCGCTACCCCTGTCCATCAGTTCTGTAGCCCCATCATAGAAGGCCACCAAATTGGTGAGGCAGGATTTCCCCTCAGTGAAGCCATGCTGGCTGTCACCAAGCACCTTGTTGATTTTCATGTGCCTTAGCATGCCTTCCAGGAGAATCTGCTCCAAGATTTTGCCAGGCACAGAGGTGAGACTGACTGGTCTGTAATTCCCCGAGTCATCCATTTTCCCCTTCTTGAAAATGGGGGTTATATTTCCCTTTTTCCAGTCATCGGGAACTTCACCTGACTGCTATGATTTCTCAAATATGATGGCCAGCGGCTTCGCAACTTCATTTGCCAGCTCCTTCAGGACCCGGGGATGGATCTCATCAGGACCCATGGACTTGTGCAGCATTATAACCAACATGATTTGATCAGTCCAGACAAGGTCCTGTTACATTCAGCTGCCTGTGTAATATTTAGCACATCCTCAGATCAAGTCACAGTGGAGGGCAGCTCTAGCACACATGCCTAAAAGTGCATTTTGTCATCCAAAGCTTAGTTAAGCCAAGACAAAGGCTCACAGATCTGCACAGCTGGAGTGCTGCAGGCTGACGGGAGCATCACACAAGATTTGGCTCAAACTATCTCCCATTCAAGCAGCTGAAAGAGGGGAGTGTAAATGAGGTTTTTTCCATGACTCTGGCTAGAGAGAAGAACCATGCAGAAAGGTAAGAAAAATACCACTTTCTAGTTACAGTTATATTCTCCATAGAGTTTTTCCACCTTGCTTTCATACTATTCCTTCACATCCTATGGCTGGTTCTCTGCACACCTTTGATTAACAGTAAACAAAGCAGACCTTCCTTCCTTCTTTAATTTGTTCACCCTTCATTCCTGCTGTCAAGATTCTGGAGGACACTGAAACTTTAGCAGAGAAGTATAATTTGCCAGAAAGAACATACAGATTGTGGTTTAAATTGGAGACTTTTTAAAAACCGAGTAACAGTATTTGAGAGGTTAGTTGAGAGACTCCATTTTCCATATATCCTTGGGTCAGTATTGTCAGTGCTTCCTGGAAGAGATCTCAAGAAGGCTGTTGAGCTAACCATGCAGTAGAGACATCCCACCCCAATTTGTGGCATATCAAATATTCCTAGCTTTGGTCTGTGGAGTGTATCTGGACAGGGAGCCAGTATGCTATTCCTGACGACGCTCTCTGTACAATTCTAAGTTCTCTCCATGTTCATGGAGCTGAAATAAAAGACACAAGGAGACAATTGGTTTGCTGTCGCAGTCAGCAGGGCCAGTATTTGGCCCATGTAAGATTGAGACCAGCAGCACACACACATGATAATGCTTTAGAATACATTATTGGCTGTCATTGCCTTGTTATTCATAGCTCTGTGAAAGACAGGCCACATAAACCCCACACAGTAGTGATTGCACTGCGAAGTATAAAATGAATGCTTGTACATTTATGCTGTCACGTACAAGTGAGAAACTAAATCCAAATCCAGTCATATGAATTTAAAGCTCTCATTTGAGACAGAGTAAACACCTTTGAAGATTCTCATCACTTTGAGGATTTTTGTGCAATAAACTGAACCTATGTGCATGCATTTGGACTTCTGTGATAATGTCAGAAAAATCCTTAATGTACTTCAAGTTTTAATCCCTTTCTTCTCTTTACTAATAACTCCCCCTCCCCCTGAATCTTTTAAAGGAATTCTGTAACAAGAGAGTGATAGAAAATATTTTTCTATCCCTTAAGAGAGCATTGGTGATTAGCATCAAAAAAAGAGCCACTTTGAGATTCTCATGGATAATCTTGCAATGCCAGTCTGTTTTCTAAGACTGATCATTTCTGTTTATGCTCCTGACACTAATGCTTCAAATCAGTCCAGACAGACAAGTGAAATCTGCAGCATGGAGCTTTGGAAGTCCAAAATCAAACCAAATTTGATTGTAGTTACCAGTCGCACCAGAAAACACCTAGATTTGATCTGTGACTGCTTCAGATGTTGCAGGTCCAGCAGCTTGCAGTCTATTCTTTGATGAATCAATGATGAAAATTTATTCTGTAATATCCTGGTGATTGCTGGTCACTTTTAATGGTGATCACAAGCTCCAGATGCTCTTTTCGACTTTGAAATGTGATGTTGCTTAACTTTTCATCACTTCAGTAGAAACACAACTGGGTCTTTGAGTAGCATTTTAAATGACCTTTAAAAAATTTTAACTCCATCATTTACCCACTTCAAGCATCACTCAGAAGCTTGAATGTGGCCTTTTTCATCTTGCCACCATCATGAAAATCAGCCACCAATTCATAAAGCAGCAAGAAGACGGGAACATACAGAGGACACCTTCCCCTCTGCTTTGTTACCTGTGAAATGATTAAAACAGAGTATAAGGAATATGCCCATCAGCTTATACACGATGAACATCACCAAAACCATATATTTTATATGCTCTGAAAACAGACAACAGTGACTGGTAGATACTGGATGTTTCAAGTCTGGGAGAGAGCATCCAGACTTCCTGCTATTACTTGTCCTCAGTGCTAATGAAGAAGAGTGTTTCCTCATATACTCAGATACTAAAGTGTATCTGAGTGCTAAAGGCACATGCTGCAAACATGAAAGAACAGCAGTGGAGAGAGATGCAAGGGGTTGTTCATGCAGAACTGTGTTAAACACATCTTTTGCTTGGTGTGAAAGTTCATCAGTATCCAAGAACCGACTTTCACAGGACAGAGCTCTCTACCACTGACTGCCATTGCTCTGTGTCCAGAGGAGAACCAAGGTCACTTGAGAGCTGACCCACATGTTCAGACATTTAGCGCGTGCTCTCCTTGAATGACTGACACAGGAGGTTAGAGAAAGCTTTGCTTTTGTAAGGTTTTCTGACAGTGTTCGTATACCTAGTGTGTTCTGTGTGTAGCTGTAGTTATTCAATAAGACAGAGTTAGCTATACTGTAGGCTATTAAGGATCCCTACAATTTTTCACTCCTGCTGTATGAGGCTAGTCTGTGAAGCTGGCGTGGCACCTGAGTCTTCCACACCCCATAGCCTCATCAGTGCCATATATACAGCCCAGTCTACATCCGGTGATAAGTGTACTGAGAGCAGAGTCATGCAAAAGCTTGGCTCACTGCATAGTTTAGGGAGAAACTGCCAACTGCAGCAATGCCAGGACCATGCAAAACACAGCTGAAGCAGCTGGTGATCACTCTGCAATGTGTTTTTTGCCATCTGAAAGAAAGCTGGAGGGCACCTTATGTCTGGCTTGATTCTGGCTCCTCATTCTTCACTGCAAACATTTCACTGTTCCATTGTGCGTAGTTTTAAGAGCAAGAGGAAGCACATAGCAGAAAATTACCAGAAATAGCAGAAACCCACACAAACCAGGCTGAGAACAAGACATGCAGGAACTAGTCGTTTGCTCCGAGTACAGTATAGGCCCAGCTTCACAGTGAGACAAGCAGCTATTGGGGATTTTGTACTAAACAAAAGTGAAAGAACTTACTAAAATCCAACACAAAACAATCTCTAAGAAGTACAGAACTCATCTATTAAACATGACAAGTACACAGGAATACATAATTTTCAGCAACAGAAAAGAGAAGGTAAGCAGGCCAGCTGCCAGATACTCAACAGGCCTGAACTAGGAGTTTTAGAAGTCCATTCTTGGTGATGCAGCTCTTGCAATCTGCTAGTGCTTGTGCCAGCAAAATGGGAGTCTGCAAGGTGAGTGGGGACAAATGGACCTGATGTGATGTTGATCTGTACCACTCTAGGGCAGCATCTCTTTACTCAGCCATGTATACGTCGATGCTATTACTGTTCCTGCTGCCAGTGAGACCACAATCAACAGCTGCCACAGAATCAAATCTTTTTGTCTCAGGGAGCCAGGATTACCTTTATCATCTGATCATCTGGAATCTACACACTGATCCTAGAGTCCAGCTGCCGAAGGCGTTCAAGAACTCCATAGGGAATGGTGGGATTCCATATCCTGTAAGGGCAAATTCAGAAAGGAAAGAGATTTTAAGAAGAATAATTTGCTTCAGGCTTTTTTGGTGGTTTTGGTATATTTGTGTTTGGATTTTTTTTTTAATATGTTTTGTCGTTAAGTTGCCTGTTTCTTTTGAATATCATTCTATAGAAGTATTAAAGCTATGGAACAAATGAAAATGCATTTTAATTTAGAAGAAAGCAGTTCACTCCTCCAAAACCTGGCTCACTCTAGTTACAGGACACACTACAGTCCTGTCTCCATAACTGTTCTTCAGCTTACTATCAAACTCCCTTCCTCTGACTGTGTACTGGCAGCTTCAGTCTATTTAACCTCTAATGACGGCTGCTCATTCAAATACAAGTCCTGCAGCACAGAGTAGCTCACACACTCTGGGAGGGTAGAAGATAACAAAAAGAGGCTCAATGTAAACTATGGTTAAAGCAGAACAAGTTTGCTTGCCCGGGGTGATAGGAATTAATGCAGCTGAAGCCACAGACGTTTTTAACATGTCTTTAACTGCTTTTGTATCTTGATGTCTTTTTTTGTGCCTCTTATAAAACTGACAAATGCAGAACACAGCTTTAGCATGAATTCTAACCAAATAGACAGAATGAAGACAGAGCAAACAGCGTATCAAGAAACTTACACCAATTTCTTTATATGGGGACATTTTCCCAGGCTGTCAGTCAGCTGCTGGGCTCCAGCACCAGTTATTTTGTTATACTGGACTCTGAGGAAAAATCCAAATTTGTTAAGGCAGATCACAACATATAGTGGTGTAATCATTCAAAATAAAAAATACCATATGGGCTTATCTGCAGATAAGGGGAAAAGGGAAAAGAAAAATACCAAAAGAGATCCTTGAATCAAAAAATCTCTAACAAAATGCTCAAAAGGTCAAACAGGAACTTTATTCAGTTAGTTCATCTGAGGGATTCCTTATTCTGTGTACCCAAGGTCCTTCTCCGACTCCCCATGATCCTATTCTCCCATCTTAAGCCAGATTTTTTTTTCATTTTTTTATCCTTAATCCTTTCTAACCACTATCTGGACTCTGCATAAGTACATTTTTCCCTGTGAAATTTTCCTAAAGTCTTCTTCCTCAATTTCTGATTCCTTTACCCTGAGCACAGAAGATTTGAATGTTCGTTACCCAAGCAAGTAAACTTCCCTGGGCCATCTCAAAGGATTTCATACTCACTCTAGTACTCTCAAAGATGCCATTGCAGGAAGAACTTTGGCAAGATTTTCTGCTCCGAAATCACAAATGCTGTTGTTGTATAAGCTGCAGAAAAACAAAGTGGTACAGTCACAACTGAATAATGGGTAATGTAAACAGATTATATATTAGATCAAGGAATTTCAGATATGGTTGGTACATTTTAACTTCCAATTTATCCTTATCTAATTGCAGTTAGTTTAAAACAGCTTTCTGTATCAAGTAAGGCAAATGGTGACATCCTTCTTCAGCTAGCACAGCTACAGCAAAATCAAGTCTAGATTCCTAATGAATAATGGGACATTTCTGTCTACATTAGATCAAATTAAAGATCTGCAAGAAAATGAAGCTCAAATATCTGGGGTACAGCATTCAGAAAAATTACATGTGAGCATATATTCCAGAATTGCACACCACAGTTTCTTGCATTCCTTACTGAGATGCTTCACTCAGGCCTATGCCAGATATTTTAATGAAGTGGGATGAACCATGGGTCTCATATCAGCAAACACACACCACCTTATTGCTGGCTTAGGGCTTAGTAAGCTCCACATAAGCTTGCAGCAGGTCATGGCCTTGGGTGCACATTTGTACATAAGTGGGTATTACTGATTGGATTTAAAAATCAGAACAGTCCTCATTATATTCCTGATATATCCTTCCATATGTCTATGCTTGGTTATACATCCCTCTCCTCTCCTTTCTAAAGGCTCTATGCAAGAATGAAGTCAAAAACTTGGCTGCTGCACAGTGTACCTAATTGCTTTACATTCAGCAATTTCTGGCAGAGATAGTGAGGTATACTGTATAAAACAACTGAACACGACACAACTACTTACCTTAGTGTCTTTAATGAAGACAGGGAAGGAAGAGCTGTAGCTAGCTTCTCAGCACCCACATCAGTTATCTTATTCTGTGATAAGCTACAGTAGGTGAGAACACTGTTAGTTGAGCACATTTTATTCTGATTTATTACAATGTGGAGACAATTGTTTTTTTATGTCTTTTTATGTATAATTTGGACAGTCTGTTTAGACCAAATGCAGGGGAAACAATAAATAACAGCCCTTGAAGGGAAACGGGGAATTGCCATAGGATTAACCTATTTGTTAACGAATGTAGATTAAGTATGTCCATAGACTCATTGGTCTTCCATCCCCATGGGTTAGTTGTGCCCATAATTGTTAACACACAGTCCCTTAAGGCTCTAGGTTTAATCTATTTCTTTTCAAAATTTCCCAGATTTGTTAACCTTGCACTTACTTTAATGTTTCCAGTGATGTCAGGGTTGGAAAGACTTCAGATAGACTCTTTGCTCCTTCATCTCCTATGCCATTTTCACTCAGAGCATCAAGGCTGGGTGATGACAAAGAGAGAATCAGCTTCCCTTTTAATCTAATTTTTTGTGGTTTATTCACCTCAGAGACCACTCTATCTAGCTTGAGAAGCTCCTTCTCTGCAGTAGCCTCAATCAGCAAGAAGCATCACACAGATTACTGCTTCCCTAATAAACAGCTTTCTGCTTCCCAAATTTACAGCCTAATATTTATTTCTTTTTTACTAGTTGAATGGCTTGACCCATTTCCTTTGATATGCAAGGTTATTTAAATGGTTACAAAATAGCTGTGTTCCAGCTATGCTGAAATAAGGTTTCCTGTGCACGCAAAAATATAGAAGTGAAAATCCAGCAGACGCCTAACCAGCTCCTTCTCCAGATAGGGAGTATTAGAAGTGAAGTTCTTCCTCATTCAGGTATGGAGATGGAAAGAGTTTTGCAGTCACAATTTTAGATACTGGATCCCCTCTAGTATGACAGGTAATGCTGAGATACATCAGACTTATTCCAGTTTTCGAGATTTATTGTTTTCCCAGAATATCATGGAAACGCTAGATACAGTACAGATAAATGGTCCATGAGCTGAGCCAGTAAGGCCAAAGGCCCTCTCAAAACCCAGTAATCTTCCCATGAGAAGACAGCAGAATGTTGACTATTGTTGCTACCATTGTTTCTAGCCTAAACCAGCTTAAAATTCAGAGATAGCTGGTTTGTCATGGATACAAGACAATGAAGAGTAACTGGAATTCTTAAAATTCTATTTGTAATACGGCTCCTGGTAAAGGAAGGGACAAAGGAAGATATATGGGCAGAACCAAAGCAGATAGATACTGGCTGAGTATGTTTTTTTTAAACCTTTCATAAGAATCCAATCCACACAGTTCAATCTCTTACAAGTTCCACCAGACATTCAGGATGTTTGTTGACACTGGAAGGTGAACAGCACTGGCACAAATACTGAAATTACCCCCTAAATTTAACACTGCTTCTGGTTCCAGAGACAGCCTGTTCTCTCCTGTGGCAGACACGACTGTGAGTCCCTCAGAAACCTCACCAGGAGGGAGCCTGAGGCTCAGGCATACAATGGAGCTTGAATGAAGAAGTAATATGCAGGCAGTGTGGTGGCAGGAGGGGAGAGCACCCAGTGGGACTCTGTAGAAGACCTTTCCCACAAGGTTTTAACCACTGAGAAACACACAGGAAAGTGACTGAAAGGGTAAGGGAGGATGAAGAGTGCTAGCTTTTAGTCTGCTGCTGTATTCTCTGAATGTTTTTATGTTTGTTCAAAGCAAGTAGTCTTCTTGGCTCCCCCATCGTCACGGGTTGCTGAGGAGCAACATTAGCAAATGTCATCTTGTCGTGGTTTAAACCCTAGCCAGACCGCTTGTTCACTCACTCCCAGTGAGTGGTGCTGGGCTGGAAGCAATCAAGGCCCCCTGCCCCGGGGGCTCTCCCCTTCCCCGCTCCCAGAGGGATGGGGAGGAGAATGGAAAGAATGCAACTCCCATGGGTTGAGACAAGAACAGTCTCAATGTACAACACAAATCACCACCGCTACCACCAACAACAGCAATGATAAGAGAAAATAACAAGGGAAGAGAATACAACACCACCCACCGAGAAACGAGTCTGACCCAGAAGACCCCGTGTCCTTCTGGGTAACTCCAAGTTACCCCCCACCGGGCATGACGTGCTGTGGTATGGAATACCTCTTTGGCTAGCTTGGGTCAGGTGTCCTGTCTCTGCTTCCTCCCAGATTCCCCTCCTCCCTGGCAGAGCATGAGCCTTACAAAGTCCTTGGTCAGGGTAAACATCACTTAGCAGCAGCTGAAAACATTGGTGTTATCAGCAGTGTTCCCAGGCTGAAAGCCAAAACACAGCGCTGCACCAGCTACCAAGAAGCAGAAAAATTGACTGCTACTGCTAAACCCAGGACGCATCTTTAGCGTTACTCACTCTAAATACTGAAGTGATGGAAATGCTGCAAGAATTTCCACAAGTTTTAAGAATCCCTGAAGGCCACATACTGGACCCAGCCTGCAACAAAAGAAATACAGACACGCAGCAGCTTTTTCACATGCTCAGAAACAGCAGACGTTATGAATTTTTCAGTTCTTCCCCTGCAGCCCCAAATGCAAGCCAGTTTACATTCTTCTGAAACAGCCATGCCCTACCATCTGCAGCAAAGATTTCTGCTTCAAAGCCTCCAGATGAGAACCCCACAAGGCTGAGATCAGACAGAACAGAGCTGTTTGCACAGAAGCAGCAGAGCATGCATTTGCCACTTTTTTTTTTACTCTTTGTGAGACTCATCTCACCTGGTTTAGATTCCTGTATTTTTGATCTTTTTTTTATTTTTCCAGGTTTTTTTTTTCTTTTTTTTTAAGTATTATAATCTTAATAATCCAGATGAAACAAATCTCTCTCTACCCCCCCCTCACAACTGTTGGCAATTCAGACTAACTTAAGATCAACATTTTACTGCAGCTTAAAGCTCCAAGCATTTGTCCCTCCAACATTAACCTCTTATTTGGAGTTTCCTTGGTATCAGAACAAGTTCAGCCTAGTTAAAGGATTGGAATTTTAACAAAAAAAAAAAAATTAAAATAAATGGAAGGTAGGCGAGGAAACAGGAAGGGAAAGCAGCATGAAATCAGAAGTGAGGCCAAGCATACCCTCTAGACTGGGTCAGATGTGAAGAGCAGGAAACAGATGAAAACCTGATGAGAGTATGCCATTGCACTGGTGCCATTTCTGCCCAAACTAATTCACACACTATGGTAGGGAATTTTAAGCAGTAGAACAGCCTTGGAAGCTGCTTACAGTTTGTAGGGAAGAAGAAATGTTACTACACCTCATATTTAAAATCAGTGTTTCCAAGTCAATCTTCCTTCTTCCGGGAAAATGGTGATAAATGTTTTATTTGGGAGGGATTCTCTGACCTTATTCTCTTATGGCCTAAGCTCTGATAGGGCAGAAATTACATCAGAAGACTCAGATAAAAATGTTGAGCAGTTCTGGGGAAAAGAAAGATATTTCCCAGGTAGCTGGATCACAAGCAAGATACTTTATACCCTATGGCACAAGATCTACACCTGGTGATAAGGAGCTATCTTGTAGTGAAAATCAAACAAAATAGATCAAAACATGTTAACCTGTACCATGGCAGGAGCCAGAAATTACGTTTTGTGAGTTTGGGCCATAACTTAATCTATATAGTTGAGAAAAGCAAAATAGCAATAAATGGGGTTTACTTAATACTTTACCATAAACTAATTGTATATCAGTTCAATGACTGTAGCCAATATCCATAATTCTTCTGAGTCTTAAATGCAATCATCTATCAATCAACAGAGAGGTGTATTACTTACGCAAATTCTAGTTTCCTGAGGTTTTTGATGGCAGGAATTTCATAGCTGCTGCAACCACATGCATCTTGCACACTAAAAATATCACAGTAGAACCAGAGCATGATAAATATCTTAGCAACCAAAACAGCACTTTACATATAAATTCATAGTAAACTTTTACAAGAAATAAACCACTGTTGCATTAACTGAGGAACCAGAAATTTCAGAATAACTCCTGCTCCAACCTTTCTTCATTCAATTCATTCCAATTTTCAGATTGAAATGAATTTCAAATGACCACACCTTTTGTAGTGCAGTCATTTGCTCTTTTTTCCAACAGAATTTAAAACCACATTCTTCTAAATCAAGTGTCTTCCGTCAAACATAAAACTTGCATGTATTTTAATCAAAATATTCTGCCCATGTTAAAATGGAAGTCCACATTTCTGTTTAAAAAACAACCAAAATACTTTCTTTATGCATGCTATTAATTGCAACCAATCCCCATGCAACATCATGAACAGGGATGAAACACAAGCTTTCACATAACACAAGCTTTTACCTCCTGAGCTAAAGGGCCAACTCAGGTCATTTTTGACTGGTGCAAAACAAGCCTTCATTTAAGGCCCTGGTGCTACAGGGGACAAAAATCTGTTAGCCCAAGTTGTGTGAGTGAAAGCAATTGGAAGATAGCAGTATACTCAGAGATTAAAAAGTAATCTGAAGAAAAAAATGACAGCCAGCTTTTTTTATTGGCAGTTTTGATAAATGTTCTGCATGGTGCTGTCATTGCTTCTCCCTGCCCTGACAACCACCGCATATCGGGGTAGGAGAACACCCTGAGATGGTACAAGAGCTTGTACTGACTTAGTCACTTCTCCTTTGGACAAGTGGAGGACTCTGCTTTTTCAGCACTGTCAGTAAACCCCCATTTTCTTAAATCACTAGTATATTAAGGTCATAAATGAGCCTACCAATTGATCATCTTCTGTATATCCACAAGGTCTGAAAGGTCACTGATGTCCTTCATTGTCTTTGCCTTAAAGGGATCAAGAACAAATTTCTCTGTTGATGCTCTCAGCAGTTCACAGTCTTTTTCCTGTTCTAAAGACTTCCAGAGCCTGACTGTGTCACTGAGGGAGGCCCTGTGAAGTGAAATCAACAGATAGGATTGCTGTTGTTGCATGAACAAGTCATACAGTCCTATGAATGACACTGCTATCTATAAAGAATGATCTACCTGAATGATGCCACATTCTTCAGGCCAACCAAGTCTTTCAGTCCTTGCATGTCAATGCTGCTGTTTCGCAAATCCAAGGAAAACTCTTTTCTTGACCTTTTTAAAATAGAGTGCAGTACATGGACATCAGGTGGTGTTAGAACTACACCCAGAAAAGACAAGTCTGGCTTGAGCCTTAAGGCCACATGTTGCAAAAGATAACTGCTTTGGGTTTCATAAATACATTGTAAGAGTTTGAGTAACCTCTCTGGACATAGCTCATTTATCTGCAGCCTTCTAATACATTTCAACAGTGTTTTCTGCTTCTTGATTGATTGTTTTACAATCTTATTTGAAAGGGAGCAGAAGCAGGGGTCATCCTGGAGGAACAACAATCCAGACAAAAACTGAGGCACTAAATCTAACCAATTATAAGGTTTTTTCTTCTTGGATGGAAAAGACAGGTACTTTGTTAGACTTTTATCCTTGATCTCTTCTGCTAACGTAAGGTGAAGTGCACCCAAGAAATTCTGAATGACAAAATCAGCAAATGTGCTCCCAAATGCCTCTTCTCCACTATCTAAATGTTTGGGGAATGCAAACGGCAGGAAAAATCCGTATTTCAGAGCAAACTCTTTAACTTCCTTAGAAGGAAGAAGATCACTTTTTATGGCACTTCGGTGCTTTTCTCCAAGATACCAGGCTATACGGGCCAGCATAGCAAGACTGTCTTGATTTTGCATGCCTGCAACATCTGCTTGCATAGGTATTATCTTCTGCTGAAGAAATTTCAGGAAGACTGTAGTAAGAGTTGAAGGAAGGCACTTGTGTCCCATTTCAAGTACTGTCTCACAGAGAAAACAAACAAATCTACACATAACAGGGCTGTAACAATGACTGAACAAGTACTCACACTCCTTGATTAATTTCAGTGCATTATCACTGTAGGGTAATCCTTCAAAGTATTTGCTTATGTACAATTCTCTCTGCTGAGGGGAAAATCCTGTTATTTCAATAGTCTTATTCACTTTGGACACACACTGATATACCTTGTCTTTTGGTCTTGCTGTTAGTAATAAAGTACAACCATTGAGTATCTTTTTTTGAATGAGCCCTGAAAGCAGCTCCTTTATAGTGCACAAGTCTCGTTCAGGCTGGCTGACTGAGCAACGAAGAAAATTCTCATGATCATGCAACCCTTCAAAACCATCAAAAACCAGAAGGACTTTAGCAGGATTTTGCAAGATATACTCAAAGATCTCTTTGCTTCCCTCTTGAGGTTTCACAAAAAATTCAAGCAGCAGATCCTTCAGGCTATATTGCTTCTCAGGCAAGCTTATTTGTTTGCAGTCAAACCAAAACACAAATTCAAATTGAGAAAATTCTCCATTGGACCAGTCCTGGCAGATCTTCTGAACAAGAATGCTTTTGCCCATTCCTGCTTTTCCCAGCACCACAATCACTTCAGTCTCTAAATCTTTACTTCCTGGGATTTGAAATATTTGGTTTCTTTTAAGGGCTGCTTTTTCCTTCTCTTGCAGACTGCGTGTTACCAGCTCCTTTTCCATTGCTTTTATGCTATTCTTTCCAGTCTTGGTTTCAGTTTGGCTTTGAACAAGTGTCCCATCAATAAACAGGTGATCAAGAGCTATTTCACGCTCCATGGTCACAGATCTGCAGACATCTTGGAAATAATGCTTAAGTGATGTACAGAAAGCTTCCACTCGCTCTAAAGAAACAGAAAGCACACATAAACACCAGAAAACTGTTCACAAATAGTACATAGTTGTAATATGGTCAAAATACACCAGTTCCCATAAAGAGCGTATGTTTGGATTTATCCCATGAAACTGCAGGTACTTAGATTTGGAGTACAGGCACAATAGACACCTTTAGACCATGAAATGAAAAATTTTGGAGGTATTCACACATATGATATAACCAGCTAAGTACACTGACCTTCTAGGTAGGTACTACAGCCAGATATCTAAAGGTAGAAAAATCTAATATCTTAATGTGCTCAAAAACTTGGAACAGCTTCACAAACTGTTGAATGACAATTCCTACAAGTAGCTTTTCTTTATGCAATGAAACACAGGAAAATACAGCCAAAAAACTCCAGAAGTTTTAAGTACAAGAGATCTAAACTCACTTGGTCTTTTGAGAGGTTCTTCAGAAGGAATTATGGGAACTTGGACTTCTTTGAGCATTTCTAACCCTGAAAAGAACAAAACAATATACTTGAGGAAGACACCTAGATAGTCACTGATTCAGCTTTACTAATTTTAACATTAAGACTAATTCAGATTTTCAAGTTCTTTGCAACATATATAATATGGCTCATCCAGAAAAAGAGAGGTTTTGTTTATTTTACAAGGGAAAGGAAAAATATCCTCAGCCATACAATTCAGCTGACATGAACTATCACAGGCAGCATGACACCATACAAGATGACAGCTGTTCCAATGTTGTAAGAAGCAGAAGACGTATCATAACGAGGTGACATACACTGTTCTTTTCAAATGTCAGGGGTTTGCATAAATTCGTGTTCACACACTGGACTTCTTCATATCATCAAAAGCAATAGCTTCCTTTTACTATTCGACATCTTGTAACCAAGCATTAAGGATGAAAGTCACAGAGAAATTACTATTTGTTGCACAATTTACCCATTGCTCTTCCTGATGAAGTACTGTCACTGTCCAATTTTCTTTATTTTTGCCTGCTTGTTTTCAGACTACTGCAGTCTTTTGCACTTGGTTAGATGAGCCATGTCTGCCAAACACATAACTGGGAATTTTTCAGGGAAAGCATATTTTCTACAGACTCGTGATGACAGTATCAATTCTGACAAAACTTTTGGTAGGAAAAGCTTTGCTGACACAGGACAGAATTTAAATTGACAGAGGCTGTAACAAACCCAACTTTATCAATAGTCTTGTGGAAACCACACTTAGCAGAGATGTGGGGCAAAACCCCAAACCACAACAGGTTCATCTACCTAGATTTGGACAAATGATTTATTACCATAATATTTGGTTCATCTTAATATAGAAAGTTATTTAAAAAAACAAAGTTTCAGAGATCTGAAAACTAATTCTACCCCACACGCCAGCAATAGATGGAATGGTTAGAGTTCGGGGTTGCTTCTATCAGTGAAGCAGTCTCAGACTTCTAATAAGCAAGTCCTTTTTCCAGTGAAAGAATACATTTGATAGAAAGAGTTCACCTCCTTGTAGAAGAAAAATCTGCTGAAGATATTAAATAACAAGGGGACATGCCTGTTTTCAGGCAAGTGTCTTGTTTTGGTTTATTACTTATTAAACAAACACAACAGAATGAAAACCAAGAAAAACTGTAATTAGACATTTAGATGGGAAGCCGCATTGGTCAAATCAATCAGATGTTAATTTTCTAAAAAGGAAGAGAAACTGACTTGATAGCCGAAGCGGTAATTTTTCTGCTGCATTTGGAATTCTGAGGTTTGTGACATACTCATATAACGTTGTGCTGCTGTAAATCAGTTGGAATTATTAATATTGTGTGTTCACATAAACAGTATATATAACGTAAAGTACTTCCCCAAACCCATGGGTATTTGCGTGTTAATCCTCACTTTAAAATTATGCTATTTTGGGCTCTGTTGCCACCAGAGGGCAACAGAACGCTGTAGCAAGCAGCTATAATTACCAGAAACTAAACACCCACTAAAATCAAACTCCCTGGGCTGGAAGAAAAGTGTCTGAGGAAAGCTTGCTACCACAGGCGGGACTGTTACATCCTGAGCAGGGCTCCAATTTCTTTATAAGCCTTTCTGTATATTATGCTTCTGTATTGCTTAGTTAAGTCATCATTTTGGCTTTGAAGGTTCCATTTTAACTGACTGCAGTATGGCTTCCAGCATCAAGCATTTAAGATGCTCAGGCCATGCCAGTACCAGCACAACTTCCACTTCTGATGATGCACACTGGCCTTTTGTATTGTTTTAACTGGACAAGAAGACTTCATCTCGTAGCTTATGGCTAACATACAGCTGAATCCTTAGTTCTACAATCTTTTATCTGTTCTGTATTTTGACCTAGACTAAGCAGCCAGTGAACAATACAAAGAAATACCATTAATTTTTATTTTCCTCAATAAGATCAATATGAGTAAAGCCCAAAGGGGAAAATTGGCTTTGGACAGAAGCAATCTGCTCTCTCTCCCAATCCAGAGTACTGTATACATACAAATTTGCTCTCTACATACCACATAAACTAACTAGAAAACTTGGGGATATCAATGTTTCAGTGGGATAAGTCAGCGATGGCAAGAAAAAAAGTGATAGTTTTCAGCCTATCATAACTATCAGTATCTGAAATGAAGGAATTTCGTACTTTGTTGGCAGTTATTGACTTTCCAGTACTTTCTGCCTATTTATGTGAGTAAAAGTGTATTGCTCTCACCTGGATATATTAGAACATCGGGCGTGCCATTTCCAAGAACAAAGCCAAGTATCTGCTTAGGAGGATCTGCAAAGCCTGCATTCTGTTGGCTCCCTTTCTTGCCAACAGATAGACACTCTGGAATCAGAGGTGCTGAAGGTCCTGAAATGAGTGCGGAGCAATTACTCTTCTGTTTTTAAAGGCTCCTGGTTTCTAAAGGTTTTCACGTTAAAGAAAATATCCTTTCTGTCAGCTTCTGGGCAAATATTCCCAGTGGAGAGTTAATGAACCAGAATTCATATGCTCACATGAAGTCCGCAGAATCCATTATTCAAAAAATCTTAACAGGTACGATGAATGTGAAATACAAGGGATTACCCATCTTTTAGTAACTACTATTTTTTGATAGTCTAAAGAGAAATCCTGTTAATATAACGAATGGTGTCTAAGGCAAAATCTGTAAATGTATGGACCAGAGACGCAGAAGAGAGAAATATATAGATATTGTGTATCTGAATTAATTTAACCATCCTTTGCACTACATCTTTCCCACAAAACTGCACATCATGCTGCTTGTACAAGCAGCTAGCAAGGATCCTCCTTCTGAACCTGCACTGGGAAATTTTTTTGATGATACAGTGCTTGCAATTTAATCAGCCATAGTTCTGAGCTTCTCTAAGCGTGACAGAATTTCTTTTGCTCCTTTGTGCTGTTTCAGCTATCATTACATACTTCAAGACCTCTAACGTATACATTACTTTTTGGTTCCTTTCCAGTATAGATTTAACAGTGAAAGGTGTTGAATTCTGTCTTTCTCATTAGCAATTGCCAGTGTACCGTGAGCACCCGCTGCTACTCAACGTTATCAAGGCAAGGCGGCTACATAGCCCATCACTTGGATTAGTATTCAGGTTTTACAAACAAAATTCCAACCTAGATTTTTCTCTACTACTACAAATACAATTGTCCTCTGGATAGCCCGTGGATGAAAGGAACTAACCCAGAGTTTAGGAATAAAAAATTTGTGATTTCCTATTCTTAAGACAAGCAAGTAGTTATTTAGATTAGCATACAGCAAATAACTGTTCTCTTATTTATTAACCTGCACTTCACCAGTTAAATGAAAGACTCACTGTTTCATTAGGGGCTTTTATTTCCCTTGAATATTTTTCATTCTTTTAGTGAGTGCCATACTTTTAGTGCTCGATTGAATCAGCTACCATGCTTGTTTTCCCCATCATTGTTCAGGGTCAATAACCAAATTTATAAGAGAGTCTTCCCCCTGTATAAATCAACCCATGTACAGGTGCACACCTGTAGCTCTACTGTACATACCAGAAATTAAGAAACTCCTTTCCAATGCATTGGCAGCAAGAAGAGAAAAGGACATGTGCTGGTTAGTTAGTGAGGTGGAGCTAGCTGGATGGGTGTTCAGAGGCATAGTAAGGAAACTGCAGCTCCCTGCAGACACTGCAGGGACTTCCACTTGAGAAAAAAAAAAAAAAAGGCAAACCAAAAGAAGAAAGTTATTTCATTGCTAGAAGTTAAGGTGGCCAAAGAAGAGGTCTCAGCAGGTATCGTAAACCACTTGATTCTGATCAGCTGTGCTTTGATTTTCCAAAAGTAAAACCAATTCACAATAGCTTTCTGCAATATACTCCCCATCTAAATATTGCTGCATTGATGTAGTCAGAGGTGATCAGGTACTGTTACAGCTAACTGCAAACAGCTGGGCAAATCTAAAATTGAATTCCATTCAATTCATCTGAAAGAATCTCATCCTTGGCTTACCACTCTGAACTTTAGTACACATTAGCCTCTTTACTGCACGTGTTCTTACACTTCTGAAGACCTGATGCATTTCCCTTTGCAGGATCATTCTGTGACACACATTTTATGACAGGTTAAATAAATTCCTGAATTTGTTATGTAGCTCAACTTTTTGTCTATTAGCTCAGTATGTATACTACATATACATATACCTAGTCTATATAGACTATGTATATATACACATATATACATATACGTATATATGTGTATATATACACTACGTGGGTATATATACATATACATATACATATATATCCCTTCCCTCAGCACCCTCAATGGGTCAGTAAGGTATGGAGACTGATAATATTCTGAGCACTTTCCACCTATTGAGAAAAGGATAGGTGCAGCTTTACAAAGCACCTGATAGCTCTCTGATGATAATGTAGACTGAATTGCAAGTCCTGTAGGGTGAGACATTTGTACTGGTTTGGCTTTCTTTCTAAATCAGGAATTGATGTATCACTTTCTTAATGAAAACTCTCATTGTTAGTGTGGTATAAACGGAGGCTCAGTCTCCTTCCTTCCTCCTGAAATCCACACAAACATTGGAAAAACAGCTTGGTTCACCGTCTCAGTGCATGTGTGTGATCTCGATGAATTTCATCCAGTCTATGCCAGTTCCTTGAGTATTGCTGGGCAATTGCCAGGCTGAATTTTGCTGAGATGCAGTCCCATAATCCAAGCATTCTCTGCATTGTCTCTCTAGGTTACACATACTGGTTTTGGCTGCCCACCCTGACATGCACACAGCCAATCAGGTTTCATACAGTCAGAGCTCCTGTCAGGAAGTTTGCTAACATACAATAATGCATACATCACTTCAAAACACAGTATGATATATTCACCCAAAGATGGTTGCTCTCACATGGATTTTGCAAGAGTATTTTGATGGTTTCTCTATGCCTGAGACACCCATTTAGGCTCCAGACTAAGAATAAGAATTCTAGCACCAGTTTACACCTAGGAAACAAGTTGCAGCCTGTCTGCTGGCCACAGGTACTGCCCTGTAGGTGGTCAAACAGCATGCAGCACCTTGACATTTCCCTTTCTCTCATGCTTACTTTGGTTTAAAGAACTGTATAGCATGAGCTGGGCAAAGAAGCCGTCTCTTCATAGTTACTATTTTCACTAGGATGTTTGACTAGATTTTTGGGAGGTGACATGCTTAGAACAAAGAGGATCAAATATAGGAAATAACAAACCATGGCCTGGGTCACATTCCCCATCCTAAACAAAAGGTATACGTGATAAAAATGACAAAATTTGACCCTGACCCAATTCTCCACTGTTTTGCTTTCTTCTCTCAGATTTTAGACATATTTAGAGAAGTTCAACTAGGCCTCATCTGATGCTAAGGAAGTAATTTTTCTATCACACATCAGGAACATGTGCTTCTGAAGCATAAGGATCCAGTGGTTCCCAGGCTATCATGTAGTTGGTCCTAAGATGCTGTTTAATAGTTACTATTAAGAGGGCACAGATTTGTTGTATCATAAATAAGTCAAGGTGCATAAGAATGTGATTCTACAATGATTTCTACTCTGCTGGAAGTAAAAACATGAAAATGCATGATGATGCTGTATCATCAAATACCTAATAGAGGATGAGACTTTGCAACATAAGACAATATATGTTCAATAATCTTTTCCTATTCAGCCAACAACTTACCTATTTTCCTGTATTTGCGTTCTGAAGCATCAGAGCAACTCTCTGCAGAGCCTAAGAATGATGAAAGAGAAGTGATGATAAATGACAAAAATTGAAGCAGTTTGGTAACTTTACGTTTCCACCATGGAAATTTATTTTAACCTTTTAAAGCAGAATGAGATGTTATCAGTTTCAATTCAGCTATTTCAGAATTGTTTGGGGCCAATATATAAAATATGAATGTGAGAAGCCTCATATTTCACTCTGACTGTGAAGTTTCAATTAAGCTACAGATTTTTGTGCCAGTAATCAAAGATTTTTTGCTGCTGCTGTTGATATTGAAGAGGGAATTGTTCAGCTAATGCTTGCTAAGCAATAGAGTCACTGAAAACAAAGTTAACACTGTCACACAGATGAAGGGAAGAAATACAACATACTTAATGTCATGTTACAGGACAACAAATTCTGCAAATTGTAAAGAATGTGCTTGTGGGAGTTGTTTTTACTTCCAGCCCACAGAGGGTAAGCAAAATCATAGGAAGCACGTCTGGTTGTATCAGTGAAGAACTACATGAGAGATGCATTGAGGATGGGTTAAAACCAAAGTGTCGAAATGCAAATTTAGGATTCAAATTCTGCAGCCTTTCAAACTCTCACTCTTTTTCACTTACTTCGTTTGTGACATTTCTGCACATTTATGTCAGGAAGCATCTCAGTGTTTTCAGCTGCTATTTCATCCAAAATAAGGTTCCCTGCTAAAAATATGTAAAAATGTCAACCTTTGCTCTCCTAGAAAAATTGTAGGAAGAGAAAAAGTAACAGAAACATACCAACAGGTGGCAAAGAGAAAATATGCTCCAAATAAATGCACTAAAACACATCTTCAGATCAAGAGGATTTAGAAAGCCCACAGAGCTTTGGATGCAGGTTCTGTTACCCTCTGTTGGTTTTTGAACTGTGAGGTATTAATCTACTGCCATTAATTCAGTGGCTAATAAAACTTAAGCACTTCTCAATGCTTTAATGATGAGCAAAGGATAAAAGGATAAAACAACACAGCTGTATCACAGCATAATCTCAGTACTAGCAAAGTTATTTACTCATTTTTGGTACAAAAAGGATTAGATCCCTTAAGAGATCATATTTTGTGTTGTAAGAACTGTGAAGTTATCTGTACCATTCTTCTACTGGCAAATCATTCGGCACTAATACTGTATCTTTTTTCCTCTAAAACCAATACAAATTTTGCCATTAAGTACAAAAAGCCTCAATTTTTAAACATACCAGGGAACAGTAAAAAGTCGAGCAATCATCTCTGGTCAAGCACTGAACGAAGGAATCATTTACCACATGCATACTACAGCATTGCTGCATTGATCAGGGAGAGAATTAAAATTCAACATGCTTCCTCAGGCAGTTTTGTGCATCCTGAACAGAAGTGAGTGTGCATGAACAGCGTCTAAATGCATGATAAGTCCTCTGGGTGGTTCAGCTTTAATGAACTTCTGCATACCACCTGTGTTGTGCTTAGAATAAGTCAGACTCTAACTGAGGGCGTATACTGCACTAGCTGTACATACACTATAGCCATAGTGATGTGATCGGCAACTGCTCAGAGATAAAACTGCCATCTTTGAGAAAGGCCTGCAACAATACAGAAAATCCTCAAAGTCTGCCATGAAAATCCTGGGATACAGTTTCCAGGGGGAAAGAAGAGTATACCAGATATATAAAAACCTTACTACGGTTCAAATCATGGAGATGAAGTACAGTGCAGATGTTAGCCAGAACACTGTCATGGAGAAAATTAATCTTTGCCACAGAAATCTTACCAAAAGTGTCTTCCACCTTCATCTCCTGATGATCTTGGAGCACATATTCTGCTAATCCAGCTAGCAAGAAGGGACCAAAAAAAAAAAAAGAAAAAAGAAAAGGAAGAAGAAACACAGTAAGGGCACAGTAATTTCACAGTAAAACTCCTGTAAACTTACCTTTTGCAGAAGTAAATTAAATTTTTCTTGTAAATTTTTGTTCAGGAAATCAAGAAAACAAAAAAGAAGAAGTTGAGACAGGAAGTATTAAGCAGAAGGAGCCATTAATAGAGAGATTTTTTTTCCCCCAACAACCACAAGCTACTGTTAATCTGTTTCCCCACAAACTGCAGGTTTATGTACCCTGGCTAGATCTGCCATGCATGAGGGACAGAACACTATGTATATGCCACTGCTTTAGACTGAAAATACAATTAATAAGAAATAGCTATAGCAAGTGACTGAAAAATAAGGATGTGAAAAAAAGAAAAATTGCATTCATACCTATTCTAGCATAATCTTCTTTGGTGGAACAGAGATCCAATTCATCCCCATTTTCACTGTTTTCCATTGTATACAAGAAATCAATATTGAACTGATCATAGTTGCTGGCATCAACTTCAGAATCTAGAAGTAAAAAGGAGAACACAATTGTTCAATGAATACCATAACGAAGGAGTGGAAAACAGATCTCAGGACATGCAGAAAAGGCAGATTGGTTACTTCAGCAAAAGGCTTTGGCTCTTCTTTTTATGTTGGTTAAGCAGGAACAGAACTAAACTCTCAGTAATATATCAACAGAAATCAACACTTTTGCTCAACTCTGATACTTCATATTTCCTAGTAAATAAAACAGTTCTAGAATCCATTCTGTCCCGTTAAGGCCCATGCACATGGCCAGACTCATCAATATTATAAAATCTTCTTATTCTTTAGGATATTGTGGTACCATGAAGACTCCCTGTTTGGAAGAATTCTGGATCCATGCTAACCCCCAAGCTACTGCTACAAATTGCCTGTAAAGCTGCTAGTTGAACAGGGCCAAAATATACCAGAGACCATGCTAACATCTTCACAGCAGATATACCCAGCTTTCAATAAGTAGTGTCATGTTCTGACAACATTTACTTTATCTACATCATCTCAGACATTGCTAAGGCTTAGAAGTATTCAAAACAGTGAAAAATCTCTGATATAACAAAAGCCATTCCTTGATCCCGCACACATCCTACTTTCACTGAACAAGTAAGACAATGGGAGTGAAGAAACACTCCTGCAGGTTTGATTAACAGTCAGAAATTGAGAGAGCAAAGCTCAACCTGGGAAATAATCACAAAGATGATTCCAGGTTCTGGTGCTCAGTTCTCCACTGATTTGCCCATGTACCTGCTGACACTGGTCTCTCATTAAAGCAAGGGTGTGAGGTGGTATCCTCCAGTTCGGTAATCTCTTACACCTATCAAGAAGAGCTATAGGTTTTCATATCTGGCATGCATCTGTTGTTCTCTTTTCATTACCAATCTCAAACCACAGACCAGCTCAGTAATTTAAAATAAGCTCATCTATTGCTCCACCACACAGTTAGCAGCATATATTCACTTTCATACTCTAATGCTGGCAAACTCAGGGGAAGCAGAACATTCCACAGCCTCCACACAAATTCAGGAGCAGAATGTTTGAGATCCAGGGCAACCTCCTAATCTGATTAGCTGTAGGAATTTACATGAAGAAACTATCATCTTATCAACACTTGAGGGTGTTGGTTGATGAGAAAATGAACATGAGCCAGCAGTGTGCACTTCCAGCCTGGAAAGCCAACTGTATCCTGGGCTGCATCAAGAGGAGCATGACCAACAGGTCAAAGGAGGTGATCCTGCCCCTCTACTCTGCTCTTGTGAGACCTCACTTGGAGTATTGTGTACAGTTCTGGTGTCCTAAACATAAAAAGGACATGGAACTGTTGGAACAAGTCCAGAGAAGGGCCATGAGGATGATCAGGGGACTGGAGCACTTCCTCTATAAAGACAGGCTGAGAAAGTTGGGGCTGTTCAGCCTGGAGAAGAGGCGTGGAGACCTCATAGCAGCCTTCCAGTATCTGAAGGGGGCCTACAGGGATGCTGGGGAGGGACTCTTCATTAGGGACTGTAGTAACAGGACAAGGGGTAATGGGTTAAAACTTAAACAGGGGAGGTTTAGATTGGATATAAGGAAGAAATTCTTTCCTGTTAGGATGGTGAGGCACTGGAATGGGTTGCCTAGGGAGGTTGTGAATGCTCCATCCCTGGCAGTGTTCAAGGCCAGGTTGGATGAAGACTTGTGTGGCATGCTTTAGTGTGAGGCATCCCTGCCCACAGCAGGGGGATTGGAAGTAGATGATCTTGAGGTCCTTTCCAACCTTAACTATTCTATGATTCTATTCTATGATCTTTATGTCCTTAGCCCTTCTGCTTTCTCCTCTAGCATAAAATCATTAAATCATTGGCCTGTGCCCCCAAAAACTGTAAAATGGAAACTGGTAATGAAAGCTGATGCCTTAGGATCTCAGAAGGAAAAAAAATGCTAGTTTGCTTGCAGACTGGTTTCATCACAAACTCGCCTAAAAGTCTCTGCTTTGCAAAGTGTTTACCTTGAAGTTACAAAAGTGTGGACAATTACATCTGACCAGCTTACAATAGGAACACTTGCAAATAAACTACTTACAGGAACAATATCCAAACCAAATACATTAATCCCACACCTTGATGAGTGACATGTACAGTATGTATTCTTAGACTCACTGAGCAGGAAGCTGTAAACATGGAGTTTCAAAACCATGATAGTTTCTGGAAGCAGTCACTATTTTACATACAGATATGAACAAAGTTATTGTATCATAAGACCATGTGTTGCTGTGTTTAGTTCAGACACCACAATAAGCTGCCATTAGGTGACTATGGAATTGAGAGGAGATGGTAATAACTTATAGCATGATGACTAAACTAATCAAGCATTTTTTAGTGTTTTACTAACCTGCAGAGAAGTCACCTTCTTCATTTCCAGATAACTTAGGATCAAGTTGAGTATACAAATGCAGTGGATCGATATCACTGTGCAGCAAATCAAGATAGCCATTTTCAGACAGAAATGTTGAATCCATGATTTGTCTCCTGCTGTATGAAATCAAATAGAAAAACAGTTAGCAATAACAAAACTACTTTTCTTTTTTTTTTTTGTCAACCAAAACTACAAGTCCTGCACTGTGGCCTTCTGTTGACAAAATATTGAGATCTTAAGGCTGTGGAACTGGTATTGCTTTACCAAGTCTTGCTTGGGTTACAACTGTGTAACTTAAATTTACAGATCCAGATACAGCTTGCAATGAGACTTACCTATCTTTTAGTCCAGTCAGGGGGTGGGATACTGCAGTCTGACCACCCAGACCAAAAGTGCCAAGTACTGAATAAGTCACGAGTCCTGTATCTTTATCAGGATATAAATGATGCAAGCGGAAATCCAGCAGGTACTGGGGAAAACGAGAAGACTGCAGTGAAGAGCATGGAAGCTGAATCCCATTTATTACCATCAGGACAGTTTCTTTTAATGGAAGCAGCTTCTGTCTGGGATGTTACACTCAGCTCCTAAGACCTGGAGGTAGCACTAGGAGACATCCCCTCGGCACAAGAAGGTACAGTGAAAGGTAGAACACTTGTTTTGTATAATTCTTTTCCAGACCATAGTTGATTGTGTACAGAATAGCATGGTCACTTTGGGAATTAGTTTCTTGTAACAGGCCACTCACTCACAATTTGGAATCTATCACATTTATTTGTTAATCAATGTTCTTTTCCCCTCAGAACTCATACTTACCTGTGAGTTGGGAATTGCTATAGCCTTTCAAGCAGAGTGCCATACAGTATCCAGACAAATCTGACTGATCTAAGGCACTCCCTGCTCCAGTCACTTGAGAACTGCTTTTACTGCTGCAGCTACATTTCTCAATAATGGTTATCTCTTCCTCCACCTCATTTTAAATCCCTTATATGTCTTTCCAGTTACTAGAATAAGCTTCCAGGCACTACAATAAGCTCAAACATTCCTTCTGGATATTCCAGAGCCAGTGAAATAACAATACTTGTTGGTCATTCATCACCTTTATCAAACTATTTCAAAACCAAATATTGGCTCCTCAGTGTTTACAGGTGGCTAATGTGAATGCCACCTGCACCGGTGATCCAAGAAATTTAGTTCATAATAATATTAAAATGCCAGCATGAAATGGACAACCAGCAAAATTTCCAGGCCATATCCTGTTAAAAAAAAAAAAAAAAGGTGCTGACACACCACAACCATGAAAAGTTTCAGCTTGGCATAAAGCACCATAATCTGCAATGAACGATAAATATAATACAGCTCAAATATTCTGCCTTTAGCAGAATGCCATGAATAACTCTGGTTGCACATGCCTAATTTCTCAAGGTGTGTAAATATGGAACAACCTGTTGTACCATGTAGCCTACCTGCAACATGATGAAAGAGAAATACAACTAACACTGCAGCTCTGATTAAAGAGGGGCAGAGCAGACCTAGTCACACACCACTACATGCTGCTTTGTTATAGACTAATCTTCATCCCTCTTACTACTCTAAGGGGCTGTTCTGATGAACAGCTTAAAAATGGACCTCTCCACATTCTGCCGCAGATGTCCGAATCTAGAGCCTTAACTTAGAAGAGGATGGACACAATGAAGTTCCATAAGTAGGAATAACCTACACTCAGGTACTTCTCCTTTCTCATGTTCAGTGGCCTCATTATGCTACTGTCCTGGGTTCAGCAGTAGCAGTCATGTTTCTCCTTCTTGGTAGCTGGTGCAGTGCAGTGTTTTGACTTTCGGCCTGGGAACAGAGCTGATAACAATGATGTTTTGGGTTGGTCAAGGACTTTGTGAGTCTCATGCTCTGCCAGGGAGGAGGGGAAGCCAGGAGAAAGCAGAGACAGGACACCTGACCCAAACTAGCCAAAGAGGTATTCCATACCACAGCATGTCATGCCCAGCATGTAACTGGGAGTTAGCCAGAAGGACTGGTAGACTGTGGGGTTGGAGGAGGTATAGGTCGGGGCTTGGTTGGGCTGGGGGGGGGGGGGGGGGGGGGGGGGCGAGTTATCGGTTGGCTGGTAGTGAGGTGATGTATTCTCTTCCCTTGCTATTTCCTTTATCATTGTTATTATCGGTAGTAGCAGTAGTGGTTTGTGTTATACCTTAGTTACTAAACTGTTCTTATCTCAACCCATGGGAGCTGCATTCTTTTCGATTCTCCTCTCTGTCCCTCTGGGAGTAGGGGGAGGGAAAGAAGGGGGGGAGTGAGTGAACGAGTTACCTGACTGGGTTTAAACCACTACAGCTACGAAGATTACAAAAATATTATATTATTGCCTGCTGTGCTATAAATGGAAAGCAGAAGTTGCCAAATCTGAATAAGAACTAAAAATAAGGTTATAAACATACCGGATTAAATTTTTAGTTTGTTGCAGCATTTTGCTTTGCCCTTTCCCTTGCTAAATGAACATAAAATCCTTTCAGAATGTCAGGCTGCCAGAGTTTGTGAATAATGCTGTTGAAGCACTACCTCAGGGTCAGTATAATTTTGGGGTTAGAGACAGAGAAGTAACTGGGCAGAAGGTGTAAAGAGAATGCAAGACAGACAAATGCATCATTCCAGTGGCAGTCAGCTGCTTGATTGCAGCAGACAAAGAAAAGGCTAAATCCTATGGAAAGGGATTAAGTAGGCAAACTTAATCTTTGTGTAAATACTAAGCTTTAATTAAGTCATAGTCATAATGTTGTCCCCAAAATCAGGGTTGTTTGTCTGGTGCATAGAGAGCTGATTAGTACCTAAAGTTCAGATATTTGTTTATTCTGTGTCTATGCAGAGGTGGGTGTTAGGTGGTAACTTCACAAAGCCAGCACACCCTCAGCCTGCCAGTTACCTATTTCCATATATTTCAGTGAGAATCAGGGTTTCTTATATACATAGATAGCATTATATATCTACAATATATATCTTGGCTTCCACATTCTCCGTCTGTATTTAAAGGCACAGTACATATTTATTTCACTATACACATCCAGTGAATAAAGATTTCTGTGGGCAAGGGTCTCTTATCTCAGGAGGTGTGATTTTTAGTATTATAATGAACCAAATTCCTTTAGGAACACAGTTATCTTCTGTTTTGCTAGGACTTTCAAAATTACTCCTGCCTTCCTAATCAGTCTGAATTTAGCTGTTACTCTTCTTCTGATCCAGCTGGTTCATTTATCATCCTTCTCTCTTTCCTCAAGGCCTGTCAGCGTGTAAGAAAACATTGTTTTTCTTCACTACCTGCAACTCTAAAGACAAGATTTTCAAGCATCCACGCACGTAGTCCTTTAGAAAAATAAAAAATAAAATCGTAACTTCTTCATTGACAGATAATAGTAAGAGCTTTTGTTAATTTAAACCATTATTTTAATAGCATTTCCCTGTGGATAAACACATAAGTAATGCAAAATGTTTTCAGCTTGCCAGTGCCAAGTCTAGCTAGAGAGCTGATAATTAGGATGCAGAAAGTGTTACAGCCGAGGAACACAGGAGTAAGGGAAACATAGCCTTCCACCTTAAGAAGAATGAAGATTGCCATTCTTTCAGGAATGAAAAACTGGAGTACTCATCTCTTTTGTTTCACCAGTCTGGCCCTCAACTTACCCTTTTTTTTTTTTTTATTACTTTGGTTTGACACAGATCTATACCTTGCTGTCTTCCTATTGACTGCACTGGATTTGGGATGCTGCAATTTCTTTCTGTAGTTGAATGAACACATTCCTAATAGGAGGTGTTCTGTGTGCTTTTCTGCATTAAAATCATGGTGCAGCCATGGAAAGCACTGTGTCCAAGGTTGAAGTCAAAAAGAGTATTTGAAAGGTGAAAGCTTCTGCACTGAGAGAGCCAGAGGTAAGGAGACTGACACCTCATGGACAGTGAGTGTTTTGCTGCATGCAGTAACTGAAGTACACAAAATGAAACCATACATAATTAATCTTGTTTACAACAACAGCTCCTCTCCCAGAGCTTCCCTTTTTTTTCCCACAGCATTTTCCAACAGTCCCCTGTCTGGGACCAAAGATAAGTCAGCTCTGTGCTACCCAGCACTTTCTCTGTTGTTTCATGCGTGCTTTTAACTTAGTTAACCAATTATACATTCCCTCTGGGGTCCCTTACAGAGCTGCCAAAATGGGTGTTTGGCATGTTTTCACTTCATCAGAAGACTAAAATATTTCTGTAGTAATTTCTGCATAAAGGCTGTGAAGGCAAGAGCCAGCTCACATCTGGAGGAAGACAAACCCTGCACAGACCTGCAAGACAAAGTGTTGAAGTCCCATGGGGTGTCTGCTCTCCTTTGTGGCAGGCCTCCATGCACAAAGTGCAGATGCTGAGTGGGGGAAGGCAGGGTGTACTTACAAATGTATTTCCATGAATACATTTTCCTTTATTGTTTGGATACTGGTTAAGACAGACTTTTTGCCTTAAATCTTTAAATAAAACCTCCTTTCTCCTGCATTTGGTAGCCTGTGTTCTTAAACCTCTGCAATGATTTAGTGCATACAGCAAGGTTTCCACTCATGATGCATTTGGTCTACTGCTGTATTCTGCATATACAGCGCAACAATATGATTCACTTCCAAGGTTCTCCATGGTTTGTTTTCAGTGCTCTTTTAGAGTCCAAGTGATATCATATGAATTAAAAATGCTGGAAAATTTGTGAAAGAAATAGTGAACATTACCATACCAGGACAAAGAATCTGGTTGAAGAAGGAAAAGGTATTCACTTAAACCATATACAAGTCTTAAGAGTTAGATAGGGCAGTTTAGATTTCTAAAGATAAGGAAGGTGGTTGCAATTTCTCATTTTGCCCCAATAATTTGATTTAAACATGTTATATTTTAAAGGATCAACAGGTTAAAGATTCCCGGCAATGGGGTCTGCTACTTACTAACTGTTCTCTAAGAGAATGAAGCGGGTTTATATAGGCAATAATGTAACATTTACTCCAAAAATAAGGTGGGTGCTTCTGAGATTTGTTAGGGGTTTTCCTTCCCAAAGCTCTGTTGACATCTGAACTGACTGACAGGTAATAAAATAGTCTCCCACATGAGTATAGAGGTTAAGAAAATGAAGCCAGTTCAGGAAGAGAGGAAATCCCCTCCTCTTCCCCAGAATTTAATTTTTGTATCAGTTTAGGAAGCTGAGGATAATTCATAGAAAAGAGTAGTAGTGCCACACAAATCACGTTTTTCAAGCAGAGGATGGCATAACATTACAGCTCCAAGTCTTGCATTAAAGAAAAATAAGAGAGCAGGACTGCAGTGAAGACAAGAGGTCAAAAAATTAAACGCAAAGATTGCTGAAGAAATGTTACTTTCTTGCAGCACTCCAGAGTAAGTGCTACACATGAACCAAGATGACAAGAAGTGCGTATTATCGACCTCTAAATAAGGAGTCCAGTGAAACACTGGCGCTTGGAGCTAAAAGTTCAATGACATCAGCTACCAGCTACAGTTTTAAAGCCTTTTTAAAATTTTGTTAACAACTTTAGAAAGTCTTCCGTCTTCTTTTGTGCCACCCAAGGGTTATGTCATTGCGCACAACACACGCCAGAAGGCAGGGATGTACTTTCTGGCTTTTGCTGCAGGCAATGTTTTGGGGCAATGTTCTCTGGGAGGTGGGCAAGCCAGCAATGAGGAGGGATGAAGTGCCCTCCATGCTACAGTCACCCGTTTCCCTTTCCTCTCCCCAAATCCACCACTAACAATTCCTTTGCTCCACAGATATCAAACAGATTTTGCTGTCAGAGACAGCCTCATTATTCATAAACTGCAAGTAGTGGTGCTCAGGTTACGAAGAACTTAGTTGTAATGAGCTTAGAAGGTTTTAGTTTCTATTTCAGATCTTTGAAAAGCTTACACATCTGAAAAGCATTTAACTTTTCCTGTGGTATTACCTGATTTAACAAAAGATACTACTTTTACCAACAGTCTTTACTGTGCCAATGTAGTGTTGCATTCCATGGGCTTTATAGTCTAAAAAGAAAGAACAGAGATGATGCTGAAAACAAAGCTGCCCTATATCCTGCCACATTCTCCTTTGTCTCCCTTAGAGAGGAGTTTAAAGAAGTTGGAAAAAGTACAAATATCAGGTAAAAGGAATTTCTGCCTTTTAATGGACTTAGCTGTATAGAGACCAACACAATAGATAAAAGAAATGTTATTAGTCTTCCACTGGAGGCAGCTGAGTTCAGGCAGACTAATAACGTACTGTCCTGGAGGTGTCCAGAGTTGTGACTTGAGAGCAGAATTTGCCTTTTCATATCCACTATTACCTCATGTGTCACAGCTGTGCCCAGCTCTCCCATCCCAACAGTAAGATGAAATACAACAGCACAGCAGACACCTTGCCTACATTTGTACTCCAAGACCTTTTTCATGATAGAATCTTAGCCCTCCTAAATGGGAATGTAAAACTCTGTGGAAAAAAATGGAAATAAATGAGTTTCTTTCTATGATTTTTAGTTTCATTTTCTATAGGAGAAACTTGTATAAAAAAAAACAAGTGCATTCTTTAAAAGAGACTGAAACTACAGCAGCCTTTTGAGCAAGTAACAGGGTTAGCCACAAAGAGAATAATTCAAAATTCTCCAGAATTTCATCTGCATTCAGACTTCATCTTACTAATATTTCAAGCAACACGATGCCGGATACTGACACACTGTAGTTAGCAATATCTACAGAAGGTAAGAAAAGAAGGATTTACCCCATTCAAGAGTTGAGGAAAAACTGACCTCAGAAAACAGGATAGTTCCTCTTCTTTTACTCTGGATTCACTACCAAAATACAAGGAGAGCTGCTAGCACTGCCCGGGGCTTACAGAAAGTGACAGCAGAAAGGAGGAAATGAGCCAGACCAGTCACTGCAGAAAAATGAAACACACAGGGGAATTCCAAACAAGAATATTAAGAGGAACCTCCTTTCTAGCAACCTTTGTATAATAAGCACTCTTACCTTTACCCGTCACTTGTACTGCTAAGAAGAGCTTGCACTTGTCACTAGTTAGGAACAGATTGATTTATTTGGTTGGAAACTAAAACTGGATGAGAGCTGGTGGTAACCATTTCTGGTGGTCCATAGAATTCTTCCTCTCCTTTTTTGTTCCAGTTCAAATCTGTCCAAAATCATGCTGTTAAACAGTCCATCAGTGAGAATAAAACAAGCAGCACAGCAAGAATAAAGCAAGCAGTGTGCAGACACTGTTACCTTGCAGCTCCATTTGTTGAAACAGAAGTGAAAGTATTTCTTTCACAAGTTCACAGACTACTAATCCAAAATCAGTTTGGAGTCTTGAGCAAGCGTTTCTTACCATTGGTCCAAATGACAAGTGGGATGTTCTATGAAACAGAAGCTCATAAATCTTGCCTGGCTTACACATGGTGTTCAGGGTTTGCTTGTAGCAGCATCTGACAATGTTTATTCATCCAATCATCACTTACCCTGCCAGTGTATGACAAACAACCTTCAGAAAATAAAGTTCATTCACAAGCATTCCTGCCATGATGCCTATAGCTGCTTCTGTGTGGCTCAGCAAGCTTATTTGTATTTTTCTGGTGGTTTTTTTTTCTGTTTTTTTTTTGTTGTTGTTGTTTGTTTGTTTGTTTGCTTTTGTTTGTTTTTTTTTCCCTAAATCATACACAGACCTACACAAAGTAGAAATTAACTGTGAAAGATAATATATTCTCAAGCAAGCAAATACTTTCTGTAGTATTATTCCATTGGCTCTAACTTACAGTGAAAGTTCCACCAGAGTCTGAAGGGGAAAGGAAGTGGGATTTGGCAAAGTCAAATACATGAAGGATTTGCTGCTTCAGTAAGGTAAGTTTTTAATCAGATACTTCATAACAAATGGCTTCTGCACAAGGCAGCAGGTCTTAAGCAAAGCAGTTGCTGACCTGTGCAAGCCTTCTCCCCTTGTAGAGGTGATCTGCTTCCACTATGTCCTATGGCTCCCCAGGAAAAGAAAAAGCTTTTCCCATCCCAGGAGTGGCTGGTCTATTCTCAGTATTTAGAGATACGGATCCCAGCCTGCAATGCAGAGCACTAGCCTCCTTGGGCTCTCTAACCTGCCAGGCAGCTGTGTTCTTGGAATTCTTCTATGCACATTAGAAGAAAAGAAACATCTCAGTATAACAGCATTCAGAGCAGAAAATAATGAAATGCTGCACAAACACAGATTTCTGTATTTTAGAGCTCTGTTTTAACAGAAGACAATAATACAATCACTGTATGAGAGAACCCTACAAAATTAAAGGTTATTTCTTATCCCTAGTCTAATGTGCAGCACATCCCCACAAATTATAAGGTCCTTTACCTGCCCTACAGGCAGACTCCTTTACCACCTTTTGAGGCTGTAATCCTCATGAGGTGATCTATATACTGCAAGGATGAAAGTTTGGCTCAGCTGTTTGCTGTGATTCTAATCTGTAACAGTAGCAAAGACTGCTGGTCCACTTTTTGTACAACACCCATAGCTGCTTAGAAACTGAAGAAAGGAATTGCTGGAGCAAATCAGAGTACTCGTTCACCTATGATTCTATCATCTAGCGGACTAGTCTATAAAGATGGTGTTATAGACAAAAGGAAAAACAGTTTACAGAAACATCAGGTTGAGACAGCTGAGAACTGCTTTAGCTTCTCAGGTGACCACCAGCTTCTTTGCTTCGATGCTTGCTGATACGCTGCCCTACTGCAAAAGGAGGGAAGAGAATCTATTGATTAGTATTGGAAGCACTGCAAAACAGATGTCAATGGTGCACTCTGTAGGAGAGGGAAAGCTGGGGTATTTTGTCCAGAAATTGTAAAGGTCTATTTTGTGATAGAAAAAACAGTTGCAGAACTGGTTTTAAGTAGTTAGTGAGAAACTGCTGATATAAATCTGTTCCTGATAGTTTTCTTTGCAAGGCTTTGTCAGAGTGAAATGATGATTGAACAGAAGGCTGAAAAATTAACAAATTTAAAAAATAAAGTTAGAAACCAATTTCCTTCAAAGGAAGCTGAAGTCTTTAATACAATTGAATCACTTCTTGGTGAATTAATGTTCCACCTTTTTTAAGCCCATCTCTACTACAAAAATCTAAACAGTGACAAAGGTTGAACAAGAGGTAGATTGAGACTATTGCTTCTTCCGATGAGCTTCCCTCTGTCATGTCTCAAATAAGCGCAGACAGAGCCAGGCATGACAGGACTGAGATCTTTGAATAGAGATTTTAGGTGCTACCATTACAGAAATGAGAAGGAGCAGATACTTTGTCAAGCATTTCATGGATTTAATTAAAAGTAGAAACCTGACTATATATATATATATATACTCCCAGCATAAGTGACACCAGGCCTCTACTATGATATTCTACATTTAAAATATGAAATTTTGGCATTAACTTTAATGTGTGCAATAATAGAGCTAAAATTGTTCACATCTGTATTTTATCCTCTCATGAGCTATCTTAACTTCTTTTCTCTTGTACTTTCATCCATGCCTTGAGAAGTGATTTCCAACACTGTATTTCAAAAGAAAAAGCTATTTACACTCCTCACTATGCTGCAGCTCAAGGTCCTTCTATCTGTTTTACAGGACTACCCCAATGTTCACCTAGGCATTCTTTTATGCTCATTTACAGTTGCTTGGTTTTGTTAAACTAACCCTGAAAGCTATAATTTAAGATAGGGTTATGTCATTTTACATATGATGGACAATGTTTGAATTGTCCAGAGCTATCCCTGTTCTCCAACATATGCATTAACCCTCTGGTGCATCAGACTAAGAAGTGCCTCAGAGTTATAAGATTTTTCTCTCTCTTGCTGTCCACTAAAACCCTCAAACCTCTTGAATACAGTGTCATAAACCATGAAGTATTTCCTCTCTCTCCTTTCTTCCACCCCCCAACCCGCTCCCCCCCCCCCCCTCCCCTTCTAAATCTGCAGCAGTCTCCTGTAGGCAGTGCAGTTTTGCTGCTTATAGACACCTGGAATTTAAAGCGGAGAGCATTCCTTCCGTATATGGTTGAGAAAGGTAAGGTAACTTGCCAACATGAACTTCCAGCATGTGCCATTAATACATGCTGCTCAGACTATCAGTGACTAATGTCAGTTGAGAAAAATCTGACCTTATCCTGGTCTCTTTAATCTACTTTGCATTTCTGGTTCTGTAAAGGGTGGCAAAAAACAAGTTTTATTATGGCCTGGCTATGAAAATAAGTATTTAATAACCTAAAGGGATGTATCTCTCTTTAGCTGCTCTTGCATTAAAATCTGGCTCTTCCCAAAGTGCTCTCCACTGCTATACTTTGCACTATGAAATCTCAGCATGCAATAAAAGTAAATCTTTAACAAAGCAAAAAAGGAAGAAAAAAAAATCAACTGATTTACCAGAAATATAATTTATTCCTGTTGGCTCATTATCTGTCATGTTTTGAGGCTTACTGATATGGAAGTTTAAACAACAGAGGGGAACCAAAGTGTTCCAAGTACAGGTCCCATTTTTTCCACAAATGTCAGAGGTATCTTCCTTGCAAGGTCCCTTCTGTCTTTTTCATGGAGCAAGGCTTGATTGTATTCCTTGGATATCACATCTTTCAAATGAGGTTAATTGGATGTTGTATCAGTTGAAAGAAAATTCCTTCCTCTAGGTAGGATCTCCTTAAAGAGATTCATACCTGCATCTGAAGATGCTTGAAGGAGGTCTAAGCAAAATCTGAACTGTTTCAGTAAAATAAAAAAATCCACTCAGCATCAAAAAGATGAAGTGAAAAAAAGAGTTGAGACCTTGGCCTGCAACAGCAGACAGATTTTCTCATTTGATTATGCCTTTAAATAACATTTCCAAAACCAAGTAACTTCTTGATGAAATGACAGAACACCACGATTCTTCCAAGCATTCATAAAACACAGCTCTCCAACCAGCAACATGGTCACTAGAAAAAACAATTAAAAAAAAATATTTATCCCACTAAGGAAGGACTGTCATAGGTGGAACTTTGTCTCCTGGCCAGGGTGAAGTGGGGACCCATTAGTGGGCCCAGAAATGTCATTGTCTAATCTGAACAGTACCAAAAGCTTCAGCACAAAACACATCCTCTACAACAAAGATGGGTTTAAAGCATGGAGACTCCAATGTGAGATTCATTCTGATTCTGATTTCATGAAAGTCAAATCAGTTAGAACCAGATGAGAAACTCTGAGGTAAAAAGTTATCCCAGGTCTGACTCTGGTTTCTGCCATATCTGAAGTTACTAGGATGAAAAAATAACTAGGAAACAAGTTGCTTTTGACTTCCATATATTCCTAATAAAAGTTAACATATTTATATTCCAAGGGACAGACACTTTGTTAAATTTCTTCAACAGAAGAGTTTTCAAGTTCCTGGTATAAATAAGTAGCAAATCTTCCATACCGCCGTAACAACTTGTCGGTAACAAGCCTTACTGCAACTATATAAATGGCAACTAAGAAAAGCACATTCACTTTCTTTATGAAAAAATAAATCCCTTGAATCTTTCATGCATGTTCTTATCTCACTCAGAATTTGTCTTTTAAATGTATTTTCCTTTAAAGTTGTTTCCTACATTGATTCAAAATAGAAGAGGCAACATTATTTTTATTGAATTATGAGTAGGAATGAGCTCCAACTCACTTGGAATAGCATTGCCCCTCAAATATTACATGAAAAGGACTGCTTCCCTTAGTATTGTCAACATGAAAGTGCACCATATAAGTTGTCTTCACTTGGACTTTATCATCTCGTGGAGCAGAACACATGCTGAAGGCAGCTAGGTGTTTGCCTCGCAGAAGGTTGGGAACCGCTTGCTATTGTGGCAAATCTGAGTGAGTATACCACAGCTTGGGGAAGAAGGAGTCTCCATCTCAGCTTCTCCTGCAAGCAGTGTGCTCTTGAATGGGTTGAACAGATTAAAAAAAGAAGTATTGTCTCCATTATTTGGCTGGGGAGCATCATCAGTCATATTCAAGGCCCCTCTAGGTAACTGTGCTCCTGACTAGGAAGTCTCCTTCTCGAACAGGAGGTGGACAGTTCAAGCCACATGGGAAGCTGTATATTAAAAGAAGAAGCTCAATTTAAACTGTAATCCTCAGCCAGGCTCTGCAACTCATTGACCTGCTGCACCTTAGCTCTGCAAAAGGCAGGTACAGAAAGTCTTGCCCAGTGCTCCAGGGTATAAATGTGACTGAGGGCATGTAATAATGGGAATGGTAGAATTTCTTTTTTGTGGGCAAAGAACTCCCCTCCATAAAATAGTTCCCTCCAGAGGCAATTTCTCCAGAAGACTGTAAGTTTTTCAACCCAAATACAATATTGTTTCTTCTGTTATGTCTAGATTTGAGACAGATCAAAAGTGGGGTTGTCTTTGCATATGGGTTAAGATATGAAGATTTCAAGTTGATTTTGTTGGCAAACATACCAAGCAATAATATTCTAGAAGTTCTCTGCCTTTGACCTCAAAACTGATCTTGTAGCTGAGGCCAAAACACAGGAAAA